AAGATGTATTGAGAAGCTATAACAGTACAGCTCATTTTTTTCCCCCACAACTCCGGCGGGGCATTTCATTGACTCCGTCGGGGCATGTAAAATTAAATATGTTGACTCCTGCAAAGCATTCAATACACTCCGATGGGGAATATAAAATTTGAATTGGGTGGGAGACAGTTGATTGACTTTCATGGGGTATTTAATTCACTCCATTGAGGCATTTAAAATTAAATATGTTAACTTCTGCAGGGCAGTTTATTCACTCCGACGGAGCATTTTATTGACCCCGTCGGCGAATTTAAAATCAAATATTTTGACCCCGCGGCGATTTAATTCACCCCGACGGAGCATTTTATTTACGCCGTCGGGGCTTTTAAAATTAAATATGTTAACTCCCGCGGGGCAGTTTATTCACTCCGACGGGGCATTTTATTGACCCCGTCGGCGAATTTAAAATCAAATATGTTGACCCTGCGGCCATTTAATTCACTCCGACAGGGCATTTTATTCATGCTGTCAGGGCATATAAAATTAAATATGTTCTCTCACAGGGCACTCCGACAGGGCATTTTATTCACTCTGTCATGAAATTTAGAGTCAAATATGTTGACCCCCGCGGCGCATGTAGTTTACTCCTCCAGGGCATTTTATTTACTCTGACAGGGTATTTTAAATCAAATATGTTGACTCCCATGGGGCATTGGGTTCACTCCTCCAGGGCATTTGAAATTGAGTATGTCAACTCTGGCAATGCATTTACAATTAAACATAATAACCCCTCAAGTCAATCAAATTCTTCATGGAGTCAAAATAGTCAAATTTAAATGCCCATGGTGGTTGACATACTCAGCTAAAAATTCTCTGCCAGAGTGAATCAAATGCCCCATGGGAGTTGAAATAACCGCCCCATTGGAGTCAATCAAATGCTTAACCAGAGTTGACATATTCAATTTCAATAGATGTCATTTATTAATATTATGGACACAGGTAATTTACCATTGGAGCAGGTTGGGGTATATACAGCATGCTTTGCTGACCAGCAGCTGTGTGGTAGAGCAAGTAGCTTAGGGTGGAGGTTTACAATTAGCTACTACTGATAGAAGCAAACAGTACAACATCAAAGCAGGTAACAGTATTACAGTTGTTCTAGTAAAGATTGGGGAACTATGGTGTGATGCCGACGGGACACCCAGAAGGCTGCCGTAGGTAGCTGCCGCGGCAAGAGACGCCGTGCCCGCAAGCCATTTGTATGCATCCGGCTGGTCCGTTGGTAAAGGGATGTTTTGGAAAGTCCGGCCGGGACTGGCTGGCCCGTTCATTACGAGTCATTGTCATGTCCGGCTACTACGTTTGGTACGTGACACAGTGACTGATATATGTGCCTAAGGAGCCTGTCTGAGGACCGAGCCAAACCCTCTTCGTCCAATTTGAGGTGAGTAAGCTGCGACCAACGTACTGGCAAGTCAAGGAGATTTTGTCTGAGACTCGTTAAAGAAAGCCTTCGCAGTTTTGGAGCTGAGAGGATACCCGAAGATTTCTTCCAGGGTCTCCTAGAATTTTGGGAAAGAACTTGCAGTCCCAAAGTTCTCATAGGTATGCTAGCGATGGAAAGGGATTCCAGCATCGGAACATCGCCCTCCACGATGTCTTGTAAATGTGTAAAGGAGCCTTCCATTGCCCTGAGGTCAACAGCCTTCCATCGGCGGCTAAAAGGGAGGATCTGCCTTGACACACTCCTAAAAGCTTCCATGTCCTCCTGGGAATCAGGCGGACTGCTGAAAGAATAAAGGGGATCCGGAGTGTAGAGCGAAATAGAGAGAGGAATCTCCCCCCAACGGAGGATCCAATCCCTCACCGCCTCGCAGCGTGTCGCCATCTTGCGGACGGATGCGGAATCAGAAATAGAGTCTGGTGTAGGCGTCGGGATGTGAAGGCTTGCCCAAAGCCGTGGAGTTAACAGAGCGATAGATCTCCATGCGCTACAAACACGACCCAGCAAGAGGGGAGCTTCTTTAACGCTCATGACGGCGTTATGATGTGTAGGAAGACAATGAGTGAAGATCTCCTCCATAATATCGAGAGGTAGTCGACGAAAAGGAGAGATAAGTGCTCGATGAGCCTCGATCTCCTCACTCAGAGCGGACCGTTGGTCATATAGGGCGCAGATAATCGACTCCAGCCGCTCGATTTCGGAATCCAAGGTAGATAAACGTTCGAGTGGTTCTGTTAGGAGGTTCTTGATATCAAGGATTTCTGAAGCCGAGGGGGAGTAGTTGGTGTGGAGATAGCGTGCATACGGTGACTTGTCCATCTTTTACTACAGAAATACCTGCGTGGGCTGAGAAAGTTTTCTGGAAAAGTTCTACGAGACTGACCAGTTCGGCTTTGAACCGTTTCCAGCGACGAAGTTGTAGGTAGTTTGGAGAGTACAGCAATCCAAATGCCCTTCGGCTTCGTAGATCATGTGGGGAGGCGCAATGCCTGCGAAATCAATTTGTGTTTGCACCTATTTGGTCTCCCTATACATGGACGAGAATCAAGGAAAATCAATATTCTGCGTGACCCAGCACAATATCCGGAAATATTGATATACAAATTGGGACTAAAACAAGTTTTTTAGGGAATGGCCCGAGAATTTCCAAAGCAAGTCAATGATGAGGTGTAGATATCTCCCTGATCTATGGGGAGCAGTAAGATTATTTTTGATATTCTCGGGCCATTCCCTGAACAATCAAAAATAAAGTGTAGTCTTACTATAAAGTGTAAGGCCCATTGCCCGTGCAAAGTAGTTATTTTGTTTTCAAAACTGCCTGCGAAACGCGCTAAATTAGATTACATAATCACGCGAAGGAGGCGTCGCGTCGCGTCAACGCGTCGATGATACACATTCTCAATGACTATTAGGGCCACTCTACATTATCTCTACTACTCAAATAAGCGGAAAACATGGTGTCTTCATTTGGAAAATTTTATATGACCTCAAGCATGAACTATCTGACTACAAACAGCAGATAAAAGGCCAGAAAACGAGCCTCATTTTATGACTTTGACAAGACTCTGACTATGATGACCTAGCATAGTCACCAATTCAATTTTACCGCACATTCACATTGTGATCTAACATACATACATTTACTATGCCTTTACCAGCCTAGAAATTGTAGTGGAACACGAGGAAATTATTTGGGAAGATAAAACGAGACATTTGGCAGGATTTGTGTGGCTGTGCACTTAGTCATCCGGTCAAATCAGTTGCAGGCATTGCACCTCCCCAGTAGATGAGACTCAGCAAGAAGGGGAATTACATAATCATGATACCACACGATTCAAATGTTGCTCTGGTGATCTCGAGTACATTATCGAAGTGTTTTGCGACTCTTACATTTACAAGGTAAGATATCCATTCATTTTATGAAAGAGACTGCCGCGCTCGAAAAGGGAAACAAAGGGAGGGTAGTCATTCATCCAGGCATTCCGGAATTTCCCAGTATGGCCAAGGGGGTCCTAGGATTAAAAAAATAGATCTGGGGTCGATTTTTTTTTTTAAGCCCTTACTGGCTTGACCTACCTACCTACGTAATCAGGCACGTGTCCATATATGGTAAGATGACATCATCATTTTCATCGCTTTGTCCAAGATGCCTCGCAAACCCAGTTTTGTGAATCTATTTCCTACCAAATGCAATGTAGATGATACTGGAATATAGGTGAGTGACTTGTAATTTTTATTGTATAGAACATATTCTAATGTTGGCAGATCTAAGTCTGTTGGCAAGTCTGGCTTATCCAAGTTTTGCAATTGGGCATGTGGTGTTTTACATAATTGGTATCAAGAACAAGTTTCTAAACAACTTGCCAGTAACTTGTAAGTGATGTTTAGTGACTGTATTTCTTTGGTTGTGCCAGCTTCCACCTTCAAGATGAGCTTTGTGACATTGACACTTGGTGGAGATTAGATAAGCTTGAAGAAATATTATATAATGCTTCAATATCATTGAATTCAGACTGATCTACATGCTTTGGAGTGCACTAGCACTACTAATTTGCAGGGGATGGCCTTCCAGGACTGTTTTTAAATCATTTTGTAGAGGGTTCCATATTTTTTTTTTCTCAGCCTGTGGCTGACCTACCTACCCAACCCCTGGTCGGACTTTGGAATCCTAAGACCCCCTTGAGTATGGCAGTAATCACTGCGAGTAATTGTATGTGACATCCACAGCTGTATGTCCGAGCCCAGAATCAACAGAAATGTGAGCTTCAGGCTTCAGCCTGATAATCAAAATCTTCAAACTTTAAATAAATATTGCCCTCCAATTCCTGCACGATTTCCATAGAAGCAAAGATTTTCTCTATGTTTTCTGGACGGTTTTGAAGCCTGAGAAAGATCACATCGACTTGTTTCAGCGCTCCCCCATTTTTGCACATACGCTGCTTTAGGACGAAGGACAACAGATGTGCTTCAGAAAGCTTGCACCTCTGCAATGAAATTCTTCAAGCAAAGGGCAGAGATAGACAGGGTTCCCGCCAGAAGGAGTAGAGCAGTCGTTGATTTCCTCATCAAGAGAACCAGAATAAAACTTATTGATATGGAGATGGGTGACGAATGGCACTGATTTCAAGCAACGTATAAGCTCATCTTGGGACATTGCCCGAATTTCAATGAAAAGTTTTTTCAGTTTGACACCATTTCGCGAGAGGAAATCCATCAAAACGGAGTGCTGGTTCTGTAGTGCCTGTTGCCCACAAGGTGACGTTTGGAATTTAATCTCCAGATGACAGAGAACTGGTAAATCGAGGTATTTCAGGAAAGCTTCATCGGATCTGCCACTGAGGCTGAGAGAGAAGTGCTGCAGAAGAGGGAGAGTAAGGGTGTACTGGCTGGGAGACATTTTTGAACTGGAAACATCGGATGTGGTGTTGCTAACTTGAAGGAAGATACTGCAACTCATGAGGAGGGGGCATTTCTTCAATAGGTGGACAATTTGGCTGTACCTAAGACCGTTTATTGTTTCTGAAGATTGAATCGGACCATCTACATCCAATTTGAGGTGAGTGAGCTGCGACCAACACACTGGTAGATCAGGAAGACCTTCTGATAAGTACATTAAAGAAAGCCTTCGCAGGTTTGGAGCAGAGAGGAGACCCGAAGATTTCTTCCAAGATGTCTCAGCTTCGGAAGAAATTTGCAATCCCAAAGTTATTCTCGGTATGTTGACAATGGAAAGGGATTCCAGCATCAGAACATCGCCCTCCACGATCTCTTGGAAATGTGTAAAGAAGCCTTCCATTGCTCTAAGGTCAACATTCTTCCATCGGCAGCTAAAAGGGAGTATATGCCTTGACATGCTCCTAAAAGACTCTATGTCCTTGTGGGGATCAAGTGAGCCAAAAGACTCAAGGGGATCCGAAATGTAGAGAGAAATAGAGAGAGGAACCTCCCTTAAACGGAGGAACCACTCCCTCACTGCCTCGGCGCATGTTGCCGTTTCCCTGATGTATGCAGGACCAAAAAGAGAGTCTGACCTAGGCGTCGGCATGTGAAGACTTGCCCAAAGCTGTGGAGTTGACAGAGTGATAGATCTCCATGTGCTACAAACACGACCCAGCAACAGGGGAGCTTCTCGAAGGCTCAAGACGGCGTTATGATGTGTAGGAAGACAATGAGAGAAGATCTCCCCCAACATAACAAGAGGTAGTTGACGAAAAGGAGAGATAAGTGCTCGATGAGACTCAATCTCCTCACTCAAAATGCAATGCCGGTCACGTAAGATGCAGAGAGTCGAGTTCAGCTGCTCGATTTCGGCATCCAAGGTTGATAAAAGTGTGAGTGGTTCCGTTAAATGATTCTTGATATCAAGGATTTCTGCAGCCGAGGGGGCGTAGTTGGTGTGGAGATGGGGTGCATATGGTGAGTTGTTCATCTCTTCCTACGAGTTTGTGGTTGACTGAGACAGTTTTCTGATAAAGGTTTCATAAGCGAAATTACATAATACAGATAAGTGTGCAAAAATCATTGGAATATTTCGTCGAACACAAGTCGAAACTGTTGGAAAGTTGAAATATCTTCCACTGATTGGGGGTGATCCTATTGATGACCCGTTTTAATCAAGTGACAACGGGCTTGAAGGAAACACTTAAAGCACAAACAGGAAGAAATTAGATTAAATAACACACCTTTTCCGCCTTCCACATGACTAAGCGGAACCTGCATCTCCAACTAACCCTAACAACAATATTCATCAAGTCCTAAAAGTGTTATAGTCAACCGAACGTTAGCCCAGAAACGAACCAAAATAGCTTACTACTGCCCAGCTGAGCCAGCTCACAATTCCACTCGAAACCTTGGTAACAATGCTCTGTATACCATTTCCTCTGTGTCTGATCGACCTTGTTATAGTCCAAGTTCATGCAGATAAAGAGGTGCGTCGTGAAGTCCATCTCCGCCTTTGCATTCAGGTGTGGGTGGTGGGACAGCAAGCAGTTCTTTCCGTTTACGACTCGCTCGATGGGGTTCGTACCCTCGTGCGCTTGACTTAGGGTAATACTTGGGTAATACAACCCGATACATTGGGCATCACCCTTAACCTGGAACCCTCTGTATCGTCCGAGCTTCGATCTCGTGTCCCCAAGCGCAGTCTTGCGCCTATAGGACTGACAGCAGCAGCCGCTGCGTTGGCTCCATCATATACGCACTTGCCTCACCCATGTGCAGCAGGCCTGAAAACTCCATCCTGCCCCAGGTCGAGTGGCACACCCTTGCCTCGCTTACCCGCAATGATCATAACAGACAGTACCCACAATCCAGGACTGAGATGGGGTTTGATGTGGAGGCTAGCACCTAGAGATGCAGGATTGGCAGCGGCAGTGGGAAGGGCAGGGGGCGAAGTCAATGGACACAGAAGACCCACCTCCTCCGCTTCTGAGTAACTTGTTCTCCAGGTCGCCGAGGCTGATGTCTTTGAGTCTGAATTTATAAAGGAAGGGAAAGGGCTTAGAAAAGCGCAGGTTGTAGATGGGGATACCAAAGGATGGAGATGCAATGGAGACTAGAACCTCAGAGGACAGTCGATTTTGCTTAGATGTATGTTTTTCATTGTTGAGGTGATGGGCGCTCGGGAAGTGTGCTTGGGTCTTGGGGCATGACACGGAGAAGTTGGTGATTTTAGTGCGGATGACGAGCAAGTCCTGGGCTAGGCAGCGAGCTGGGCCTAGAAGAAACACATCGATGTGGATGATGCCCTGATACCACTCTCGTGTCGAACCCGTGTTTCCGCCCTACAAACGGACCAAAGTTGCCTTTCCTCCTCCCATTATTCCCCCCGCTCCAAATGGATATGCATGCCTGGGATCAACTCGTCTGTCGCATCGATGAGGACAGCCAGTTACATGAGGAAAGTCCTTTGCGCTAGCTCTGCACCTGGCATCGGTTGCGGATGTTGGAAGGCACGTCATTTAGTGCAGGAGGTACCAGATTTCGTGCAGGCCAAGCAGGTGCGGGAGGTATAATACGTCCGAGTTCGAGTCCAGCAAGTAACACAATTGTGTGTAAGCAAAAGATGGCTAAAATGTGGGTTTCAATTGCGAGGCAAGGGATGCGAGTTAACGGAGTACTTACATAGGTGCATGCAGACTATGCACCCCCATTCCTTCATCCCATTCCCGGCCTAGCACCATATTATCGCCTGTTTTGAGGCCTCGTAATGCGAAGAGGCTGACCTTGAGCCGGTCCTCCTTCCTGCCCACACAACGGTGACAGCACCAGCACTTGTTCCCCACTAGCCGCGCTTCGAGCCCACGTCCTGCGGCAGGCTCAACATACGGTTCCAGCACTCACAGCTGGGCGAATGCAGTCAGCAGGGGGCTGAATGACTAGATGAAGGGATGATGGTCGTGTTTCGTCGCTTGAGACGATATCTTGAGGGATATATGTAGATGTACTCATGGTAAAGAGTGCCCAGGTGACAGGCAGAGCAGATCGTCATCAATTTCGAGTTGGAGGGCGTCGTGAGTCGGGATCAGCTGACTTTAGACACAGCACGTCTGGTCAATGGATGCAAGGAGATAAGTAAGTGATCAAGAAGGGGAAATGTCAAGGGCTTTACAGCTGAGAGGCTATGCGGCTTTATATCTTGGTGCCCAGCTCTTCATCGTTTATGTACATAATGCTAATAGTTACTTGAAATCTTTCTGATTTTTTCTCACTCCTGATCAATTCTGAGTCTGGCTTTTATCATAAAATCTGAAGTGTTTTTCGACTTGTATACAAGGTAAAATATCCAATCAAAAGAGACTGCCGCACATTTAAATACATTCCAAGTCGACGACTGAAACAAGAGGATAATTGATCATCCATCCAGGCCTGCCCGAGGAGATGGTAAGGGAATGACATATTCTCTTAACGACCCCCTCACGTATTTGACATCCACAGTTGTAGTTGGATGTCCGAGCCAAGATTCAACAGAAATTCGAGCATCAATCTTATAACCAATCCCCCGAAATTGAAGGTTGATATAGTCCTCCCAATCCAGTACGGCTTCCAGAGAACCAAAGAACTCCTTTACATTCTCCGGACGGTTTCGATGAAAGATAATATTGACTCGTTTCAGCACTCCCCCGTTTTTATATTTGGACACATGCCGCTTTTGGATGAAGGACAATAGATCTTCTTCAGAAAAGCTTGCACATTCCGACCCTTCACAATGAAATTCTTCAAGCAAAGGGCAGAGATAGTCACGGTTTCTTTTAGAAGGAGTGAGGCAGTAGGCGATTTCCTCATCAACAGAACCAGAACTGAAATTATTGAGATGGAGATGGGTGACGGACGGCACTGATTTCAAGCAATGTATGAGGACATCTTCTGTCATCGCCCATATTTCAATGAAAAGTTTTTTCAACTTTGTACCATTCTGCGAGAGGAGGTCCATCAAAACGGAGCGCTGGTTCTCCGGTGCCTTGTGACCACGATGCTCCTTTTGAACTTTAATCTCCAGATGACGGAGGGCTGGTAAATCGAGATATTTCAAGAAAGCCTCGTCTGATCTGCCACTGAGGCTGAGGGAGAGGTGCTCGAGAAGAGGGAGGGTAAGGGCATATTGGCTGGGAGACAGTGTAGAATTTGATGGTACCCTAGTGTCGGATTCGGAGTTTCCTAGGCGGAAACTACAACTCACGAGCAGCGGGCATTTCTTCAATACCCTGAAAACATGGCTGTACCTAAGGTCGCTTAGGCTTTCTAAGTGATTCAAACCCTCTTCGTCCAATTTGAGGTGAGTAAGCCGTGACCAACGCACTGGTAAGTTGTAAAGACATTCGCTGAAATGTGTTAAAGACAGCCTTCGTAGTTTTGGAGCTGAGAGAAGACCCGAAGATTTTTTCCAAGGTCTCTCAGCATGGGAAGACGTTTGCGGTTCCCAATCTTCCAGCGGTATGTTGACAATGGAAAGGGATTCCAGCATCGGAACATCGCCCTTCACCATCGCTTGGAAAGGTGTAAAAGAGCTTTCCATCGCCCTGAGGTAAACAGTCTTCCATTGGCGGCTAAATGGGATTATCTGCCTGGACACTCTCCCAAAAGATTCCATGTCCTCCTGGGAATTAGAATCAGAATCAGAATTAGACGAGCCCTTAAAAGAAACACGGGGATCCAGAGTGTAAAGGGAAATAGAGAGCGGAATCTTTCCTGAACAGAGGATCCATTCCCTCACCGCCTCACAGCGTGTTGCCATTTTGCGGACAGATGCGGGACCAAAACGAGAGTCTGGTGTAGGCGTCGGGATGTGCAGGCTTGCCCAAAGGTGTGGAGTTGACAGCGTAATAGATCTCCATGCACTACAAACACGACCCAGCAAGAGGGGAGCTTCTTTAACGCTCATAACGGCGTTATGATCTGTGGGAAGACAATGAGAGAAGATTTCCGCCATTATTTCGAGAGGTAGTCGACGAAAAGGAGAGATAAGGGCTCGATGAGCCTCAATCTCCTTGCTCAGAGCATGACGCTGGTGATTTAAGACGAACATAGTCAAGCTCAACTGCTGGATTTCGGCATCTAAGGTGGATAAACGTGCGAGTGGTTCTGTTAAAAAATCCTTGATATCGAGGACTTCTGAAGCCGAGGGGGTGTAGTTGGTGTAAAGATAGGGTGCATACGGTGACTTGTCCATCTCTTACTGCAATGTTGAAGTTGCGTGATTTAGATTTGAATTAAATACCTGTGCTTGTGTGTGGCATGCTGAGAAGGTTTTCTGGGAAAAGACTATGATGACTAACCAGTGGCTTTGAGGCGTTTCCAGCGACGAAGTTATAGGTAGTTCGGAGAGTAGAGCAATCCAGGTTGCGCCTCCAGGTTGCCTCTAGTTCGTAGATGGGAAGAGATAAGAGAAATTACATAATAGAATTCTCATGTCATATGAAAATTAAATTTTAGGCAATTAGACCAACGTCTACATAGATGAATCGAATAATTAACCTACAGCATGTAGACTAAAAATCAAAGGAATCTCGGCGGTTGTGAGGCCTCGGCAGCTCACAAAATTAGTAACTCGGAAGGAAAAACGTTCGGTGATCATGAACTCATAATGTATCCATCACCTTGCCCAACTCCGTTCCTTCTCTATCTTCACCCATTCGCGAGGATCCTTCCTTGAAGATTTCCCTGTGGGACTGAGGGACCATCATACAAATTGAAAAGAGAGAAGCCGACCTCTTTGATACATCATTGACCGCCTTCAAAACCAGAACTAATTCATGCAGTCAGTGGCTCACTTTCAAAAGGTTTGAAGAGGCTACCCACCACTCCGTTAATATTGATATTGAGAAACGTGCTGACTCTTTCTTGCTTGCAGGGCGGAAGCACAGCTTCGTCCGCTTGACTTAGAGCAGTACAACCCCATCTGCGGGCGTACTGAGGGGTGTCATCGACATCCCTGGCCTGGACCTAGTTGACACATCCCCCTCCGTGTCGTCCCCGCTCCATTCTGGTGTCCCAAAGCCCAGTCCCGCACCTGTGGGACGGACAGCAGCAGTCGCCAGAGGCCGCTGCATTGGCTCCGTCGTATACACGCTTGCCTCACCCACATGCAGCTCCATCTGAGTACCCAGGTCAAGCGGCACGCCCTCGCCTCGCTCACCTGCAATCATCATGACGTGCATCGCGCTCACACTACCCACAATCCCGTTGTCCATGTCGATGTGTTTCTTCTAGGCCTAGCTCGCTGCCGAGCCCAGGACTTCCAGCTCGTCATCCGTCCTAAAAACACCAACTCCACTCCGTCGTGCCCAAGGCCCAAGCACACTTCCTAAACGCCCAAGACCTCGAGATGACAGTCGCTGTGCGCATATGCAATCCCCGTGATCAACTCGTCTGGGGCGTCGACGAAGACGGACAGCTGCGTGACGGGAGTCCTTCGCACTAGCTCTGCAACTGCTGGTTGCGGATGTTGATGAGAGGGCACACAGGATGTCCGTCGTTTGGTGCAGGAGGTACCGGATTTCGTGCAAGCCAAGCAGGTGGGGGATGTGAGTTCGAGTCCAGCGAGTAAGAGGTTTGTGTGTAGATAGCTAAAATGTGGGTCCAATTGCGAGGCAAGGGATGTGAGATAACGGAGTACTTACTGGAACATCTTGAACATGCTCAGGGGGCGGGCAGACTATGCACCCCCCGTTCCATTCCCGGTCTAGCACAATTTTATCTCTAGTTTCGAGGCATCGTAAGGCGAGGAGGCTGAGATTGAACCTGCGCGCGTGCTCCTACTCCTTCTCCTTTGTACTTTCCATCGTGGTCACCCTCTTCAATTTTTCCTGCTTCACTTCCCACCCGCACACAGCACCAGCTCTCGTTCCCTGCTAGCCGCACATCGAGCCCCACGTTCAGTGGTAGGCTCACGAGTTGGACATACTGTTTCGGCACTCACAGCTGGGCAAATGCGGTGAGCAAGCAGGCTAAATGACTGGATGAAAGAATGGGGGTCGAGGTACAGCGCACGATGAGCCAGGCGGTGGGGATGGATGAGGCGGTGGGCAGTGTAGGTGGTCAGCAGGACGCCAGAGTTTGTGTAACACAAATGGAGGCGGTTGTATGTGCTTTGTGGTGGCAGCGCCGGTGCTGAGCCCAATGCAGAGGCTGATGCACGATGTGCTGGGTCCTAAGTAAGAGCGACGCTGTAATTTTGGCGTCGTCGCAGCCTCAAGGGTCTGCACGTGATTCACCCAAAATAGACTCACCTCAAATCCTGCACGACGTTTGATCAATAAATGGCCTGAGCGTCGGGGGCCTGAGCGAACCCATAGGCGCCCTTTTTAGAACCCTCAGCCCCAGTTGTAACGAAGCTACTTGCTATAAGTCCAGCAATGACTGACCTGTCAGGCGCACCTCGACATGAAATATGGCTTGTAGTAGACAATAATGATGACGTGAGTGATGGATGGCTTCCTGATCTTCGTTGCGACTTATTTCGCCCTTCAAGGATCTGACTGATGCTGTCCAGAGGGATGGTGAATACTACCAGGGAGATCCTGATTTCTGGAGAGGAAAACTGGAGGTCGACGGTGTTCCCGCCTTGGTGAGGCCGTCGTCATTTCATGTGTGTTTTTACTCATGGTGGATTCAACAGGTTGCCACAAAAGTTCTTCACGGAGGAGCCTCGGGTAGCAGACCCAATTTTCGAGATCAGCGAATCAAGGTATTAGACGAGTTGGCATGCAAACTTGATGCAAACCTTCTTATCGCCCATGCCAGGAGCTTCGTCAGCAAGGTGTTCTCTTGCCGAGTGAAAGTTCTGATGAAACGAAGTTACGACTGGTTCGCAACTCTTTCATGTCTGACAGCAGCAATATTTGAACTCTGCTCCTTGTTGTCAGGTTGGGGAAATTGCTTTGGGTTTGAAGCTTTTGCAACAAGGCAAATGTACTTATTGATAGTAAAGGACACGCCGTTGTTGCTGACTACAGTCTAGCATCAATTACCGAACTGCCTGAGTTCACTTCCATCAAAACCGCGGGCATTTGTCGATGGACTGCCCCGGAAATTATGAATCCGCCAAACAATGACGACATCACTTTAAACTACAGCCATAGAGATGACTGTTCCGAAAGCTCGTATGCGGGACAAAGCCAAAAGGTAAACGCTCTCGCAGTTCCTTATTATTTTGGATGAGCTGAATGCAACATAAAGGCGCAAATGTTTTCGGGGGCCCGTGGTGTTTCAATACGCGACTCGGAAATAAACAATGTTGCAGGTGATATGATAATAAATGTCCATGAGCAGCCAGACTTGGAACCGGTGCAGGTGCCATTGTTGAGCAACACAATCCTATTCTTTCACAGCTGACTTGGAATGCTAGTTATCAATCAGAGATTGCTTGATCGGGGCGATTTCGGTGAGTCCTTTAACTGCTCAATCCACAAACACAATGAAAATATTCCTACACAGGAACTGAAATCGGAGATAGTAAGTAATCGAAATTTTAGCTCTGTTTTGATCACTGCATATTGATTATGTGCTGTAGTTCCATGCCGTAGAGAGAGTTAAAAAATTACTACCATGTCCATTTTCGACCATGGTGAGCGGTTTTGTGTAACTCTCCCTAATCATGGATTTATATTGAAATGTGCATACAATAGGCCAAGATAACCCTAGAAGTATGTCCATTCTCTTGGAATCACTTTAGTCTTGTGCATACACCCACTCTCATTCCAGGAAAAAGTTGCTGAAGACGCTCTCAAATACCCACCGCTTTTGAATGCCACAGTCCTTCTGAGTAAAACATCATTGTATATTCCAGGAGTCATGAATCAGTTGCTGTATGTGTTATTCTCTTCGGCTCTGGTTCAATTTTTTTTTAAATTTGTTCTCCAGTACAAGTGTCCGATACTCCTTCTTCTGAATGTGTTTGGGGACTATTAGGTTGGGTATTAGCCTAGGTATGCACAGCTTTGAAACGGCTTTCATCTGACTCAAGGCGATACTGTAGCATTTCGGTAATATTGGCGGCCAGATAACTCCTGCCGTTCATGGACCCAAAGGCTATCGGATATTCCTCGTTTTGCCTTTTCAAAGAGCCTGAAAATTAAACAAAAAAGGGGTGGTTTTGTCCTTTTAAAATTCAGATAAGCTGTCATGTTAAGTACACGAAAATCAAGTTTGAGATTTTATCAAGCCGTCCTGTATCAACCAAAATTTTCATGAATCGTAATAAGTAAACTACAACATGCAGACTGAAAGTTAAAGGAATCTCGGCTGTTGTGAGGCGTCGGCAGCTCGCAAGATTAGTACTTCGGAAGGAAAAAAGTTCGATCATCAAGAACTCAGGCATAATTTACAGCCTTGCCATGTTTGCTTTACGACTCCGCTCCTGTTCTATCCTCGCCCATTCGCGAAGATCCTTCCTCAAAATTTTCCCTGTGGGACTGGTGGACCGTTATAAAAAGTCAAGCATTGAAAAAAGGAAAGGAGCGGACCTCTTTGGTACGTCATTAACCGCGACAACGCCTTCAAAACAAAAACAAAAAAATCCACGCAGTAGTCAGTCGCTCACTCTCAAAAGGTTTGAAGAGAAAACCCACCGCCCCGTGAATATTTGTATTGCGAAACATGGCCTTCAATCCAATGCTTTATCCGCATATCAAAAGCTCTCTTGGGTTTTGCCAGTGCCAAAATGGCGGGATTGGATGGGGTGTACGCCCTGGATTACTGAATTGACGACTTGAATCACGCTTTTGATTTTAGCAGTTTGGTAGCCCTAAGAAGAGATTTAAACTTGTCAAATAGAGAGGGTGATTTAGGCACCGCATACCTTATACTTGATCATCTCTTTCTTCTGAACAACAATATAGATATTAGAAATACCCATCTTGATCACGCCGTAGAATATCTCCCGTTTTTCAAAACCAACGATCAAAAGTAACCCTCAGCTCATTAGCAGGCGGATTGATCAAGTATCCCTGAATCGGAGTCTGCTATCTTGCTCGCACGGCGGAAGCACGACTTCGTACGCTTGACTTGGGGCAGTACAACCCGATCTACGAGCGTAGTGAGGGGCGTCATCCCCGACCTGGACCGAGTTGCCACATCCCCATCCGTGTCGTCCCAGCTCCGATCTGGTGTCCCCAAGCCCAGTCCCGCACCTGTGGGACCGACAGCAGCAGTCGCCAGAGGCCGCTGCATTGGCTCCGTCGTATACGCGCTTGCCTCACCCACATGCGGCGGGGTTGAAAAGTCCATCAGCCCCAAGTCGAGCGGCACGCCCTCGCCTCGCTCATCATGACGTGCATCGCGCTCACACTACCCACAATCCCGTCGTCCACGTCGATGCGTTTCTTCTAGGCCTAGCTCGCTGCCGAGCCCAGGACTTCCAGCTCGTCATCCGTGCTAAAAACACCAACTCCACTCCGTCGTGCCCAAGACCCAAGCACACTTCCTAAACGCCCAAGACCTCGAGCTGACAGTCGCTGTGTGCATATGCAATCCCCGTGATCAACTCGTCTGGGGCGTCGACGAAGACGGCCAGCTGCGTAACGGGAGTCCTTCGCGCTAGCTCCGCACCTGCCGGTTGCGGATGTTGAGCAGAGGGCATGCAAAATGTCCGTCGTTTGGTGCAGGAGGTACTGGATTTCGTGTGGGCCAACCAGGTGGGGGATGTAGAGTTCGAGTCCAACGAATAAGAAGGTTGTGTGTAGGAAAAAGATAGCTAAAATGTGGGTTTCAATTGCGAGGCAAGGGATGTGAGACAACGAAGTACTTACTGGAACGTCTTGAACACGCTCAGGGGGCGGGCAGACTACGCACCCCCGTCCAATTCCCGGTGTAGCACGACCTTATCCCCAGTTTTGAGGTCTCGCAATGCGAAGAGGCTGACCTTGAGCCTGCGTGCGCTACTACCTCTTCTCCTTTGTCCTTGCCATCTTCGTCACCCTCTTCATCCTTTTCACATCCTCCTTCACACCCGCACACAGCACAGGCTCCCGTTCCCTAGCAGCCATGCATCGAGCCCCACGTTGAGGGGGACTCGGACGAGGTGGACATACGGTTCCGGCACTCATAGCTGGGCGAATGCAGTGAGTGAGTAGGCTAAAGGACTTGGATGAAGGGATGACGATAGTCGAGGTAAAGCGCGCGATGAGTTCAGGTGGCGGGGATGGATGAGGTGGTGTGCAGAATGACGCCAGAGTTTGCGTAACAAGAACGGAGGCGGTTGTATGTGTCTTGAGGTGGCAGCGCTTTGGTGAAGCCGGTGCTGAGCCCAATGCAGAGGTTGAACGTTGAACGTTGAACGTTGATGTGCCGGTCCTGAGGTGTACAAGTGGTGTACATAATTTGAAAGTCGGATCAGGCCCTGATGCCCAGTTTCGTAAGTAAGGCTATCCTCGTTAACAGAGGTAAACATTGCATTCCAGCCTCATGGAGTCGCCGGTGGCAACTCTTTGTTCTGCTATAAAGTGAATTACTCGCTGTTTCACCATTTCCCTGGTCCCATCACCGTACTCCTCTCTATCCTACTCCCGCGTCCTCGCCTCTACTGTCTTCCTCAACCGAATCCCCCAAGATGGCAAGCCGATCATCATCTTCGCTGGCTCCCACAGGATCTCTTTGGCCAGTCCTTGCACAGCAGACAGACATGTACAACGTTTCAAAAAGGTGCGGTTTTGCAAAATACAATTTAACAACATTTTCTAAGTCCCAACGTAGAGTTCAGCCCTCGCATTCTCAGGCTATTATTGAACCAGGAATGTTCCTCTCCTCTCGAGATCTAGTGTGAGCGGTTACACAATATTTTACATTCTTGCACGGATCTAATCACACAGCCCCGACAGCCCGAGATACTTGCCGGAGCAATGGTCGCCGCATGTGCACCCCGAAGGCCAAATATACTTTTCCCGCTCTATTACTCTCCGCGTTGTAACAGATTCGTGCATGTACACGCCATCAATCGCGGAAAAAGTCACGTATTGGGTTTCAAACATCGAAAAACGCGCTGCCGATCGGGGATTTGTTTTATCCGACAGCGTTGAACTCTATATCCAGATCGATGATGAGGATCGCAACTATTACTTGGCTGACCAGGCGACGCACAGCATTTTCTGGTTGGACGAGTATGAAATTTCAGAAATGGGCTTGCTCCCCGTCAGTTGCGTGACTTTTGTACCGACGCAATCTTCGTTTTTCTGACCTCGCTTTTTAAAGTTGGTTTTACAAGAACACTACTGGAGTTACGTTAAGAATCACCCAATGCATTTCGGTGGACTCGACGTCACTTCAAACTACAGCCATAAAGACGACAATCCCGAAAGCTCATATCCGGGACAAAGCCAAAACGTGAACACTCCCGCAGATCCATGCAACACAAAGGCACAAATGTTCCAGGGGGCCAGTGGTCTTTCAATACGTGACTCGGAATTCTACAATACTGCAGGCAATCTCATAAAAATTTCTTATAATGTCTATCCCCAGCCAGGCTCGGAACATGAGCAGGTGCCATTGTTGAGCAACGCAATCCCTCTCTTTCATAGCTGACCTGGAATGCTAGCTATCACTCAAGGATCACCTCTCCCGCGCGATTTCGGTAAGTCCTTCAACCGCTCAATCCACAATCACAATGAAACACAATTTCTACATAGGGACTGAAATCGGAACTGAAATCGGAGATAGTGAGTAATGGAAATTTTAGCCCCATTTTGATCACTGAATATTCGTTATGTTCTGTAGTTCCACGCCATAGCGACAGTGAAAAAATTACTACCATGTCCATTTTCAACCATGGTGAGCGGATTTGTGTAACTCATGGATTTATATTAAAATGTGCATATGATAGGCCGACATACCCCTGGAAGTATGTCCATTCTCTCTGAATTACTTAACCTTAAACCTACACCCCACTCTCATTCCAGGAAAAGGTTGCCAACGACGCCCTCAAATACCCACCGCTTTTGGGTGCCCAAGTTCTTATGAGTAAAACGTCGTTGTATATACCAGGAGTCATGAATCAGTTGCTGTATGTATTATCCTCTTCGGCCCTGGTTTAACTCTTATCTACTTTTTTCTCCAGTTCAAGTGTCCGATACTCCTTCTACTGAATGTGTCTGGATGGGGATTAGCCTAGGTATGCACAGCTTTGAAACGGCTTTCACTTGACTCAACGCGATACTCTGCTCCGTCGCAAACAGAATTTCGGTTATATTGGTGGCCAGATAACTCCTGGCGGTCATGGACCCAAAAGGCTATCGGATATTCCTCGTCTTGCCTTTCAAATAACTCTGAAATCACACAAAAAAGGAGGGGAACGGGAATGCGCCAAACCAAACCAAAAAATGCAATAAACCTAAAAAGAACAAAATCGATAAAACACAAAAAATGTGATTCGCGATCGCGGGCATAGGAAGATGGTCCATCTTGTGTTTTTTTGACAAGGGCTCGGGTAGGAGCCTTCAATGACATATCAAGGCTCGCGCTAGCATCGCACCTGCCGGTTGCGGATGTTGGTGAGGGCATGTAGATTGTCTGTCATTTAGTGCGGGAGGTACTGGCTTTCGTGCGGGTCAAGTGGGTACGGGATGAATATTGATATTGATTCTAGGTTCGAGTCCAGCGAGTAAGGAGTTTGTGCTTATGAAAAATAGCTAAAGTGTGGGGTTCAATTGCGAGGCAAGGGATGCAAGGTGACGGATCACTTACTGGAACAGATATCCTGAGTATGCTCAGCGGTGCAGGCGGCCTAAGCACCCCGATTCTCTTCATCCAATTCACCACCTAGCACGATCTTATCTCTAGCTTCGAGGCCTCGTAATGCGAAGAGGCCGAACCTAAGTCTCTGCGCGCTCTTATCTCTGCTCCTTTGTCCTTGCCATCTTCGTCGCCCTCTTCGTCATTCTCCGCTTCACATCCTCCTTCTCACCCGCACGAAGCATGGGCTCTCGTTCCTTACTAGTTGTGCATTGAGCCCCACCTTCTGCGGCAGGTTCACAAGGTGGACGTATGGTTTCGGCAGTCACAGCTGGGCGAATGCGGTGAATAGGAGGCTAGAATGACTGAATGAAGGGACGATGGTCGAGGTAAAGCGCGCGGTGGGCCAGGCAACGGGGATGAATGAGATTGTGGGCGGCATGACGCCAGAGTTCGCGTAACAGGAACGCAGGGGGTTGTTTGTGCTCTGTGGTGGTGATTGGTGGGTGGAAGCCGGTGCTGGGACCAATGCAGAGGCTCAGCGCTGAGTGCTGATGTGGTAAGAGGTCTGTGGGTTACGACAAAGATAGCTGGAATGTGGAGTTCAATTGCGAGGCGAGGGATGTGAGATAACGAAGTACTTACTGAAACATCTTGAACTGGTACCAGCAGACTCTGCTCCGCAATTCTTCCGTCTCATTCCCAGTCTAGACGACCTTTTCTCCAGTTTTGAGGTCTCGTAATGCAAAGAAGCCAAACTTGACCCTGCTCGCGCTTTACCCCTCCTCCTTTGTCCTTTCCATCGTGGTTGGCCTCTTCATTTTTCCTGCTTCAGATCCTCCCTCCCACTCGCACGCAGGACTGGCTCTCGTTCCCTGCTAGCCGTGCATTGAGCCCCACATCCAGCGGCAGGGGTGGACATACGGTGTCGGCACTCACAGCTGGGCGAATGCGGTGAGCAGGAGGGCCAAATCACTGAATGAAGGGACGATGGTCGAGGTAAAGCCGCGATGAGTTCAGGCGGCGGGGGTGGATGAGGTGGTGGGCAGTATCACGCCATAGTCTGCGTAACGGGAACGGAGGGGGTTGTATGTGCTTTGTGGTGGCGTGCTGAGCCCAATGTGCTCGGTTGGGACGATATCTCATATTATTTGTTGATCGTGACATGAATCATGACGCGTGATGCGTGATCAGCTGACTTTATCTTTGGTTTTCAGAGTCCAGACCGAGCTTCGAATCGGCAGTACAAGAACGCGAAAATAGGGGAGCGGAGTCTCTGGGGAGCAAGGCGAGTCTCAGGTGGCGCTACTCTTTTTGGCGAATTCAAGGCTGTGCGGGTGCTTGGCAATTCGGCAAGTATATCAAGTTTCAACCATTTTCTCTTTCTGGACCACGGGCACCATCGACTATGGTGGGCAGTGCAAACAGTTCACGAGGCGATTCTAATGACAAATACGCCATTCCCTCCATTAACATAACCACTGATTCGTCGACTCCGGCTCTGATCATTTTGCCAGACGTCAACCACAACGTGTCTACTTTACAGTCTCCAGTTTCAGCAGGACTTCTCTCTCCCATCTCTTATAATCCTCGTTCATCCTACGATGGTCCTCCCTCTCCTGCTTTTTCTGACATCTCGGATACTGCTTCCGCCTTGACGACTCCCATCTCCCACACTTTCGAACCATTTTCTTCTGTGCATTCTCAATCATCTCTAGCGCTTCGCGACAACAAGCTTGAACAAAAGTCAGGCATGTCTTTCCTCGGGCTTCTGAACCCATACGATATGTCGTCCTCTGGTCTCTCACACCATCGGAAACCGAGCAATGCAACCTTCTCAAGCATGACCGAAACCGAAGGGGACCATGCAGATGCATTTGATCTTCTGCACCGTATGAAGTCAAATGCAACCTCCTTTACTCACGTTGACTCTCATTCCATTTCGCGGGGTTCTCACAAAAAAACGGACTCGCAGGAAGCTGAATATCAGGAGAGGAAGCCGCAATCGAAAGGCGAGCATGAGACCGATGGCGAACACAAAACCGCACATCAAAGGGAACTCGCTCAAGATGAAGCCATAGACTGCACTCCATTTGAGTTTAAACCCTTTCAGCTTGCCCATATGCTCGACCCGAAGAGCCTCGAAATGCTTGCGAGCTTTGGCAGCTCGGGTGGCTTACTTCATGGCTTGGGGACCACCGCAGACCACGGAATAACAAGCCCTTCTGGTCGGACGAAAAAAGTGAGTGAAAAGGGCAGACCAGGGGTGGATTTGATGACGCGTATCCGACTGACAAGGATGATATGTACCAGACGAAGAAGGAGATTCTAGAAATGATAGCCCATGGGCCGTTGTGGTCGTGAGTCTGATCTGGTACTTTCACGCTTCATAGACAAACTCATTCTATACTACAGCTATGAAGACGACCATCCCAAAATTTCATATCAAGGACAAAGCCAAAACGTAAACACTCTCACAGATCCTTATTGTTTTGGATGAGCGCTGAATGCAACATTAAGGCGCAAATGTTCTCGGAGGCCCGTGATGTTTCGATACGCAACTCAGAAATCACAAATGTTGGAGGTGATTTAACAATAAATAATTATAATATCCATCTCCAGCCAGACTCGGAACCGGTGAAGGTGCGATTGTTGAGCAACGCAATCCTTCTCTTTCACAGCTGACTTGGAACACTAGCTATCAACCTGGTATGGCTGGATTGATCCGTTTTCGGTGAGTCCTTAAACTGCTTGATCCACAAACACAATGAAACACGAGGATCTGAAATCGAAGATGGTGAGTAATGAAAATTTACCTCAATTTTGATCACTGAGCATTATGTGCTGTAGTTCCATGCCGCGGAGAGAGTTAAGAATTTACTACCATGTCCATTTTCGACCATGGTGAGCTGTCTTGTGAAAATTTCCCTAATCATGGATTTTTATCGAAATGCCCATACAATAGGCCGAGATACCCCTAGAAGTATGTCCGTTCTCTCCGAATCACTTTACTAGTCTGTACCTACACCCCACTCTCATTCCAGGAAAAAGTTGCCCAAGACGCTCTCAAATACCCACCACTTCCGAATGGCACAATCCTTCTGAGTAAAACATTGTTGTGTATACCAGGAGTCGTGAATCAGTTGATGTATGTATTATTCTCTTCGGCTCTCATTTAACTCTTATCTAAATTTCTCTAGTTCGAGTGTCCGATACTCCTTCTACTGAATGTGTCCGGGGGGATCAGCCTAGGTATGCACAGCTTCGAAACGGCCTCCATTTGACTCAACGCGATACTGTACTCTGCTCTGTCTCACGCAGCATTTCGGTAATATCGGCGGCCAGACAGCTTCTGGCCACCATGGACCCAAGTGCTATCGGATATTCCTCATCTTTTCCTTTCAAATAACTCTGAAAATCACACAAAAAAGGAGGGGAACGAAAATGCGCCAAACCAAAAAAAAATGCAATAAATCAAAAAAGGACAAAACCGATGGGCATAGAAAGACCGTCCATCTCGTGCTTTTTTCACATGGGTTTGGAAGAGCCCAGGCCTTCGGCGTATCAATGTTGATGAGGGCACGCAGATTGTCTGTCATTTGGTGGAGGAGGTACCAGATTTCATGCGGGCCAAGCGCGTACGGGATGTATATTTATATGAAGTCCGAGTTCGAGTGTAGAAAAAATATACATAAAAAGTGGAGATCACTTGCAAGGCAAGGGATGTGAGAGAACGGAGCACTTACTGGAACATCTTGAACATGCTCAGTGGTGCAGGCGGACTATGCACCCCGATTCTCTTCGTCCCATTCCCGGCCTAGCACAACCTTATCTCCAGTTTCGAGGTCTCGTAATGCTACGAGGCTGAACTTGAGCCTGCGCGCGGTCTTACCCCTTCTCCTTTGTCCCCGCCATCTCTTCATTTTTCCTCCTTCATATCCTCTTTCCCACCCGCACACAGCACCGGCTCTCGTTCCCCTGTTAGCCGTACATCGAGCCCCACGTTCAGCGGCAGGCTCATGAGGTGGTTTCGGCACTCACAGCTGGGCGAATGCGGTGAGCAGGAGAGCTATATGACTGAATGAAGGGATGATGGTCGAGGTAAAGCGCGCGATGAGTTCAGGCGGCGGGGGTGGATGAGGTGGTGGGCAGCATCACACCAGAGTCTGTGTAACGGGAACGGAGGGGGTTGTTTGTGTCTTGTGATGGCAGCGTTTTGATAGAGGTCGATGTGCTGTGCCAATGCAGAGGCTGATGCATAATCTGCTGAGTGCGGCTGTAGTTTTGTTCTTGTTTCGTTGCTTGGGACGATATTGGTGTACATAGAGCAAGTGCAGAGGACTTCTCTCGGGAAAGAGACGGTCCTGTCACCCGGCAAGCGCCGACGCGCGCCATGTCAGGGTGCTGAACTGTCCCTCGGTGATCGGACTGTCTCCTCAGGGTCCATCCCCTTTTGGGATAGTGTCACGTGCTTTCGCGCCCTTCCTCTTGCGCGTCGCTCACCAACTCCTCATTTCAGGTCGACCGCCTGCGACCCCGCGCCTAACGCTAGCCTCGGGGACGACAAAGCGTCACCAAAAGTTGCTGTTCAGCAAACTCAGGAGGAGCGAGAGCGTATTCTTCAATGGGTGAGTGCATTTTACAGCCTTGTCCTTCAAGTTAATGTGTGTAGGCAAGAGACATCGTCAAAAAATATCCCTACCAGCCACGGAAAGTGCGACAGGAAGCTGCTCGTGCAAAGGTATGTTGTTTAGTGTTTAGTCTTCCAATGAATTTCTTCACAACTTACAAGAAGATATCACAGCATCAATTGAATTTCTGTGAACAGTGCGGAAGATCCACCTTGCAAGATAGTACTTGATAGCTAGTTCTACGTACCGTAAATGATGGGGTTCACTAACAAAAGCATGGATCAACTCGATATAATTTACTCCTTTGAAATTGGCCTGAGCCTAATAATATAGAGAATCTACATAAAACCCCCCCTCAGATCTGTTGTGTGCCCACAAGACCGAGCCGCAAATGTGAACAGCTGGCTGCCACATCTCATAAATGGGGGAGGTAATTGCTGGATTAATCAGCATCAAGTAGAACCCAAGAACGTAGAAATCGAGTCAGAACTTACATGCAAACCCCAAATTCTGCCCAAAGACTTTATCCCCCCCCCACAAAATAGACACAGAACACGAACGGCTACGTGCCACATTTCGTAAAATCATGGGGCGGATGCTGGAGAGACTGACATAAATTAGAACCCAGCAGCCTAAATGCCGAGTAGGAATTCACTTGTCAATCACAATTTACGGCATTGGACCTTGTCCCGACAAAATCGAACGCTGAATTGGTACGGTTGCAAACCATGTTTCGTAAACTCAGAGAATAAATTCTGGAGCAATTCCAGTCAAGTAGAACCTAAGAACATAAAGTCCGAGTATGAACTTACTTGTCAACGCAGATTTTTGGTGCTGGACCCTATTTTCTCACAGAACTGAATGCCGAATTTGAACGGTTAGGGCCCACATTTCGTAAACTCGGGAGGTCGCTCCTGAACCAATTTCGGTCAAGTAGAGCACAAGAACGTAGAATGCGAGCAAGAACTTACTTGTTAACCTCAATTTTCAGTGATGGACCTTATTTCCTCACAGAACCAAACACCGAATCTGAAGGGTTGGGCGCCATGTTTCGTAAACTCGGGAGGTCGCTTCTGAGGTAATTTCGGTCAAGTAGAGCCTAAGAACGTGAAAATTGAGCAGGAACTCACATGTCAACCATGATATCTGGTAAGGGACATTATTCCCTCGCAAAACCGAACGACTGAATTCGAACGCTTAGGCGTCATGTTTCGTAAACTCGGGTGGTCGTTCCTGAGGTAATTCTCGTCAAGTAGAGCCTAAGAACGTAAAATTGAGCAGGAACTTACATGTCAACCTTAATTTCTGTTTATGGGCCTTATTCCCCCCACAAAACCGAAGACTGAATTCGAACGCTTAGGCGTCATGTATCGTAAACTCGGGTGGTCGTTCCTGGAGTAATTCTCGTCAGATAGAGCCTAAAAACGTAAGAATCGAGTGAGAACTTACATGTCAACCTTAATTTCTGTTTATGGGCTTTATTCCCCCCACAAAATCGAGCACTGAATTCGAACGCTTGGGCTTCATGTTTCGTAAGCTCGGGTGATCGTTCCTGGAGTAATTCTCGTCAGATTGAGCCTAAGAACGTAAGAATCGAGCGAGAACTTACCTGTTAGCCTCATTTTCTGGTAAAAGACTTTATTTTTTTGCAGAACCGAACGCTGACTTTGAACGGTTGGGCGTGATGTTTCGCAAACTCGGAAGGTTGTTCCTGAGGTAATTTCCGTCAAATAGAGCCCAAGAACATAATATATGAGTAAGAACTCACTTGTTGAGCTCAATTTCTGCCAATAGACTCGATTTTCCCGCAGAACTGAAATTTGAACGGATGGGCGGTCCGTTTCGTAAACTTGGGAGGCGCTTCCTGTAGTAGTCAGCGTCAGATCAAGCCCATGAACATGAAATTCGAGCCAGAACTCACGGAGTAAATCCATTTTTGGTATGGTCTTCTGGAGGGAGGACTTGCCAAACCTCGTTGATGCCGGAGATAGCTGGTGGACGTGGAGATAAGATGGCGGGGCACGTTCTGCCTCCTTAGATACATATAATGGCACAGGCTAAGATGAGAAGCGGGATGGGGTCATCGGTCAAGGGATCGGGGTAAGTGGCCGAGGCAAGAACTTGTAAGCTGTGGCCCGGGAAGTCAAGAAGATAACCGAGGACTGTCTCTTGATGCGCATGGGACCGTCTTTTTCGAGGCTTGCGACGGTTTCGCAAAGCGCGGGAAAAAAAATTGGCAGAGGATCTCGACGCATCTTGCAGCAAAAAGACGGTCCCAGCTGGTCCCTGCTGAGGAAAAAGACTTGAAAAAGACAGTCCGTCAGAACAGGACCCCTGAAAATACCCTTGGAACCCAGATCCCAATCCGGATAAAAATTCTGAAATTTTTTTGAAAACCCATAGCACTGTCCGGATAGAATTTGGGCTGTTTTGGCTGAAACCCGGAGGCAGATTTCCGGATAGAGTTTGGGCTGACCCACCAAACCCAGAGCCACTTCCGGATAAAAATTGGTGCAGGTGGGGATCCGAACTCAAGACATATTGAATGTGTGAAAGTCATCAACTAAGCCGTTAACATTTTAACCACTACACCAAGTGAACTTGATATTGGTTTCTCACTTTGACCATCTTACACCATCGATATTTGCATTTCTCTATATACCTCAGAGGGGCCACGAAATGGGCACAATTTAGTGTTTTGTTATTTGAGATGCTTGTAGGATGCTTATTAGGGCTCCAGAGGAGATGCCGAGCGAGAAATTGGTGTTTTTAAGCGAAAATAGGTGTTTTTAAGCGAAAATTTGGTGTTTTCAAGTGAAAAAAGCGAAAGTAGAGGTTTTGGGTAACCCACATCCGCGTCCGGATAAATTTTGCCCATACCTGGACCCAGATCCGCCATCCGGATAGAAATTGTCCAAAACTGTCCGGATAAAAATTCCAAAAATTTCGACTTTTTGGATCTGGGTTCCAAGGGTAATTTCAGGGGTCCTGTCAGAACCCTGCCGGTGGTGGCTAATCAGGACTACTCACCAGTTCTAGAACTGTACCCTGACGTGACATGGACCCTAGTTTTCGCTTGATTGATCTCCTCACTGCCAAAGCGAGGCTGAAGCATCGTTGTAAATTAATGTACACTGGCAAAATATAAAGCCTTGCATATCGAAAGTCAGTTTACTTGGGGCCCACCAAACATCTTTCTCACCGTCTGAGCTGTAAGCTTTGCCCTGTTCATCTCGTTCCCTCTCCAGAGTCCAAGCACAATGTTGGTGATCTCGCCAAACATTGACCCTGTCGTGGATGTGACGCCCTCCCACTCCTATGATCCTGTGCAGTCTCCTCAAGCCATGATGTGAGTAGTTGATCCAGATTTTTGAATTCCATTTTGTGTATGGGCAAACATACCTGTGTTTGTAACCTGAATTCCGCCCCTCCTCCTCCCATTTCCCTTCTCCTTTGTTTGGTTGCTACTGTTCCAACCTTCATCTTCTATGTGTGGGTGTTTCCACCGTCCGCGCGAGCGCTCGTTCATTTTGCTTTGTGCGCTGTTCGGGTGAGGTCCCTTTGAGGTCCCTTTTCGAGCCCTACCCTTTCTTGGCGGGATCTGGTCACAGATCGGTCACAGTGATCAGACTGTCTTTTTCGTCGGTCGCAGCCTTACTTCGCGAATCGTGATCAATCGATCAGCTGACGTCATATAATTTTTTGGTTCGTGACTGCCTCAGGTTCGAACAACCCCACACTATTTACTTTTGCACAAGTCTCTGGTCATTCTACCTTTGTGGACAACCCGGGAAGAGATCTGCCACGTTCTCCGTGAAAGTTGGTTAATTGGCAAGGAATAGGAATATCATACAGTTGGCCAAGAACAGGCCAAGAACGGGAAATGTCAAAGGTTAGGCGCCGCGTGACTACAGCTGAGCGCTGAGAGGCTATGCGGCTAGTCTGGCATACCAAGAGACATTGGCTGTGCCCAGATATAACCTGGCCTTAATCGTTGACTCCATCCCCCTCCTACCTCTCCCTCAAGTTTGCTCATTCCATCAATATAAAAGAATCCAAACGGTGCGTCGTTAAACACCTGGCACGCAGCACAACTGAGCCAATTACACAACCAGTTTACCCCTCTCAAGTGCTCGAAATATGACCACACCGCAGTTTGAGATTGATGGTCCAGAACTCTCACCATCGTCTCCCATTCCAATTCCTTCCCCATCCGACACCCAACCATCTTCCTCATCTTCCTTTGTATCTCACAGCGAGCACGTTCATCTCCCAGCTGATGGAATGTTTTCTCCAGCATCCTTTGCTGCTTTGCATCCCCTACCAGGATCTATGTCTCCATCTTCTTCTTTTGTTGCCACAACCGACAGCCAACATGGGTTTATTAACATGTCCACCGTGGACAACCTTTCTTACACCCCATCCGAGGACTCGGAAGGAACGTACCGCGACACTGCCCAAATTGCTGCCACTGGGCGTCGCAGTTGGAAAACCCTTGGAGGAAAGGGCAAAGCGGTTTGGCCACCCAATTTGTTAGTATGCTTTGCCAACGACCGACTAACCGAAACCGACTGTAATTTTTTGTAGTGAGGCCGCTCTGATCGAAGGCAAGCCACGCTTCAAAATGGTTTCACGGAGACTCTGACTAACGCCGTTTCATTCACCCTTGAAAAAAAATATCAACTAGAAGGAACACCACCAAGTCGAAACATTGTAGATTTGGTTTCTCCTAGAGATACAGCCCTCCACTCACCATCTTGGGCTTCACAGCTTTGGGAATCAGGCCCTGGCAGCTCTCTCCGTTCTCCCTCTCACATTCACCCTTCAGCCCCTCACTCTCCCATGACCGACGGCACGACAGTACCACCCAATCCTACTCCCAACAACCTTGATGCACAATCGGACGAGTATGCTTGCCCAACCAAGGACATTGTTGTCCCGTACGTCTTCGTTGTCCTACCAGCGTACTAAAACTTACCGGACAATCAGAGTTATTGTTATTGATACTCCTGATGATGATGAACGCAATCGAACTTGTTTTCAAAGTCGGTGAATCTTTGTGTCGCAGTACGCATTCCCACCCAGCCCTCTAGCTACAGATCTCAGCACCTTCCCCGCACAATCGGACGACTATGCTTGCCAAGTCAACGACATTGTTGACCCGTACGTCTTCATTGTCCTACCACTGACCAGTGTGCTAAACCTTACCAGACAATCAGAGTTATTGATATTCCTGATGATGATATGTATCAGACTGACGAGGGTGACCAGACTAGGAAGAAGATTCTAGAAAATATCCTCCAGCGGTCGTGAGTCTGATCTGGTACTTTCACGCTTCGTGGACACACTCATTTTAAACTACAGCCGCGAAGATGAACGCAACTGGATCAGGCTTAAACGCCGCTGGCCGATCTGGCCTTCACACTTCCCAGACACATTGATTTCAAACTACAGCTACTATTCTGGATACTTCTTGCCCGAAAGATCACATTCGAGACAAAGCCAAAACGTAAACACTCTCGCAGATCCTTGTTGTTTGGATGAGTGCTGAATGGGTTGTTTGGATGAGTGCTGAATGGAACATAAAGGCGCAAATGTTCTCGGGGGCCCGTGGTGTTTCAATATGCGACTCGGAAATCAACAATGTTGCAGGTGACATGATAATAAATGTCCATGGCCAGCCAGACTTGGAACCGGTGCAGGTGCCATTGTCAAGCAACGCAATCACTCTCTTTCACAGCTGACTTGGAATGCTAGTTATCACTCAAGGATCACCTCTCCCGTGCGATTTCGGTAAGTCCTTTAACTGCTCAATCCACAATCACAATGAAACACAAATTCTACGTAGGGACTGAAATTGGAACTGAAAGCGGACATAGTAAGTAATAAAAATTTTAGCCAAATTTTAGTTCCATCTTGATCACTGAATATTCATTATGTGCTATAGTCCCGTGCCACAAAGACAGTTAAAGATGCGATAGAAACAGTTAAAATTTACTACCACGGCCGTTTTCGACCACGGTGAGCGGTTCTGTGTAATGCTCCCTTATCATGGATTTATTTTGAAATGACAATAGGCCGAGATACCCCTAGAAGTATGTCCATTCTCTCCGAATCACTTTACTAGTCTGTACCTACACCCCGCTCTCATTCCAGGAAAAAGTTGCCCAAGACGCTCTCAAATACCCACCACTTCCGAATGGCACAATCCTTCTGAGTAAAACATTGTTGTGTATACCAGGAGTCGTGAATCAGTTGATGTATGTATTATTCTCTTCGGCTCTGATTCAACTTTTATCTAAATTTCTCCAGTTCGAGTGTCCGATACTCCTTCTACTGAATGTGTCTGGGTGGGGATTAGCCTAGGTATGCACAGCTTCGAAACGGCTTTCGTTTGACTCAACGTGATACTGTACTCCGCTCTGTCTAAAACAGCATTTCGGCAATATTGGCGTCCAGATAACTCCTGGCAGTCATGGACCCAACGGCGATTGGATAGTCCTCATCTTTTCCATTCAAATAACTCTGAAAATCACACAAAAAAGGAGGGGAACGGAAATGCGCCAGAAAAAAATGCAATAAACCTAAAAAGAACAAAACCGATAAAAACACAAAAAATGTGATTCGCGGGCATAGGAAGTCCATCTTGTGCTTTTTTGACAAGGGTTTGGAAGAGCCTTCAAGGACGTATCAAAGCTCGCGCTAGCACCGCAACCTGCTGGTTGCGGATGTTGATGAGGGCATGCAGATTGTCTGTCATTTGGTGCAGGGGGTACTGGATTTCGTGCGGGTACGAGATGTATAGTTATATGAAGTTCGAGTTCGAGTCCAGCGAGTAAGGTGTTTGTGTGTAGAAAAAATATACAAAAAATGTGGGGATCAATTGCGGCACTGAGGGATGTGAGAGAACAGACTCGGAGCACTTACTGGAACATCTTAATGACTATGCTCAGCGGTGTGGGCAGACTTGCACCCCGATTCTCTTCGTCTGATTCCCGGCCTAGCATGACCTTATCTCTAGTTTCAAGGCCTCGTAACACGATGAGGCTGAACTTGAGAGCCTGCACGCGCTCTAACCCCTTCTCCTTTCTCCTTGCCATCTGCATCGCTCTCTTCATCCTCCTTCCCACCCGCAGGCCGCATGCAGCACCGGCTCTAGCCGTGCATCAAGCCCCACGTCCACCAGGCTCACGAGCTGGACATACGGTTTCGGCGCTTGCAGCTGGGCGAATGGGGTGAGCAAGAGGCTAAACGATTGGATAAAGGGATGTTAAACTGATTTTAGACGCTGCATATCATCAGGGTGTCTAAGTTTGAACTTTAAATTTTCACACGCAGAGGTAGGGATCGGACACATAGGCGCCCTGTTTGTAGCCCTCAGCTCCAGCGGTAACACAGCTGCCTGCTATCAGTTCAGTCGATAAGATAACTGTTGTGTTCTATGCAGAGGAAAGGGATAAGTAAACAAGTAATTCAAGTTCACGAATAACTTGGTTGTGCCAAAGTCTTGCCCAGACACGAAGGGGTCACGTGAACAAGACTTGAGCATCCAGTGAAGTCAATTGTGGCGAATACTTGCCAAAACCAACTGACAGTGCTGAACACTTTAGGGATGGTGGGTGGGTTCGAAAATTTTAAGGAGGTAACCGACAAGTAATTTCTTCGTGTCAGAACCAGATCCAAGTGATGGGGAGAAGCACTCCCCGAAACATAGACATATATTAGTATTTGTACATGTAAATGTCTGGTTCTGACACAAAACCTTATCTTATCCTAATATGAGCATGCTCTCGTTCCTCAAGCTTACTCATCACGGAATAAGATAACTGTTGTGTTCTATGCAGAGGAAAGGGATAAGTAAACAAGTAATTCGAGTTCATGAATAACTTGGTTGTGCCAAAGTCTTGCCCAGACACGAAGGGGTCACGTGAACAAGACTTGAGCATCCAGCGAAGTCAATTGTGGTGAATACTTGCTGAAACCAACTGACAGTGCCAATCCGAGTGTAAGCTCACAACAGCAGATTGGTGAGGCAAGGATGAGCCAATCTGGCTGCCCAATTGAGTGTCAGTCGGATTGAAGGTTTAGGGCAATGTCAAATAACATTTTAAGGATACAATAAGGAGAGTAACATTTTACGGAGACATGGGAGAGTTGGGAGGTTGTTACAGAAGAGTTACATACAAATAATATGAGAGAGGATGTTATACAATTTAGAGGGATGTAAAATTATCAAGTGAAGTAGAAGGAAGTTTATGGGCAATGCGGAATTGTTCAAAAATAGATGCAAGGCGATGAAGATCTGCTTGGTTGTAAGCTTTTGAGGTTGACATGGGGAGGATTTCATCCATACGGCGCCAATAAAGGAGGAAGGCAAGAGATGTCCATCCACCAGTGGCTGCAACAATTTCAGGCAGAACACCTGCAAGAAGTAGTTCAACTGCGCCGCCAATGCGGAAACTGTGTCCCAAGACATGGGCGAGCATAGTGGAGGACCAGATGCCGGTGACGAAGCTCAGAAACTCGTTTTTGAGGAGGTTCTTGGGACTGCCCAAAGATGTTTTGTATGCAAAAAGTGCAGAAGAGGCTGGAATGGAAGAGTTGACATCCAGATGGTTCTTCAAGGCTGCAACAGGGCACAAGGGATCATTCTCACGGCGGGCAGTGAGGATGACAGAGGCACCAAGCTCTTTGGTCGTCTTTGTCCATGGGATATCGAAAGTGGCAGAGTGAGTGCCATCACACAGTACACGGAAAAGGATTCTGAGAAGAAAGTAATAAGAAAGAGTGGTAAGCAGTAAGAATAAAGTAAACATACTTGGTTGAGCGCAGTACATGGTATTTAGGATCGAAGGCAGCGCCAACGGCAAGAGTAGTTTCGCCAAGACGGCGGCAGCCAAAAAAGGTCACGAGAGCGACAGCCCACACAGCGGCATGGAACGGGGAGGAGAGATTCAGAGAGCGACGAAGGCATGAGAGGTGTTCAATAGAGACGGGAGCACGTGGAGCCAGTTTGTGCTTTGTACCTTCTTTGTTGGCTGAGATGCGAGCAAGATGTACCCAGTCATTGTCACCATACCAGGGGGCATGATTGATGAGGTGCCAGCTTCGTAATCCGGCTAGCCAGGAGTGAATGGTGTTGCCGGATTGGAGGCCTTTATATTCACCAATAAATGCACAAAGGAGAGCATAGTCGGCTGGCATGCGAGCCTCTTCAGTAATACCCCACTTGTCACAGAATTGTGTGAAGCGAAGTGGGCCTGCGCCATAAGTTGATTTGGTATTGGGAGCTAGAGCTCCCCAGACGGCCATAAGCGCAGATTCGGCGAGAGGAGCAGGGAGTCTTCTGGCAACGCCGGCATGATGATGAGAGCCGAAAGGTGTTCGCCATGAGAAGATGCGGTCTGCAGCAGGAACACGAGGACAGAGGTTGTTGTGGACAATAGATCGGCCAGATTGGGGTTTGTGAGGACGTATAATGCGAGAGAAGGAAGTGGAAGGTTGGGAAGTGGAGGATTCAAGTGGCGAGGAGGGTTGGGAGGGAAACAGTTCAGAAGTGCAGTCAGTGAGAGGGGAAGGTCATAGAAAAGGGTGGAAGGAGTTTTGAGAACGCGTGGGGCGCAGTGAGATAGAGCTGGGAGATTTTATCTGACCCACGGGTCTCTCGGCGACACGTGTCGACGAGGTAAGTTTACGGTCAAGGCTAAACATGAAGAAAACAATCAGTAAGCTCATTAGGGAGCTTGAAGTTATGGGAAACACGCTTTCCAGCCTCCCCGAGATCTCTGCGCGAGATGGGGTCAGCTGGATTAGCAACCGAGTCAATGTAAATGATTTTAGGAGAGATTGACAAGTGGGAAAGAATGAGGTATGTGCGGCGAACGGAGAGGTTAATGTGAGAATTGGGACTATGGCCCTTATCCAAGGCGCCAATAGTTCCCTGGTTGTCAGAGTGGATCAGGAGGTGGCAGTCATGTAGACCAAGTTCCTCCAGAAAATAGGCAAGTAGTTCAATTGCGACCGTTTCAAGCCAGCAGATGTCCCTCCCCGCAACTTTCCAAGTTGGGGACAGTTGGAATGCAGCCCAATGGTCACCGATGATGATACCGATCCCCCAGGACATGGAGGCATCAACGAAAAGGTGGAGATCCTGAAGAGGGCCGCGAGGGCGCAAGGCGCGTGTAACGCTCCTGTCATTGAGCTTTTGAAGCCACCATGCCAAATCCGTCATCATTGAGTGAGGTGGATATTTTGTTAGAAGTTCGTTGTTGTGAAAGGAGGATGCGAAGTTCGACAGAGAAGGAAGGCGGGAGCGGCCATCAAGATAGACAAATGCAACATGGCATAAGGAGCCATGGATCTTCTCGATGTCGAGTAAATGACAACGACGACCTGAGAATTGGTTAAGAACAGGAGCAATAATAAATGAGAGACAAGGATGACCTTGGAAATCATTGAGAAAATGCCTGACGCATTCGTGGAATTTGAGACGCTTGTCATCGGGAAGACTGACAAGTTTCTGTGGGATGTCCCATTGGAAACCAATGAAGGTAGTGACAAATAGGAAATGGTCATCGCCCTTCTCGTCATGCCAAGGGACGCCCAAAGGAGCGATGCGGCACAACATTTCAGTGCAGTCGCAGTCATAAGAAAAAGGGCCGCTGTGGAAGGTACCCGTGGGTGAAGGAACACGGAAGACCTTCAAGTCGTCTTCATACTTTGGGACAGGAAAGACACCCTCAGCTTTCCAAATGTCAACGACGGCATTGGCAATCATGCCAGCATTGCTGCTGGCGCAAGCAGCGCCGAAGGGGTGTGCGTGATCAATAAAGAATTGGTCGGGCAAGCCTTGGACGACAAGCCAAGGTTTATGAGAAGGTAGGACGGGACAAGTGCGGTGGAATTTTTCGATGTCCAAAGTGCAAGCTTGGGTCCCCAGGGGGGCCAAGGCAATCTGCATGCATGTGTAAGCCTCAGTCATGAAGGAAAGAGGGATATAGAAGATAGAAGTGAGGGAGCGGGCAAAACCATGAGGTATGCGAACAGGACAAGAGTCCGTGCAAGAAAGGGGACATCATGAGATGTCCGAAAGGAGGAACACGAAGCATGTTCGACCATGAGATATGCGAACGAGGACAAGAGTCCGTGCAAGGAGGGGACATCATGAGATGTTGGAAGGGAGGAACACGAAGTGTCTTCAACATTGCGCAAGGGTGCGCCAGAGATAGGTGGGCAAGAGCCTGAGATAACGCATAAAGGATGCAAAATCTGAATGTGTGTATGGCACAGAAGAAGAAAACAACCCTACGCACAAAATGCAAAAGGGCGTATAATGAAACGAGAGAAAATGGAGGGGGAAGAGACTGAGGGAATGAGAACTCACAATTTCTGCGACTTTTGATGCGAGGTCGAAACACGTCGGAAAGTCTTCTTTGTGGATATGCAAGTTCACAGAAGCGTGCAGTTTGGAAGCTTTAGAAAGGTGTCTGCAGATTCTGACTTTATCAGGCATACCGCGTTGCTGGGGCTGGAGTGAGACAATAAGGGGGGAAGCTTGGAAAGGGCCACAAAGAATAAGTTCAGTCTCTTTGCGAGAGAAAGGGCCAGACATTCTGCCGGCCAGAAGTTCCTTTTGGAGATAGTCCTGAATGTCGGACATGTAAGCAAAGGTGGATGGATTGTTAGGGAGGACGACACCATTCGTCAGCGTGGGCATGCATCCGAGGGGAAAACCATGCCTGAGATTGCCAGGAAGTAGGGGGTAGTGAGATAAAAGATCATGTTTAAGCAAGAGGGACTCGAAGGCATCGGGGTTGTAAGGGTGTGGAACATGTGCAAATATTGAAGAGTGAAAGGAAGTAGATGACGGTAGGGGAAGGCGAGGGAAAACGGAATGGGAAAAATCAGTGTATTTGAGATGAGGAGGGGTTGACACAGAAAGGAATTCTTCAAGCGGTCTTGGTGCGACAGGTCCAGGAGAGAGCGTGATGGCTCTTGCTGCCACAGAAGGAACATAGATGGAGGTGGTCGTCTTTGTGAAGGGCGGCGCATTGGGGAGCGGCGTCAGCGCCTCGAACATTCCAGTTGATGCAAATGGTGAGGTTGTCGGGCGTGACGAGTCCAGCACCTGGGCTACATTTTGCCCAGACCGCTTTGCCGTCGGCAAATTTGACGATGATGGTGGCCTTTTGGTGGAAGAAGAGGTTGTGCCCCCTTTGCGCACAGGTGAGGCAGACGGCGCTGGAGGAGGGCTTGCCGCTGCCTGAGGAAAAGGGCTGGAAGGAGCCTCGTGGCAAATTCCTCTGTGTGGGAGGTCCAGAAGTACCGCGGTAGGGTGGCCCTGACCGCGGAGTCGCCGTCTGGGAAGTGACGACGAATTCCTGGAATTCCTTCCGAAGTTTGTGGGTCTCCTCGGTCAGGCCCAGGGCCTTGTCATAGTCTGGAGCACTAAATTTGAGGTGCCGGCTCCTGTGATCCTGTCGGAATTCTAACTCCATGGTTTTCCACGCGTCATAGAGTTCGTCCCTTTTGTTCAATGTGTTAAAAAAATTGAAGTGTTTTTCAAACTAAGCAGCATGTTCTCCATCTGCACCTGACTTGTCCCTAGAGATTTGGAAGCTCCACATGTTGGCAGCTGCTTCGGACCATTGGCTGCATGTGAGGGNACAGCTCTTTCCCAAAACGATTTGAGAGTTTGTCTAAATTAAGAATACTATGTTTGTTCAGGTGTTTGAAACTTTTTCACCGCTGCGCGATTTCTGCCTCACCACTTCATCGAATTCTTTAAATTTTTGACAAGCCAATAATCTTTTTTCTCTTCTATATGAATATCTACTCTTTTTTGGTATAAATGTGTTGTGTTCGCTGTCAGAGGCATTCCGGTGCTCAGGGTTCAGATATATCAGGAGATTGAAACTTGTGTCACACTAGGTAACAACAAATTTGGCTGATGGATGATGTGCAAATGTCACGCAAATGTCACGTTTTTCGAGCTGTTTGCAAGCAAAATTTGGTATTTTGCCCTTCTTCCTGAGAGCACTTCATCTCCCCCTCTAGAAATTTGTAGGTAGACTTTCAAATACAATTTAAATGTACTTGGAAAGTTTCAGAATAAACAGTCTAGCTGATCCAAAGAGATCTGAGAAAACATTCCAATACTTTTGTTTGGTTGGTGTAATGAAAAGCACAAAGTCATGCCTCCAGAGCACAAATCTTCGAATCTCCCTCTGAAATTTTGGAATAGTAAATCTCATGCATAAATACATCTTCCCTGAAATTTACAAGATCCTAACGTAAGCGGAAGGCAAGATAATGTGCAGTTTCAAACTCCTGATGGGTTTCAAACACCTGAACAAACATAGTATAAGTACCCTTTGTTTCCCCAGGTGCAGGGTTTGATTTGACGGTAGGGAGGGTTGAAGCTTCATCAATCAGAGATCGGAGATTCCGGGTGAGGAAGAAGGGAAGTGGCACTGCAACACAGATTTCAGTGTCATATAAAGATTGCGGGAATTCAATGGGAATTGGCTCCCCCACAACTCTTTCTACATGATTAGTTCCATCCATGCAACGCCTTTTGGAGAGTCTGAGACTTTCTGCAGAGACATCGTCGTCTTTCCTTTTTTTCTCCTCCTTTTCTTTAAGTTCATCATCGGCTAGGCGCCTCGCCAAACTGTTGTAAACATGCTCGCGAATGGAGGCAAAGAAGGACGGGATCCTTAATCGGGCCAGATCTTCAGGATCAATGGTGATCAATGAAGCGACTTCTGATCCCAGCTCAGGATGACCAGCTGGGTCTAGAGCATGATTCAAGGTCTTGGCGGATCTGGCATCGTTGTCAGCCTCAATGTTCTTGTTTTTTTGTAAAATGTTGGGTAGGGAGAGGTTTTTTAAGAGCTGAATAATTGTAGGCAAAGTGTGGGTGCGCGGCACACGAGGCTGAGGGGTGAGAGTGCTGTCGGTGATTGTGTCGACCATAGTGCGAGATGCAAAATTTTGCAGGGAGCTCAGGAAGTCTTTCGAAAATTTTAAGGAGGTAACCGACAAGTAATTTCTTCATGTCAGAACCAGATCCAAGTGATGGGGAGAAGCACTCCCCGAAACATAGACATATATTAGTATTTGTACATGTAAATGTCTGGTTCTGACACAAAACATTATCTTATCCTAATATGAGCATGCTCTCGTTCCTCAAGCTTACTCATCATGGAATGTTTCCCCTCAGGTCAGGCGCACCTCGACAAGACTTGTGTCTCGTCGACAATAATGGTCACGTGAGTGATGGATGGCGACGTGATTTCGCCCTTCAACAAGGATCTGACTGACGCTATTCAGAGGGAGGGTGAACAGTACGACAATGTTTCCGACCTCGCGGACGCTTCGTTGGAGCATTGGGGACTTGGATCGGATGCGGGGTCGGGATCAACCTCCCAAGAGAAGACTATCAGGCGTCGAAGCAGCAAAGGTGCGTTGCTGAATTACAATACCCGCGAACCTCTTTCACCGATTCAATGATTGCACTAGCGTGCGACCCAGCCCAGGCTGTAGTTTTAGACCAAATTGACCTGGAATGTTGCACCTTATTCATTTCCATAGGGTGTGCAATTGGCCACTTGGCTAAAATGCCATGGGCTGTGGAACCTTGATATATTTGAAAAAATGCCTCTCAAAAATAAAAACCATTGCATCTATAATAAAATATACCCCTCAAATATGTTTTCTGCTTATAATATTCTTCTACAGCATCTATTTTTAGCCTGATATGTTTGTGATTTATTACAAATCTAAATATAGCTCACATGTGTTTCATGATTCAAAATTCTCAGAAATGGGATATTCTGGATCACTGATATGTTTTCTGTATGTTTTGTCTTCCTAAAGAGCATCCAGATATGTTTTTTCTTGAGATCCAGAATGTTTGTAATTTATTACAGATCTAAATATAGCTCAGATATGTTTGATGATTCAAAAATCTCACATCCTGGATCAGCATTGATGACTGGTATGTTTTCACTGTGGATGTTTTCTTTTTGTCTGAAGAGCAATGTATTTTTTCTTGGAATTCAAAATGTTGGACAGATCTAAATATAGCTCAGATATGTTTTATGATTGAAATGGTACATTCTGCATCAGCATTGTTGACTGGTATGTTTTCTTGTATTCTGTGTATGTTTTTCTTGCCAAAAGAGCATCCACATATGTTTTTGCATGTCATAATTCTTCTAAAAAAGCTGCATTTCACCAGAATATTCCAATTGTAATGATTCCCAGTTTTCTCCATCAAAACTTGTGTTACAGCTACTCAAAGCTACCAAGTAATGTGGAAATATATTTCCGATTTTTTCAAAAAATTTCCGCCTCCATCAGAGGTGTGGAGATGATGGATGCGCAAGCCATGTTCTGGATGACCTTTTGTTCTTTGATCCTTCTGAGGTAACAAACAATCATCAACAAAGGTAGCTTCTGAGTGCGGAATCATGAAAAGTGCACTTTTGAGGGTGTTATTCAATATATTGATGGATTTGACTTCATAGTTCTTCAGTTTCAATTGGTTTGTATCATATAATATGTATTTTGTATTTCAATTCAGCAGCTTTTCAGATGGATGGCTCAGGTTCCAGCTGGATGACATTGCCACATAGATACAAATAGTTGCCCAAAGGCACGGTCATTCATTCTCTACACTTGTATTTAATGAAAGATACACATTTCAGTACTCTAAAAGAAGAACATAAACCATTTTCCATGTTTCGTGTGCATGGCGCCCTCGCAAGTGGATGGATGCCACATGGTGAAGTTGGATGACGAGTTTGAAAGCCGTGGACAAACAGATGCAAACTCTCCAAACATATTGAAACCAACGGAAATTGAGCAAGGAGGGGAAGGGAACACTATACTGACAATGGAAAAATAGGTCAGCAATGAGCATGATCAATTTAGGAACTCTGACTTACACACACTATCATAATTTGGCTAAAATTTGTAGAGAAAGGAGTATTTTTGTTTTTAAAGCTCAAAAACATATCATTCCAGCAAGTTGCAAACTAATACATGCCAGCTAGAGTCTACCAAATATCCATAGCATAAGTGAAATGATATTAGAACAGGCAGTTTTGTGTTTTGAGTAAAATGACACACCTGAAAGTCTTGTTCTCATTTTTTCATATTTAGGAGGGTTTTAAAACATGTAATTGTGTTGGGAAAACTTGGTGTACTGTTCTAAATTCAGGGAATTAGATTCACAGGATCCTAAGTAAAGGTTTGTGTCAGTAAGAAGTCTCTAAGTACAGTATCCACTTTGATAATGAAGGATTTGTTGTGAAAGTCATTGAATAGAGTGTATTTCTTCTGACTTTAACTCTACTGTTACCACTTGAACCATTCAATGGCCATGAAACTTACATAGAAATCTTCAGAATGAAAAACTGAATGGATTCCCAAATTTTGATGGAAATCAAAGGGTTGTGGGGGTACAGGAGGATGGGATAGGTGCAGAGGGTCACAATAAAGCAACTGAAAGTGCCAGAATCTCAGATGTGAGATCGGAATTCTTACGACTTTTACTCCCCGCCTGATGAATACATATTGCTACCTATCTCAAATGCTAATCATACTCCTCAGATACTTCAGATACATTTTTCCATAATTCTATCTTCCCAACAACGAACGCAGGAGCGACTTGCGCAACTCTCCGTCAGCGCTCGGCATTGTCCGAGCGCTGTTGATGCGTGGTTGAGCATGCCACGTCACTCCATCATCCGTTCAACCAGCGTTGAATGTTAAACATCCTCCACGGCCACCCCATCAACCAACCCTCTCAAGTCCAAGGTCACCCTCAAATCATCGTCTACGACCGCCTCTCCACGTTTGCGCAAGGACCAACCGCCGGATGAAGGACCTGGGGATGTTCGCTAGACGCGAACCCTAACGTGGTAAGCTGAGCACTTCGTCTGCGTCATTCCTCATTGGATCATCCATGCCAACAGCACCACCACCAAATGTTTGACCTGGCACGCCAACGGTTCATTTGGGCGTGCTACGTCAAGCGCCAACGGTCCATCCGGCATGTGAGCGTCGACGGCGACACCAAGAGCCCACAACAAGGGTCTGCAACGACGGTTTTCCACCACCACCTCCACCAATGACGGCGACCGCCCACCATCACCCACCTGACGCACTGCCCGAGTCCCATCATCAGCCGGCCAGCACATCCAAAACCAGCCCAGTGGCCACCATTACCACATCCAACAACCACCACATCCAACAGCTTCGGCGCCGAGCATCGATCATCCTTGTCGTCAAGGGTACGTCTTCCTCCCCCTCCAACATATACACCGACCTCTTCGTATGTTTCCCATGTCCCGTCACTCAAACGACAACGGGCGACGAGCGCCCATCACCAACACCAGCACCAACTAACATAATCCCCAGTAACCGTCCTTGCCCCCTCTGCCGCTCACTCATCTCCCTTTCTCCAACCGATGCAAATTGTATGCAGAAACTGATCCCAGGTAAGTCTACGGTGCTTCCCTCTCCACACCTTGTTCTGACAAGCGACGATCACAGATGTCGTCATGCTTCATTGACCACGACCACGACAGACGGCCATGCCACCACGACGGACGAGCACGAAGCAACCACCACTACAACGGACGACCACGGCCATGGCCATGGACCACGAAGTACCGCCACGGATGCCAACCTACCACCAACCGCGACCACGGTGCACTGTAACGTCAATGGACTACCACAACGCGAAGACAAAATGACGGACAATGGGGCCCATGACCAGACGACGACGACGACACTGGACCAACACAACACAACCACCCTACCAAGACCAGAATGGGTGACGGCGACCCAGCACGTTCCACGACGATGCGAAGACGAGAGGATCGCGTGCATCCGTCGCGACAGCATCCCCTCCCCGACTTCAGTAGTCTTCTTCAAAACTCCGCCAATCGTCGCCCTTGATCTCGAAAAGGAAGTCATCGTCGAAGGGAGGGTACGGACTTTGTTGATTCTGGGATTGCGAGGGATTGCGCGATGTAGATCGTCGGATCGGGATAGGTGGAGCCATCGCGACGACGACCACCCCCACGATTTACCTCTTTTTGCTTAATCTCCATAAGTAGATCCTTTATTATATTCTTCTTATCATTTTCTTTTCCCTGTGCATTGTGTGATAGAGTAGCTACTTTTTTTTTCTTCTCAAAATTTAGTTTATTTACATCTGTGTACCAACGGCGTCTTATGCCCCAATGTCATCCAAAAAGGGTTTGTCGCATCCAGCTATTTCGGTCTGATGTAACAAAGGGAAACTATCTGAAGTGGTCTGAACATATACAAGCATATATTTGGTGAAATTTCAGAGGTTGTTTCTATGACGAACAAAGCTGTAGGACATATATTTCTCCTCAGAACTAAAACTGTGTATTGTTGACAGTTGTGTACCAAAGGCATTGAAAGGCCCAAGGTCATCCAAAATGGATTTGTTGCATCCAGCCTATTTCGGTCAGATTTGACAGAGGGAAACTATCTAGGAGTGTCAGAACATCATCAAATATATATATGGTAAAGTTTCCGTTGTTCTTTCTAGGAGAAACAAAGCTGTGGGAACATAAATGTCTCCCCAGAATTAAATAATAAATATGTACCCATATAACATCAACAATACCTCTTCCCACCCACCCTACAGCAAGCTGTGCATTAACCCACATCCTGACGAAGTGGTCAAATGCACTCCCTATGGAAATGAATAAAGTGCATTCTTGCAGAATTTAAGGCATAGGACTACAGCCAAGGGTGTGCGACCAGTGTCACAAGTCCAAGTGTAAATGTGAGAGGTCCAACCCCAACGAACCCTGTGAGAGCTGTGTGATGCTTGGAACATGTAAGTCTCATGCCAGTCAGAACCTCTCCTGGGTTGCCCCTTGAGACATCTTTATTTTTGTTAATGTGATTCGTTTGTAGGGTGTACCTTCTTGGGACCCTCTCGCAAGCGCAGCCTGCCCAAGGGTTACATTGACGCAATAGAAGCGCGTCTCCACCAAACCCATGCGTTGTTAGGAATTATGCTAGCTACATCTGACCCGCGCACTCAATCCTTGCTTTGGCAGGACATTGTAAAGGTATGTACATAATTTTCTTGTCACGAGTTTCGTGCGTACCGGCCTACCCTGACCGCTTTCGGGCACCCGTAGAGTTATGACTGACCCCGTCTTTTCTCAGGATCCCTTGGCCACTGGCAAGGAAATCATTACGCGCGTTGACGGCGTTAAAGGTCGGAAACGCAGTAACTCGGGGAAGGATCCCATCAACAACGCAAATGTACTCATTGATAGTAAAGGACACTCCATTGTTGCTGGCCACGGTCTAGCGGTAATTAGGCATGAAAATGATGAATCCGCCAAATGGCACTAACGACATCACCTTAAATCACAGGATGATCCCGAAAACTCATACTCGGGACAAACCCAAGACGTGAACACTCCCACAGAGCCATGCAACATAAAGGCACAAATATTCCCGGGGGCCAGTGATCTTTCAATATGCCACTCGGAATTCAACAATGTTGCAGGCAATTTTACAAAAAATACTTATATTAATCATGTCTATCCCCAGCCAGGCTCGGAACCCGAGCAGGTGCCATTGTTGAGCAATGCAATCCCTCTCTTTCACAGCTGACTTGAAATGCTAGTTATCACTCAAGGATCACCTCTCCCGCGCGATTTCGGTGAGTCCTTCAACTGCCCAATCCACAATGAACATAATGAAACACAATTTCTACATAGGAACTGAAATCGGAACTGAAATCGGAGATAGTGAGTAACGGAAGTGTTAGCTCCATTTTGATCACTGAATATACATTATGTGCTGTAGTTCCATGCTATAGAGACAGTTAAAGATGTCATAGAGACATTCAAAGATGCCATAGAGACAGTCAAAGAGTTACTTCCGTTTCCATTTTCGACCACGGTGAGCGGTTTTGTGTAATTCCCTAATCATGGATTTATATCGAAAAAATGCATACAATAGGCCGACATACCCCTGGAGGTATGTCCATATTCTCTCTAAATTACTTTGGTCCAAACCTACACCCCGCTCTCATTCCAGGAAAAAGTTGCCGAAGATGCCCATAAATACCCACCACTTTCACAGGGCACAATCCTTCTGAGTAAAACGTCACTGTATATACCGGGAGTCATGAATCAGTTGCTGTATGTATTTTTCTCTTCAGCTCTAGTTTATGTAACTTTTATCTACTTTTTTCTCCAGTTCAAGTGTCCGATACTCCTTCTACTCGTGAATGTGTCTGGGTGGGGATTAGCCTAGGTATGCACGGCTTTCAAACGGCTTTCATGTGACTCAGCGCGATACTGTCTCAAACAGCATTTCTGTAATTTGTCAATGGCGGCCAGATAACTCCTGGCGGTCATGGACTCAAAGGCTATCGGATATTCCTCATCTTGCCTTTTCAAATAGCTCTGAAAACCAAACAAAAAAGGGGTGTATTTATCGGTTTTGTCCTTCATAAACTTATGGCTTTTATATATATATATATGGCCCAAGAAAATCCTAGATTTTACCGAGCGTCCTGTATCAGACAACAATTGAATGAATCGAATAAGTAAACTACAACAAGTAGACTGAAATATAAAACTGAAGAAATCTCGGCTGTTGTGAGGCGTCGGCAGCTCGCAGGATTATCAACTCGGATGGAAAAAAGTTCGATGATCATGCCTGTGAGCTCAGGCATAATTTATAGCCTTGCCATGTTTGCTTTACGACCCCGCTCCTGTTCTATCCTCGCCCATTCGCGAAGATCCTTTCTCAAAATTTTCCCTGTGGGACTGATGGACCGTTATAAAAAATCAAGCTATGGAAAAAGAAAAGGAGCGGACCTCTTTGGTACGTCATTGACCGCGACAACACCTTCAAAACCAGAACAAAAAAAACCATCCAGTAAGTCGTTTACTCCCAAAAGGGTTGAAGAGAATACCCACCACCCCTTAAATATTTGTATTGCGAAACCTGGCCTTCAATCCAATGCTTTATCCGCATTTCAAAAGCTCTCTTCGATTCTTCCAGTGCCAAAACGGCGGGATTGGATGGGGTGACGTATGCCCTGGATTACTGAATTAACGACTTGGCGCACACTTTGGATACTAGAGGAGACGCACCTAGGAAGTTCGTCACCGCTGTATTTATTCATGATACCAATCACGCCCACGTCCGCTACCTCGGTATTCTCCATCAATATCGCTTCCAGCTCCGCGGGAGCCACTGCGCAGATAACGTTAGTATATCATAGTCCAGTCGTTCATCAAGACAAACAATACCTTGGTAGCCCTAAGAAGAGATTTAAACTTGTCAAATGAAGGAGGTAATTTAAACATCGCGTACCTTATACTTGATCATCTCTTTCTTCCGATCAACAATATAGAAATAGCCATCTTGGTCACGCCGTAGAATATCCCCCGTTTTATACCAACCATCGACAGTGAAACTAGACTCATTAGCAGACGGATTATTCAAGTATCCCTGGCATGAGATAAATTGGAGCTCGCCCACAATGATAATCAAAATACCTTGGTAATCGTTGGTCCTCTTAACCACAGTTCCCCAGGCTGTCCTTCCTCAACGTCGATGGTCTCACCAGTCAAACCATCAGTTTCGCGCATAATTCGCGCCTCTATATTCGGAAGTAGTTGTCCGACGCTTCCGAACTTTCTTGTCGAGTCTTCTGGGGCTACAATCTGGGCGGGACATGTCGTTTCCGTCGAGCCGCAGCCTGACCGAATACATCACTTGAGAATCGTACATCATAGTAGGATATATAAAATTACCCTGCAGTAGATGAACGTTCACGCCCCTCGATTTGAGCCGGCCGAGGAATTTATTTGCAAGTGCCAAAGATAGGGGCGCAGCACCGGATGCTACGTTAGTCAAAGTTCGTAGGTCGTATTTATCTACCGCTGTTCATACGAGTATATCAGTAAAACATCAGGACCAAAGTGATAATAAATTACCGGCATGTGTGCTTAGAGTGAGAAGGATGGGCGGGACCAACATGAGAGTGGTAACTTTGTAGTCTTCAATGGCTTTGCAAAATCTGTCAGGTTCGAATCCCCCGTTCAACATGACTAACGCTCGTCCTCGCATCAAAGGGTAATGCAGGAGCATCGCCAAACCTGATGAGGCCGTCGTTGGGACAAAGGCTGATACAGATGAATTACAGAGCATACCGAACATATGGTACACCGGAAGTACGGCGAGATAGACGTCACTGTCGGTCTCACAACCACGCCAGACAGCATTGGTCATCCCCAGCACCGATGCTACGTTCTTGTGACTTGTCTGGAAAGATAGATAAGAGAATCACTACTAAATTCTTCATAAAACTCCTGATAGATTACCTCAACGCCTTTGGGTCGTCCCTAGATATCGATTTAATCACTGTGACAACCACCGATCACAACGGGGATTTCAACGACAAACGCACCGTGGTACCTGAGCTATAGCAGATATAAACAGTTTCGTCGGCGTCCCTTCCACTAAACAGCTCCTCTCCAGATAATATACCGCCATAGAGCAGGGTCCCAAGATAATTACCGGTTACTGTCCGGTGATTGGACGTCAATATGGTCTCGTCCTCCAGGATCCATATTCGCCGATCGGCTTCGTCATCCGACACTCCTACGAGCTTGAACATATCTTTCGCAACCTGTACTAGATGAGGTGCGAGGATGATGCAGCGAGCTTTGCTATCTATCCATTGCCAGGACAACTCTCTGGCTGTTGTAGTGCAGCTGGCAAATGTTATTCGTAGACCAGCAGCGACGCATCTATCATGAGAATATGTATTAGCACAATCAGGGCGTGTAGAGTAATGCGCACCCAAAGAGCGCCACAGGCCAGGATAGTGTGTTAGGACTCATGATCATCACAGTGTCCCCGCGAGCGAGGTGCGTTGAACAAGACAATTGGGACGTAGTGTCGGAGGTACTAGAAGGTGTAGAAGGAAGCCGCAAATCATTACGCAAACCCCAGGCTAAGCGAAGGGCGTAGTCTTTCAGTTGCCCTCGGGTAATGGTCCGCCCGTCGGTTGCGTCGACTAGCGCTGGAACAGAAGACGGCCAGGCATAGTACCCATGCTCGAAAAGGAAGGTGAAGATGGATTGGCGGATTACTGGCACGGCTGGAATGAGGGACTTGTAGATCCTGGGGCTTCTGGGTTTAGCCATTCGAGACGTAGAGAAGAGCAGTCAAAGAGAAACTGCTGTCGCCGCCCTTTAATAAGTAGCTTACATACATGGATCCACGGTGACGGAATGACCAATACACCTGAACCGGGGCGAACTCTCGGGCCTTGGCAAAGTTGTATTCGACCTTGCCTAAATTTGGATCCAAAATGGGGGATGTCTGCAGGGACTTGACATCTGCACACACGAAGAGGCGTCCCTCCACCTGTAATCCTTCCCAGTGGAACTTCCGTTCGGCGGTCTTGACATCTTCAACATCTTATCTCACAACCAAGATTCCGGCGATGAAGCAAGGTTATGCAAGTAAGACCGAAAAATAGTGCAAGTGTTGATGAAGAAGTGGTGCAAGGGTGGGTTATATCCGACATCAAATCGATCATGACACCAATTCTTCAAAATAGCGTGAAGATGTCTGGAGAGACGTTTGCACCGTGTCGCGGAAGATACAACGTAACAGACTGAGTCTCGTTCCTGGGAGTTCGGCAGTCAGTGATTGATCAAAACCAGGAAGGAAAAACGTGCCCAACAGTTCGAATCAGAACTTTGTCCGACGTCACATGGCAAACTGTACTCAAGCTGTCATGTAAGGTTTTTGGCCAGTCGTTCAAAATCACCGTTCACCTGCTGACTGCGGCGTTCCCAGTACGATGGTAATTTGTGCAGGGTTTTCCAGGGATTTTCTGTTGCTGGTGGCGACTTGGGCTGCTTGTCGTTGTTATTTCTAAAGGTCAATCAATCAAATTTCGAATTTCAACTTGATTTCAAGTTTCAACCCATCAAGCCACCCACTTTCTAACTCCAAATGCAGTCGGCATGTAGGATCATTCATTCCCTAGCTCCAGTAGTAATTTGACGCGAATTGGTGAGTACTGTAGTTTGACTGTATTTGCTGACAGCTGATCAAAGGCTGGTCGCTGTTGGTCGGTCTTACTTGAGCCAATTCTCCAAAGGGATAAATCTCGTTTCTAACCGCTCAGTGGATGCGTTTCTCTCCTGGCGTACCCAAGTCTGCGTTTTGTGAATGAGACCGAGGACCATTTAGAATTCCGTCTGAAGCACAATTATCGGGATGCAGAAAAAGTGAACCTGACCCAGCCAGGTTCACCGTTCAGGCTCTCTTTGATGTTCGGCGCCTCAGGGTGCAAGGATCGCGAATTATGGGAGGTCTCTCGAAACCTGGATGAATATTTTCGAAAGTATCGCAATCTACGTGTAAGCATCTGATCACCCATACCGCCATCATGACGCGAGATCACAGACATGACCTCCTCTCAGTCTGGCGATTATGAAGGTGAACTAGAACAAGGAACACAGTCGGAGTGGTTAGGAGCCAGTTGGACACATACTCGGAATCCGTGATTTGGAAGTACGATGATGGCGACTCTCCCCCTGCTGATCTTTCGTTTGCTAACCTTATTATCACAGTCCAGGTTTACTTGCATCATCCCAGTAAGATTGTGGAAAGCTTTCCTCAATTCGATGGACGTCCTGCCCTCAGGAAACTTCGCCTCATTCGCGTCAGCGGGAAATAATTTACGGGACATCTGACAATGGTAACCAGGGTTCGAGAACATCATAGTACGTTTTCTGACGGCATTGGAAACACGCAAGAGCTTTCGATTCTACCCGGCCATTTCTTGGTCCTCCGAAAAGGAAAGGTCATGCTTTCGTATTTGTCCGTAACTTTATGTGGGGATGGCCTGAAACCTACTCATTCTCCTTTCTTCCCGAGGAAACTATCGAGCTGTTTTTCCCTTACAGAGGGCAGATCTATTGCGATGGCGAACTACATTTGCCATAGTGGTAGGCAACACAACAAAGGACGTTTTCGAGTGCAATATGGTTAGTAAGACCGATTACCGTTCAGATCGAGGTTATACTGATCCTTGCGTCTATAGTACGTGAATCAAATCAGCTCGCTCTCTGACCGAGGTCAGCGTCCATCAAAGTGCTAAACACCGGATTGACGTGTGTAGGGTCATCCGGTCACGAAGCGCGTGCACACCAATGGCAAGCTCAAGTTGGGCTCTGAAGTGTCTGGATCTTATGGATCAGCTCAACGATGGACTCGAGGAAGTACTGAGTCAAAAACTTCTCAAAGCAGGGGAGACGATGGCTAAGCAAATCGAAGAAAGTCCAGGAAAATACAAAACCTGATTTTCAATAGCTGAGGCCGTTTTTTTAATTCTCACCTCTATCACTGACTTATGCCGTGCTAGGAGATAACTTCTGAATTCCTGGTTTTGGCATCTCTTCTTTTTCTGACATCATCGAGGGAGTACTCACCTATTTCTAATCGCCCCTTCGAGGGGGACTTTTGCATGGGAGACGCTATGCTTCGTTCAACGTCCCTATTTCATTTTGATGTCATTCTTTCCCTTCCCAGTAATTACTAATTATTGCGAAAGGACCTCCCCAAGTATGTGCGTTGACGCTGGCCTTACATCTATCCTGCTGTAATTGAACAGACGAGTCCCAGAAATTTTACTCAAACCTCCAAGCCACTTGATCTTGGCATGCGTCCGTACACACTATCACAAGGCCACGATGTCGACTATCTATGTCAACCCCCTCTACCCACCCATTCCCTCCGCTCTCCAATAGCCATTCAGTACTTCAAGTGGAAGTGGGGCCATAATTTGACCCTGCCCCCTGCCCTCCCACTGCCGCTGCCGATCCCGTTGAGGACCACGTCTCCACGCGTTAGCCACCGCACCAAACCCAGTTTCCATTCCCGCTACTGAAGAGAATTCTCTCTCGTCCGGAACCTGTGCTTCCACCCTACGAACGGACCAGAATTGACCTGTCCGCCTTCCCTCCTCCCACCATCCGCTTCACTCCGGTTGCAGCCGCTACGTGCATGTGCATGTCCGGTAATAGAGTCGTCTGGTGCATCGACGAAGGTGGTCAGCTATGTAAGGGTAGTTCTTCGCGCTGGCTCCGCACCTGCCGATTGCTGATGTTGATAAGAGAGCACGCAGAATGTACCCCATTCGTGCGGGTCAAGCAGGTGCGGGATGTGCATACAGTCCGAGTTTGAGTCTAACGAGGAGGTTTCTGCGTAGGAAAAGATAGGTCAGATGTGGGGTACAAATACGAGGCAAGGGATTGGATGTGAGATAACGTAGTACTTACTGGAACGTCTTGTGTATACTGAGGGGTGTGGGCAGACTATGCGCCCCGATTCTTTTCGTCCCATACCAGGCGTAGCACGATCTCATGTCCAGTTTTGAGGTCTCGTAATGCGAGGAGGTTGAACTTGAGTCTGCGTGCACTCTTAACCCTTCACCTTTGTCCTTGCCAGCTTGGTCACCTCTTTACCTTTTCCTGCGTCACATCCTCCTTCCCACACGCACCCAGCACGGGCTCTCGTTCCTTGCTATCCGTGCATTGAGCCCCACGTTCAGCGGCAGGCCGATGAGGTGGACATACGGCGGATGCAGTGAGCAGGAATGGATTTAGGGATGATGTTCGAGGCAGAGCGCGCGATAAGCCAGGTGGCGGGGATGGATGTGGTGGGTAACATTGGCAGCGCTTTGGTTGTGATCGGTGGGGTGGAAGCTGGTGCTGAGCCCAATATAGAGGCAGAACGGTGAGGGCCGAGCGCTGAGCGCTGATGTGCTGGGTCCTGAAAGCAACGTACGGACGAGTTAAACGTCGTAGATCTTCGTAGCAGACCAATCCACCATTAGAAACAAACAAAACAAAATAGACCCTGATCTAGGGTTTCCCCAGTCTGTTGGCCTCTGGCGGTCCGATAAGGACACCACCAGGATAATTACTTGGCCATTCCCAAGGACTTGCTAATATAAGTCCTTGGCCACATAACTTGAATTTTGTTTTCAAGATCGCCCAAAAATCGCACTGCCAACCTTTTTGCAAACGGTTAGAAATAAAGTTCTCTATATGAAAACACAAAGGATTTGATGGCTGACAAATTCAGCTTTATCTTACTAAGCAGTTCACACTCTCGAGCCGCGTGAGCGGCGTTTGCTGGATTCAACATGCGTACCAGGGGGTCCAGGGGGCTTGCCCCTGGCAAGCTGTGACCCGTGTCGAAGCAACGGTCGAGCGCAGCGAGCGCCGTGGCATAGACACGGGTCTAAAGCTTGTAAGTATAAGAAAACACGATTGATGGCTTTATGTTACTAAGCAGTTCACACCCTTCTGAGCCGCGTGAGCGGCAGGCGTACCAGGGGGTCCAGGGGGCTTGCCCCCGGCAAGCTGTGACCCGTGTCGAAGCAACGGTCGAGAGCAGCGAGCGCCGTGGCGTAGACACGGGTCTAAAGCTTGTACTAGTTATACTTGGTCGATAATACATAAACCTTTATTCAACTCCAATTACATAAATCAGATCAATATTGTATGGTATCAGCATCACTTGAAACGCGCTAAAAAATTCTCAACTCTCTCTGCAGCGTGGAACTACAACACATAATGGATACTCAGTGATCAAAACGGAGCTAAATTGCTACTACTCACTATCCTTAATTTCAGATCCTATGTAGAAATCTTGTTTCGTTGTGTTTATGGATTGAGCAGGTGAAGAACTCACCGAAAATGGTCGGGCCCAGAGATCCCAGGTTGATGACTAGCATCCTAAGTCAGCTCTAAAAGAATGGGATCGACAATTGCGCTCGTACAAGTTCCGAGTCTGGCTGAAGATAGACATGATAATTATTTACTGTCAAATTACCTCCAACGTTGTTGATTTCCGAGTTGCGCATTGAAACATGGCGGGCCATCGAGAACGTTTGCACCTTTATGTTCCATTCAGCGCCCACCCAAGGCAGTAAGGTTTCGCGAGAGCGCTTACGTTTTGGCTTTGTCCCCAATATGAGCTTTCGGGATGGTCGTCTTCAAGGGTGAAGTTGAAAGTGACATCATCAAAGTTGTTTGGCGGATCCGTCCTTCCTGGGGAACTAATTCCCGCGGTCTTGATGAAGTTGATGGAACTTGTGATGGCATTGATGGGATACTGGCATGGGCGCTTAGTGCGTCCAGTCAGCGGCTGTTCTCGATGGTCGGGTCTGCTACTCGAGCCTCCGCGAAGAACATCCATGACATCCTGTAGTCCGCTATGAGTAAAAACGAACGTGAAATGACGACGGCCTCACCAGGGTGGGAACCTCGTCGACCTCAAGTTCAATTCCCCTCCAAACATCAGAATGCTCCCCGATACAGATGTGGTAGTGTTCACCATCCCTCTCTACAGCGTCAGTCAGATCCTTGAAGGGTGAAATATGTAAGTCGCGACGAAGATCAGGAAGCTACCCATCGCTCACGTCATCATTATTGTCTACAAGACACATTTCTTGCAAATTTCTTGTTGAGGTGCACCTGACGGGACTGGACGTGAATCTGAGGCCGTTTCAAATAAGTACATCCTAAGTATCATCAAGTTCGCACGGCTCACTACTCATACCTGTGTCCAAAATTTTAAATAAAAAATAAAAAATAAGGAAGGAAGAGAAAAAAAAGGAAAGAAAAAGAGGATGATATGGCTTACCAAGGAATAGTTTGAGCTGATATTCAGGTAGCCTTCGCGAGCCGGACAGCTTGTGCGAACTCAGACGACGGGACGATGGTTGGTTCTGTTTGGCAACAGCTCTGATCGTCATAGCCACCGAAGTAGTGAGATATTCACTACCGAGTTCACTACTTCAGGCGGCACCTTCCACTCGCTCCGTCGCGCTAAAAAAATTCAAGTTTACTTTCTATACCTATGTAAACACGTATACAAATTTTTACGCCTTTCCATGGCATATTGAGCAATACAGGTCAGTTTTCACTACTGAATCACATGTGCTGCGCTTAGATAATTCGTAAATCACGCGGCTGTTCATCCATTCACCTCTGTGCTCACTGACCTCCAACATCTCCCAGCCTCGCCCAATCCAAGTCTCTCAAACAGCGAAGGAACCCGGTATCAAAGGTAAGTAACATAGTTTTTCATCTCATTGCCCGATATGACGAATGCTCCACAGTAAACAACCAAGGCGGCGGTCAGGCGTACTGACCGCCGCCTCTGAGCAATCTCACCACACACACAGCCCTCGCCACCCCCAAATTTCCTCGTTCAAACCACTTCGGCCATGTCGATCTAACGGCATCGACTCACTGCGACAACTGAGGTGGCGGTCAGTTGTACTGACTGCCACCTCTGACCCCACACACAGCTCTTCTCTGCCCTCCCCATTCTCAAATCACCTCGTTTCAATCACTTCGACCATTTCGGATGTCAACGCACGATCTCATGGCACCAAACAACTGCATACCGCTCCCCTCCCCATCTCCACACTGCAAGCATGCCGGTGCTCTGCTCCCACTGCCTCTCTCTCTTTCTTTTCTCGGCTCCATATCCCCTCCCACCCCTGAACATGAAAAAGCAGCCATCGTGCCTCTCCATTCGCCATCGCCACCCCCGTTTCGGGCTCCCTTGCAGCGAGGCAGGACACGCGGCTGAGTGGGTGTGAACGTGGGCCTCAGTGGCCGTCGTTTACATGCGCCATCCGCTCCTCAGTCCCCGTCCCCGCCATCCTCGATCCGCCAGCTCACTGCGCAGGCCCCCTATCAACTGAGCACCCATGTACGGAAACGGCGCACATCAAACAAGTGGCCGCCACTCACACCAACTCCCCAACCTTCGTTTTCGCGTAACGTAGGCCCAAGTGGCCTTCGTTTAGATGCGCCATCCGCTCCTCGGTCCCCGTCCCCGCCATTCTCATCCGCCAGCTCACTGCGCAGGGCCCGCTATCGACTGAGCGCCCATTTGCGAAGACAGGGCAACTGAGCAAGTGACCACCACCCACACCAACTCCCCGAACCTTCGTTTTCCGACACGCACGACCGTATCACCTTATCTCCCCTGTCCTGTCCAGCGCCAATGCCTCACATCTGTGGCACCCGTTTCCGCAAGTGGTGTCCTCGACTGCGAGCGTGAACGCGAGTAGGCATTCTGCTCGCTTTTCTTTCTTGTTATCTCGCTATTGTTTTAATTTGGGTATGTTACTTCAATTCCATATGAGACATATACATTTACTGACTACCAATTTAACTATTAGGACATTTCTTCTTCCGGTTCCTACTATCCCTTCCCTCACATTCAGTACTTCCACAATCCCTGCATGAATTTCGGCACCTGGCTTTCCCTCTATTTCCGGCACACCCCTCTCCCATCCCGCATTTGGCACATTGACGATGTGCTCGCTTTCGTGACACCTCTCTTTCATCATCATCAACTCCCATTGGCTCGGCAGGTCTTTTCTGCGCTGCCACAAAGGGTTGACTGGCACCTGCCAATTGTATCCGAGAGCTTGTCCCCACTGGTTGCTCTTCACTGGTTACATCTTCACTTCTGAGGCCCGCTGTTGGTAAAGGACGGTTTGAGGTAGGGTATTGTGGTACAGGTGGGGCATGAGTAAGATGTGCAGGGTTTTGAATTATATTGTCAATGTCTTTTCTTGCATTGTATGTACTTATTCGAGTATGCTTTGTGTTGAGTGAATTTGCCCATGCTGTGTAATAAGATTTCAAGTGTTCTATGAGCTGGATGATGACATGAGTGTTATTGAATTTGAAAAGAAAAAGAAAGAAATGACCTTGTAGAAAATAGTCTTCCCATTTGCAAATTCATTCCATTTGTGAACAGCAGATGGCCAGTCAGGACCACCTTCTTTCATGAAGACTGGCTCATTCCGCATAAATCTAGAGAAGAGATTTTTCTCTTCTGTAGTATGAACAGTTAGGATGGCATATCGTGTATCCTGCTTTGATGCAAGGTATGCATATTGCTCTGGCTTGAGTTGAGAATCATATTTCAAAATTCCGCTGGCAACCTTTACAGGATCCGGAACAAGCAAAATTCCAAATACTTCAGTTGTTTGAATGTAAAGATCACCATTGACCCATCATGCAACTGGCTGTGACCTTGGAATTAATTGTCGGATCCTTTCTGAGTTGAGTAAGGACTGCCGTTCATTGATTAACCAAATATCAAAGTGGCCTTTATAGTGCTGACCAGTAGTATTATAGGTGCCAACCAGCATATTATGCCGAAATACAAAATCTTTTAGTCGATTGGCAGTATGACGAGGAGAAACACCTGAATATGGCATGCTCTTGCGAATGGGGCAATGAACTGCACCCTCAGTAAAATTGGTTCCACACCAGCATCGATAAATTGGAAGGCCATTTCTTGCCATGCCAAGGCAGTAGTATAATGGTATCCCAGGAGGATCAGATATTTGGCCAAGTTTAATAATCTCGAGAATATTCTTCACTGTTTTCCAAGTATTGGAACTAAACAGAGGTAAACCTGATTGTGCATCTTTTAAAGGTCCATAGACCTGAAATACTTTGGAGACCAGATCATAAAGCTGTTCTGGAGGAGGAACAACATGTTTGCAATGTCTCTTTATAAATTGAGGATTGGATTGCAAACATTCTCCCCATGTCATAGGTGGGTCTTGGCTTGCAAGATATGAGACAATGCATCTTTTGTCCTCATCATCAGGAAGAAATATTGCATCACGCAAAGCTCGAGAAAAGGTTACACAGAGACCATGGGACTTGGGTATATATATCATATGAAAGACATGGAAGATATCTTTCAATACACCACTGCGAATAGCAGGTGCCCAAGGAACTTCTGTAAGGTCATGAAGAATTTTGACATATGCATCTGCTGCATTGCGATCAACTTCTTCAGCAGAAAAGTTTGCTGTTTGATGAGTAGCAGGAACAGCATTTGCTTCACAGAAATTAATATTGAGACTTTGAAAATCTGGATTGTCTGTCTGAAATACAAAATTGGAGTCCATTTCCAGTTCTGCTAAAGGATCAATGTCTGATACATTACTAGAAGAATCAGAGGCATTGGGAATTGGTATGGTATTGCCATGTTGAGCAGGGATGAATTCTGGGACAAATGTCTTGACTTGGCTTCTTCTGCAGACCATATTAAATGGTGTTTGACCAAATAATGAAAGAGGTTGCTCGCGGTGCAAATGTATTTTAGCACCAGGAACATAGATCTCTTCAACCTGAATGAGTACTTGTGTTTTTGTAATATTAATCCCTTCAAAGCTATTGAATTGAGCAGGTGAGACAATTCCACAAGCAATAATAGTAGTGCGATCTTCATGAAAAACAAAAATCTGATCTCCTGCAGGAAGTGCATTTGCAAAGTTTACAGGAACTGGGATCCACAGACTAGTTAGCTTCTCATAAATTTTAAGAGAAGCCCAAGCATCAAGTGCAGCATATTGAATTTGTTCATCTGTAAGTGGCCCAGACCAATCTGGACTAATTCGGATATTGAGATCCTTGGGAAGAATACAAGAAAGTGTTTTGATGCATAAGTCTCCCAGACTAGCACGTGCATCACTAACAACATTTTTCTCTTTTGCTAGTCGTCCTAGATCAATACCTCCAACAAATGGAGTAGAGGATTCACTATCTTCTTGCAGATTCTTCAAGTCCAATAAAACATTTCTCCTGACTTTGAGAATTTGAGAATTTGCCAAAAATGTTGACAATTGAGCAGGAAATGATCCATTGGCAATATGTTCACTCAACTGTATAACATTGTCAATGCATAATCTGCATTTCTGTAAATTTACAGTACTAACCTGAAATATCCATACTTCATTACCATAAGCAATCTGCATGATTGCAGTTTTTCGGTGATCAGGTACACCTTGTCTTCATGCTGATAGATCAACATCCCATTCAGTATCTAGGCCAACAACCAGTTTGTCCCCATCAAGATGTGAGAAGGTGTCAATGAAGCTAAGAATTGCTGAATTGATTTGCGTAGCTGTTTGAAAAACTTTAGGGATACATCCAGAGGGAAGTTGCAAGACAGGTAGGTCACCAAGACTGTTAACAGGTCGTACTCCTTCTTTAAGGCTGGGGAAGTGTCGTTCAAGCATTGGCTTGTCTGCCAGATTGTCTGTAAAGATTATGCGAGGAGGTTCAAGACCAAACAGTTTAATAGAATGATTCATCCGTGTAAGTGCAATATCAAACTGAGAGTGGGCTTTCGTTGGAACAAGATCACAGATTCGTATTTCACCAAATTCATTAGTCATAGTGAGAAGGCCTGTGAAAACAGGTTCACCCTGGATCTTCGCAATTTGTTTGGTAATCTAGAAAGCAAATGTAAGAAACTGAGAAAAAAAAGTAGAGAAATCTAACCTTGTGTGAATGGTCAATACCCATACCACGAGATGATAATTGAGCAGTATGTTGATCAAACTCCTTTTCATGAGCTCCAATTTCTCTATCATAAATATCCTGACAGTATTGGCCAGAGGGTGCAGCACTTGGACTGGATTCAAAGGAAAGAAAAGGCTTGTATAATCCACTGTCACGTTCAAGAACAGTTTGCAAATACTGAACTTCCAGCATATCATGAAATCGGTGGTGAAGAACATTTAGGCTATCTGCAAATTGTTTGGCTCCCAAGCTATTTTGAAAGCAGCAACGCATGATAGCAAAAACCTGCTTTGAGAGACCACTTCGTTTACTAAGGTAGGCAGGGAATTGTGCAGCAAGAGGCCTAGGTAGCTTGGCTATGACTAAAGGATTGCAGCTTGAGAAAGTGTGGACAGGCTTGCACTGATTGCATCTATAGCGTACGCTAATCAGATAGTATGAATTCTCAAGATCAATTATGTGGCATGGCATCTGACAATAACCATGGCGAACCAATATCCCAGAACAAGCAATAGTACTTGTACCAGATGTATGAATAACAGGGCAAGGGATGCGATCAACAAGAAGCAAGGGATCCCAATAGAAAAATCGAGGGATCAAAAGCTGCTCTGGAGACAAAGCTTTTTGCCGAAGATAGAAGAAAGAGTCAAAATGAGGCAACCAGAATGATTGAAGCTTCTCATAAACCAAGTGTTTAGCTGATCGCCCTTGACCTTCTGTCAAACCCTTGAGATACTCAATTTTTTTCCAGAATGCATCCAAGACCAGTGATGGCAGTTGCCCAGAAGTTTCACCATCATCCTCAGTAAAGTCTCCCTCAGCACTTGCAGCATCACCATTAATCCCATTGCTGTTGCCTAGTCCAAGAAAATTGTCCAAATCATCCTCACCTGGTGAGTCATCCAATTGCTGTAAAGGATCATGTGCAGGAAGAACAAAAGTCTCAACTTCCTCATGATATGTTGGCTCTGATATTGGGTTTTGGTCTGATGGAAGAGAAACTGGCACCTGATCTGGGACTGCTGCAACTGCTTGGGAAAGAAAAATAGGAGCAAGTGGCTGATGCACATTTATCCCAGGTTCCATATGCACAGGCCCATCCTAGAAGTATTAGAGTAGTTTATAAATAGGCAAAAATGCAATATTATTTACATACCACACTCTGAACCTGTGTTATTGACCTCACAGCCTGTTTCCGAGGTCTTCCAGGCCCTCGATGAATTTCTGTAGTGCTTGGTTTATTGTTAGTAACTGAAGTTGTGGCACTGTGTTTGTTTTTCGACCCTTTTGGACGGCCACGACCACGTTTGATATTTGTATTTTCAGCAGGGTGTTGACTGACCAAATGAGGTAACTAAGACAGTACAGTAAATACCAAAAGGACTTACTTGTCATCAACAGGCTGATTTGGAGCTTGCAAGTTCATGGTATCTGTGTTTTCGGGCTCCTCCATCATTCTTTTGTAAGATTTTCGAGGATTTTCAATGCTAGACAAGCAGACAAGCAGTGTTGACATTGGATAATTGAAAAATAAATTCGAAGTACATTTAAACTCACAATATATGCAAGATATATCTTCTGAGGTCGCGTTGAACAAAGGGGCAAGAAGAAAAGACGAAGATTGGAGCTGCAGAGCCCGAGGCTGCAGTTTCAAGTCATGTGCGGCGCATGGCATGGTTTGCCGCGCATCGGCATTCCAAATTGGAAGCCCATGTGATCTTTTCAAACTCCGTTCAGTAGTGATCAGTAGTGAAGCACAGGTATGGGTAGCGACCCCGTTCGCACGACCATAGTAGGCGCTCTGCCCTTAAAATAACCTCGACCGCCAGCAACTTGCATGCCCAAGGCATGCTACGCTTTGGCTACGTTAATTTTCTTGAAGTGTTGAACGGGTCGTCGCCGTAGATTATATAGTGTTGCCAAAGTTCAGTTCAGTTCAGTTCTTTGGCATTTTTTGAGAACCGAGAACTGGACTGGACAGGCTCCGGGCAGAACTGAGGACCGAACAGGACTGAAGTGGTAAGAACCATTCTTTCCGGTTCAGTCCGTTCAGTTTCAGTTCGAACGCTGAACTGGCAGAAAAATGAATATTGCCTCCATAAGGGGGATTAGCAACTCTAGCATCTAATACTTAATAAATCTACGTTCTGGGTGAGAATCGGCCTCAATTGAAGCAATGAGGAGGCGCGTTTTATAAGCACACTGGAGAATTTGCACCCAGCCAAAAAGAAATGGCTCCAGGTGTACGTTGTAAGGTATCTGAAAACACCACTCAAAGTGCCCATTTGGAAGCTAAAGAGGAGCCCTGAATCCAAGCTACAGAGGAGCCTTGAATCCCCAAATAATCACGCACGAGACACGCGAGGGTTGAGAAATCTTTCACATTTTTCTGTAAAATGTCACTGAGTAGGAACATATGAGATAGCATAACTGTTCCTACATTAGGGCTGGAGCATCGGAGGTAGCATAGTTGGCGAGAATGTTGTGTTGATATCGATCTCAAGATTCTGATATGGCGTTATCTTGAGTGGTGGTACATTAGATGGAGTCGGGTGGCAAGGATGTGGGGGAGGTGAGAAACACATAGCGAGTCTAGGGCCCGAACATTAGAGAGAGAAGAACTGGATCAACTGGCTTAACTTACTTTATCACGAAGGGATGCGATCCTCACTGAGATACACGGGGACCCCTTGTCTTGAGGGGTGACAAACGAACTGGACTCGAGGGAACTGGAAAGCAGCAGTAGGCGAGGGGAGACCGAAGGGCCACTGCGAGCTGGTCTGTCGAAGGAATCGGAAGCGTAAAGGCAAGTGGAGTTTGGTTTGGGTGAAGGGTGTTGATCGAGGCCTATATTGGACGTGAGAAGAAGGTGCGATGGGAGCTAGGTTTGGATGGAATGTCTAGCAGCCCATCGAAAGTGCTGTTGGTACAGTGCCTGGAGGCTCTTCAACCGAAATTGGGCAGTAAGTGGTATCTCCACCTCGACAGCCGCCGATGTCGTCACCCAATCGACTGGGCTTGCTGGACACAGTGTTGGCACTTCCGAGAATGCTTCCGTGATGGTGCACCGCATGTTGAATTTTGAGTACTACCAATGCTTCCTCAGCATCCCCACGTCAAAATTCAAGTTTGTTCAAGGGTCGTCGTACCAACTCACAGTATAACCTCAACACCTGCAAACTATGTGCCATCCGAGTCATATTGATCTTCCTTTTACTGTGTCCTCTTCCCCTTCTTCTCTCTCCAAGTCGAACTCTTCTCATTCACTCACTCTTCATGAGCGACAACGCGCCCCTCGACAACGTCTTCACCATTAAACATGACACAAAATGTGCCAGAGGCCCATCATTGCACTACCATTCGTCGTTTGAGGAGATGAAGGGGGAGTTTAGTCCATCCAGGGGATTTGAAAGTGAGTGTGACAAGAGCAGATGGAACAAATTGTGAGGCCTTCCGAATCTATCAAAAGACCAGAATCGTTGGTGTGTTGCGGGTTGAATAAGAAATAGACATAAACACAACTCAATACTCACATTTCTTAGCCAATTCTCAACGAAAAAAATGTATGTTCAGTTCTTGTTCAGTTCAGTTCGAACCGGTTCTAATACAGTTCTCGAAATTTCTCTCATGCCCGAACTGCGAACCAGAACTGACTACCATAGCCTGAACTGGAACTGGAACCGTAACCGAACTGTCCGTTCGGTTCTGCCAGTTCGGTCCGAACCGATGGTTCGGAACTGAACTTCGGCAACACTACGTAGATAGAGGATGGAGCGAGGCGCCTGCGGCCTGTGGGGGGGTGATGTGGTCTAATCGGCCAGCGGCGCATGCGACGACGCCTAGCGAGGCGCGCGTGGGTGTCGTCCTGTCAGTTCCAGACAGATCGACGGACCACGCCTGGTGTGGGCATGGGGCAAAGAGAGCCTTGACTCGGGCAAACGCGAGGGTACGGAGATGATATTCAAGACAGACAAATGAAGTACATCAGGGCATGTACAAATGTAGCGAAGTCTCTTTGTACTTACTATCCAATGTGTCCGTGAATAGCGCAAACTCAACATGAAGTTCAATCGATGATTCTGATTCACCTGTAGGCTGTCAGGCGCATCCAAGGATCTGACTGACGCTGTTCAGAGGGAGGGTAAGCACTGTCTTGGTATCGGGGAGAATTATCAAGGGGGTGCCGGTTGGGTGCCGGGATTTAAATCAAGGACCGGACGTCGAAATTATCTTGGAAAGATCCAGCGGAGCGAGCACTGGCAGGACTCAGGACTGTTTGCCCAGCCAAACAACCGGTCTGGATCCGGAGAACTTGAAGGCTTGGCGTTGTTATTTCTGAATTTCAACCTTGTTTCAACCCCCACTTTCAAACTCCAAATGCAGTCGGCACGTAGGGTCATCTATTCCCTAGCTCAATAGTAGTAATTTGGCCTGAGTCACGTTCAACACGGGAAATTCATCGCGAACTGGTGATCACTGTACTTTGTCTGTATCTGCTGACAGCTGATCTTGAGCTGATCAAAGGTTGGTCCCTGTTGGCCGGTCTTACTTTCTCCACAGGAAACGGGAATAAATACCGCTCAGTTCATGCGTTTCTCTCCTGGCGTGTCCAAGGGTCTGCGTTTTGTGAATGAGACCCAGGACCATTCAGAATCTCCTCTAAAGCACAAGTATCGGGGATGCAGAGGAAATGAACCTGACACGGTCAGAGTTCCAGTTCAGGCTCTGCTTGATGTTCAATACCTGAGGATGCAAGGATTGCGGAATTAGAAACAACCTGATTGAATATCTTGAAAAAAAGTATTGGAATGTAGGCGTAAGGTCCCATCTGATTACCCTTACCGCCGTCCTGACCCGATACCACAGACATCGCCTCTTATCAGTCTGGCGATGATCATGAAGGTGAGCTAGAACAGGGAACACAGTCGGTGGGGCTACGTGTCAGTTGGACACGCACTCGGAATCCGTGATTTGGAAGTCTGATGACTCTTCCCCTGCTGATCTTTCGTCTGCTCACCTTAGTATCACAGTCCGCGCGTACTTGTCTTATTAAAATCATGGGAAGCTTTCCTCAACTCGATGGACGGCTCCGTCCGGGAAACTTCGCCTCTTCCGCGCCGAATAGTTTACAGGACACCTCGCATTAGTCTCTCCTTCGATATATGTGAAGTCGTACCTTGGTTCACGATATATGAAACCTCGCATAGGTAACGTTTCACGATGCCACAGGTGACTTTCCTCTGACAACGTTACCCAGGGTGTGAGAACATCATAGTTCGTTTTCTGGCGGCACTGGGCTAAACAGGCCTGTACTTGCTCAAGAGCTTTGCAATTTTACCCGGTCATTTCCTGGTTCTCCGAAAAGGAAAGGTCGTGCTCTCGTATTTGCCCATAACTTTACGCGAGGATGGTCTGAAACCAACTCTTCTTCTTTCTCTTGGGGAAACCATCTGGCTGTTGCTACAGTGGAACTACATTGACCCATCAACATTCAGATTGAGGTTATACTATCTGATTCTTGCGTCTATACAGGCCATGGTGTTCGACCTGGTATCGTGCGACACTTCACTACTTCGAGGGCGTATTACTGATACGCCATCACCAGTTAGGGAAATCCCAATCTTAAAGTTGAGGCACGAAGTTTGCACCGAGATCGGGTGTGCTACCAAACAAAGCGCCTGTTGATTCGGAACCCTGAGGCTGCGCTTGCCCTGGGCGTACTTTCCAAATTCTTTTTTACCCCCGAGAAATACATTTTCAGTTTCTTCGATGCCTGGACAATCGAAATATACTCAGTGACCCATACCACAAAGAGTTTTAACGTTTCTTTGACATAGTAGTCCCTGCTTCGGCATCAATTCGGCATCTCTTCCATTGTGATATCATAAAGGGACTACCACTCTTTCCAATCACCTCTTGCTTCGTTCTACTTCCCTATGTCATTCTGTTCCGATTATTCTTGCGAAAGGGCCTCCCCATTCAACGGGTACCATGGTGATTCACTTTGACGCGTATGGGCCACTCGGGGACGCGCGCCCTTACTTTGTGGCCATAGGACCCTGAGCCGCTTTGGCTCTTTGGACAATGCGCGACAATGCGCGAGCGCAATGGCGCGCCTTTGCGTTGACTATGGCCTTACATCTGGCCTGCTATAAAATAGCCATGGGCCAACTCCATGAGTCCCAGACAATTTACCCAAGCCTCCAAGCCACTTGACCTCATCCGCCCTATACACTATCACTACTAGGTCACCATGTCGGCTATCTATAACAATCCCCTCCACCCTCCCATCCCCTCCACCTTTCAATCACCATTCAACGCTCTAAGTGGCGCCGTCGTCTGTTCAGCCAACGCGCCTCCCTTCGTTTCCCCCTTCCGCCGCCGCCTCCCTCAAATTCCTTATACCCCTTCGAGTAAATGGCGCAACGTTACCGGACGCACGAATTTGGTTCATTCTCCCGTACATTTTGATTATCTGGGGTACACAAGGCAGGGTGTACCGATGCGCGAGCTGAGCACGCGTGGCGCGCATGCGCTCTCGAGCATGATCGTAGGCGCGACCGATCAAGTTTTTGTTCATACAGGACTTTCGCGGATCACGCTCTATATAATCGTTAGTCTGAGCATTTGTATATCAAGTCTTCTTGTAACTGACCCTTGCTCTTATTTTTAGTGGCCGGGATATGAGCATGTCGACTGGAGACGCTCAATAGAGATCATGGTCAATGGCCCCATGACACGCGCACAACTTGGAGCTGTTGTTGCATCGAACTTTGCTCGTTTTATCGAGGTAAATACTTTGCTCTTTTTTCCTGCTAGAACATTTTCTGACTGCCTATTATTCCACAGATGACCCGAAATGAGCGATCCACCTGTTCTGACTATAAAATAGGCACATCTGGTATTCTCTTCGAGCACCTTGTCCTCGTTGGACTTCACAACGTCTTTGAAGACGCCTGGCAAGCGGATGTCGCCGTTGATCGCCGCTGAGCGCTTGCCTTACATGTAACCGGATTCTACTAATTATTGGAACTTTCCTCGAGCATCGCATACACATTAATATTCATCACGCACTTTTTATACCACTTGTACATACTCATCGCATTACACTGTAGCCAATAGCTTATTTCCCCCTGCATTATTATACCACTCATCAATATAGATTGCCACGCATTTTTTACCTCCGAGATTGCGAGCCCGAAGCCAACCGCGAGAGTTGGCGTTCCAACAGCGCAGCAGCTTCCAAACATCGCATGATTGTTTCATATGTTTTTGGGTCTCGAAATTCTCCGTTGCTTCCATTAACTTGGCTTAAGAGTTGCGTGATTCCAGATATATTCGGAGTCGCGGTTTCCAAAGCATTCAGAACAACAGTAAGGGACGAGGAGGATGGGTGCACCGAAGAGGGGCCAAGACTGCCCGCCTCCGATGCGGATTCCCAAGGTGCCGACGACGGATTGGGGTGAACTTGCCGTGTAATCTCGTTGGGAATAGTCCGATCGGATTGGCCAGGGTAACCCCCAGTATCCGCATCCGAGTCCTGATCCTCGTCTATCGAGTGAGGCGACAAAGGCTCCGGAGTTACGGGATTGGCTGAGGGAACCGCATCTTGGAAGTGGGTATCATGGATAAGTGACGGTGCTCGCGGACTCTGCGCGTGACGATCAATTGAGATGGTGGGCATGTCCGTTGGAATGATCGTCAGTGGTTCGGACAGGGCTGAACTAAGAACCGGTTCTCGTGTTAATCCCGACGATAGTGACGGCGGTATCCCAGCTTCTGCGAGACGTTGTTCCCGTCGAGCCCTCACGTGTTTAGATCCACGGGCAGCATAACCCACAGGATCAATCTTCCTCATCTCTTCAATTATCCAATCCCTGATATCAATACAACAATCAACTATAGTACCTTGGAACAAATCAGTTCTCACCTCGTAAGTTGCACTCCGGTATCCTTGAAAATTCCCTGTTTGACAGTCCGTGGTCCAATTAAGCCCTTGGGGTCTTTCGCCATTTGGTCCAAAACGAGCTGACGTTTAACATCGTAACTGAGTTCTAGTGTCGTCAACCGGCTCGCGCGGAGCCCTAACTTCTTCTTTCTCCTTACAATCGTCGATTCACTAGCAGGAATGATGAGAAACCCAACGTGATGTTCAATTCATGGACGGACCTCAATGTAAGTCCATGTTCGCTGGCAAAGAGCTGACTCAGCACCTTCTTATCCGTTATTCCTTCGCGATGATATTTTTTGAGCAGTTCAGCTACCTGGGGGTCGTCGGGAGGTGCTGCAAAAATTGTAAGAACTAGCGTCAGGGCCCACGATGAAGAATTTTGGCTGAGCGCACTGACGCCGATCCTTGTACTGATTATTTCCCTTCATATTGTTATTATTCGGCCCTCTTGTCCTAAAAGAGCCTTCTGGTGCAGACATTTTCGGTGGGAGCGTTTGTGAAAGGCGATTTGATGTGTTTGGCAAAGAACAACCACGACGTCACATGATTGAGATGATTACCCATTATTTTTGCCGAGTCGATTTTCACTGTCCCATTCCAAAAACTTCGCCAAGGGACTAGTTCTTCGGTTCAAGTCTTACGGTGGCGAAAAACCTAGTCTATGAAACTCCGCGCTTAGTAGAAGCAAGCAGTTGATAAGTAATTCATCTCGTTTGCATCTCGTCGCACGACTCGCACCCAAGCTCACACCTTTACCCGTTGCAGTTCAAGGGAACCTCCTTCGCATTTGTACCCTCAAGCTCAGTCCAGCTAAAAATACCATCAAATCAGGTATGTTCATTCATCTACAAATATTCACACATCCACATCCACATCTCCGTCCCGCCAACTCTCGCACACCAACTAAAAAAATTAGACATCCACGATTAAAACGTTGAATATCCGGATCTATTAACCAAAGCGTCAACATACACTCCCAAAAAAAGAAGAAATGGGGGAACATTCAATACCGACCTCAATTCTTGCAACACTTCCAGCACGGCTGGCCGTTCAAGAACGATTGACGTGCGGTCCATCCAGGGCTACAACTTAGCTTTGCGGTAGTACAACCACCGCACTGTGCGATTTGGGCAGAGACTGCGAGTGGGGCGAGTGGGGCGAGGAGGAGGAACATGACGGATAAGATGATTTTCATTTTGATTTGGCTTTTAAGACTGAGGTAAGTGAGTCTGAGTTGTGCTTGGTGAAGTGAAGCGATGTTGTTTTCAAACTGAACTCATGCGTGCCCTTTTATACAGAATTTCCTCGGAGGCATTGGCAAGCCATACCGGGATGCTTGGTCCTTGGAAACGAAGCAGAAGTTGCTCAAACGCGGAGCCCGTTATCCCCCATCTGTTGGAAGTCTTCGAAGTGCACGCTCAGACTTGACTTCTTTAGCTTCTAACGTTTCATCGGTACTGCGCCATGTTGGACTTTGAGGCTGGACTGCTGAAATATTGTTTACCCGGGAAGGTCGGGACACTTGTATAGTGCAGGAGTTGGTTTGCCGTCGGTTCCTTGCGTGATGTATTATCACGTTGCGACAACTCCTCGTAGTGCCGGCCTCCATACAGCTACGTTCAGATTATGGAGCTCCCCGTAAAGCGGTTACCTAGATTCGGAAAATCTTTTCACATCTTCTTACGGGCCCCGACTCTCCGCGGGGCAATGTGTAAGTAGTGGCTTCCGTTCAGTACACCCCAACTCACGACTCATTGGCGCAGTTTTATGTCCAGAACACACCCGTTTCGTATCGTCAGAAGAATACGAACCTAAGAAAAACAAATAAGAAAGGGACAAAATATTGAGCCGGAAGAAGTGTTAAATCAGAGAAACAACATAGAACTTGAGCGGTTTCTTTACAGAGGATTTCGCTTTCGTTCTAATCCACTGAGGTTCTCAAAAAATCATGAACCATAAAAGGAGCCCGAACTAACATCTCTTCCCCTAAAGCAACCCGCATAACCGCACCGCTGCTCGTCCCGCATAAGACGACGCAACGATCGGCGTCACCACTGGGCAAAATTTCTTTTTTTTAAGGCCGCTACTAGCAACGGCGCGACACGTCCGCAAACCTTAAACAGCGAAGGTCATTCATCAGTAAAGATGCATTTTGGTTTCCAGAGGTTTGAATTTATGTTTTCTGGCAAAGAGCTGAGGTAAGTAGTACCTCCCATCCGTTATTCCTTCGCGGTGATATTTCTTGAGCACTTCAGCTACCTGGGGGTCGTAGGGAGGTGCTACAAGGATTGTAGAGTTAGGGCCCATCATGAAGAACTTTAGACTGAGACGCCGACCCTTGTACTGATCCTTTCCTTCATATTTGACGTGTTTTTATTTTTCAATCATTTTTCATCCATTTTTTTTGTCTTGTTGCCGAAGGGCGTTTCGGCGTTGTCCGTTCCTTTTGTTGTTGCCCCATATATATGGATGGCAATCACCTCATTTTATTTACCATGCACACTACGAAACGAGCAAAAAAAAAATGAGATAAACCACTTCTAAACAACTGAAGACTAAGTCAGGAAGGTATGAGGCTGACGGATAGTATTTGAGATGTGATAAGACAGAGCTCAAGGCTGCCAGGGTGCCAAAAACGTGCTCCTCCATTTTTCATCTCATTTTTGACAATCTCAAGGAGGGTGGGTTCACAGTAGCCAATTTTAGTTCATTTTTCACTTCACTTTTGACGTTTTACGTCTACGAAATTGGACAAACAATGTATTAAAAAATGGCTACCGCGTGGGTAGTATTTTTTTAAAAACACTATGGGCCTAGCAAGTTGCCCTGGAACTCATCATTCATGTCCCATGGCTTAGTTGGTTACGGCGTCCGACTGTTACGGCAAGAAAGCTCGCAAGGCATCGGAAGATCGAGAGTTCGAGTCTCTCTGGGACAGTAACAGGGGTTCTACGTTTTTTTTTCCAACAAAATCTTATTTCTTGGACGACTCTGGGTCTCTTACGCCTGGCTGCCCAGGCATTTCGGTGTTCGATAGTGCGAAACATCGGGGAGAAGTGGTATGTAATGAGTTGAACGGAGTGCTTCAAAATAGTGCTCCAATGCTCAATCACACTAGCTAGCGGTCGTTATCCTAAGTCCCTTCGGACTTCGAACGAACTAAACGTAGGAAGAAAAAAAGTTAGCTGGGTATAATCCCAATGTATGAGAAATACATAGCGAACATTTGAGTTTATGGTCTGAGACCAGCATCGATTCTCTATCTCTGAAGTCGACTTTGCCTGTCCTGGTCCATTATTACGCTGGTATCCAAGTAGTGTACAGAGGTTAATTACTCGTTTTCTTGCACCTACACACGTAACGTATTATGATCACCCTCCACCTTGAGCTTCTCTTCATCATGCCTGACATCAATCGTCTACAATCAGCCCATCAGCACATGGCATACAAAAACATAAAAGGTAGAAGAGAAAAGACGTACTGATTCACTGGAAGGTGTACTAACATCAGCAACCTCTCCATTCTCCTTCAGAAGCTTCCTGTTGAACGCTTCTGAGGCGACGACTATGCAAGCGGGGGAGACCAGGTCAGAGAATGATAGAACCCAGAAAAAGACCAGAAACATACTGCTTGACTCTCGATACATCCTATCAATCTGCTCCAATGACAAACCCCGTGTTTCGGGCACGAAAAAGTACCTACCCACCAAAACGTCAGCCACTTCAGATAGAGAAAAAGAGAGCAAGAGCGACATACGCAAAAATGAAACACCCAACACAGGTGCCTCCCCATATGAAAAAGACCTTGACCCCCAGATTCGCAGTCTTCACGTCATTAACGCCCGTTGTTGATTTGTTCACCAGGTAGGGCGTAGCGTATCCGATACCAAAGTTCCAAAGCCAATTACTAGCCACCGCTAAACTCATGCTCTTTGCGCGGACAGAGAGGGGCTGGAAGCGGGCTTAACACATCAGGTGTTGTGTGGAAGCTGAGGAGACTTACAAAGATCTCGCCAGTGACGACCCATCCGACTGGGCCCCAGGACGTCTCAAAGAAGGCGATGTACCTAGAGACAGACAGCATCAGTGATATGCAGGTGTAGTATGAGACAAGGGTCACGTACACGCAAACAAATGCGATTAGCACACGTTGAGCAGCCAAGTTCACAGAGCCGTCTGCCTGTATGTTACCTGCAGTGACACCGACCTGACAAAAGCGCGTTATAATCAAGGATAAGGGAGAGGACGGATGACGGGGGGGCTTACAATGGCGACGATGAACTCGCAGAAACACATCCCAGCAGCACCGATGAGCAATAGCCTACGACGACCGAGTCTGTCAATGAGCTGCACGCCGACGATGGTCATAGCAGTGTTGACGACGTCCGCGATGATTCTAGAGATATGGCGGTCAATCAGTCAGGGCGGAAAGGCATCGAAGTAAGGTGATAACTCACGTTATGATGAACGGATTCGAAATCCCCGATGCCTTGAAGAAAGTCGTGCCATAGTAAACTACCACGAAGTCTCAGCAAAAGAGCGCCAGCACAACCTGAGATGAAGAGAAACATACAGATAAAGTTTATCCCCGTCAACTGCTGCCACCCCTGCAACATAATCCCAGTCCACGTACGGAACCCATTACGATCCTCGTTATTCCTGAAACAGTCCCTGTATGAGCCTGAGCTATGAGCCATCTCAATGGCCAGTGCGTCCGAGATCTCCCTGCACTCTTTATCGACCTCTTCTGCATCGGCGGGTAGTGTCATCAGACGACCAAGGGCAACGCGGGCGGCGTCTGTTCGGCCTTTCAGGAGGAGGTAGCGGGGACTTTCTGGGAGACAGATCTGGAACAAAAACGTAAGGATGAGGCGACGATATGTAAAGTTGACAAAGACACTGACCATTCCGAAGGTTAGGATAGCTGCCCACGCAAATTGCACGGCGATGGGAGTTCGCCATGAAGAGTGGTTACTCCTGTCTTTTGTGGAGTTCAGGACGATGGCGGCCAGCAGAGCACCGAGGGTGACTATATGTCAGAGTTAGACGTGACATCACGAACACACAACGGGGCTGGGGAAGACGTACTGGCTAGTTGGTAGAGACCAACAATGAGGCCACGAATACTTTTGGGTGCACACTATGAAGGAAAGTAAGTGACGAGCTGAGAGGAGCCAAACTCAACGTACCTCTGATTGATACATAGGCACGAGACACGATACAATCCCCTAATAAGAAAAGTCAAGCCGTGACAAGTTTGGCTCAGAGTCAACATACCACACCGAGACCGGCAATGACTATAAGGGAAAGTCAGAGATGAATGTAGTGGTCAAAAATATGACTCACCTCGCCCAACAATGAACGTCGCCCATTTGGTGTCCATCTGCAAGCCAACACCAAGCACAAAAATTCCACAAGCCGACACAATGCCCCACTTCCTCCCAACCATGTCACCCACAGGATACGAGAGAAGAGCCCCGAAGAAAGTGCCCGCAGACAAAATCGAAACCTAGGTGGGGGGTCAAGACCACGATAGAGGCTGACGGAGAAGAAGGCGTACGACTAAACTGCTGTCGTTCGTTGGCAGGTACCATCCTATAGAAGAGTCATATTTTCCGAATGTCTCCACCCAATCGCTCATGGCGATGACACCACCGATGGTGCCGGTGTCGTAGCTGTTGAATGAATCAGGTCATGAAGTGTTGGCTAGAGCACACGACCCACCCGAATAGAATGCCGCCGAATGCTAGAAAATACGTGGGGTCAGATGCAAGGTGATAAACACAGATGACGAGGCTACGCACCGGCAAAAGCAGACATGATAATTGCCCAGAAGAGGGACTTTGATTCGACACCCGCACCATTTCCTCCAGGACCTCCACCCATTGTTATAGTAGTGTTGTGATTAAAGAGTGAAAGTATAAGCGAGTAGTCCACCTGGGGCTGCTTCTGCTCGTGAACGACAATTAAAGGTGGGCGAGGTGGCTGTCGAGGATGCAAAAAAAGTCAGGGAACGCCCAGCTTATGTAGCCGAATAAGAGACGCACTAAGCTAAACTTAGGTCAGCCCGACATATGTTTACGCGTCCGTGTTTGCCTTTTGTTTTTTCTTTCTTTCTCCAGCCCAACTCCAGCCGAGGGCATCCGAGAGTTGGAAACACCGCCGGTGATCGACGCCATCAAACACCGCCGGTAAATGCCTATATCACGTGAGTCTTCAACGCGGTCACGCACGATCACCTCCTGCAAACAATCATCGCCCCTCTGCACCAATGCGCCTCATAACAGCCTTGGAGAACTTGCAAAGACACCCTGTTCTACGGAAGCTCACGTTGAATGATGTGGTCCAGTATGCAAGGCTGGTAGGCCATCTCAAAAACGACATCTTGCTACCTCAACCACTCGAGCAAACTGATCCTGGCGTGCCTCCTGATGTTTTACCCTTGAGCCTCGTAGAATTTTTGAGCCTAGCCCTAAGCATTAAGCAAGAGTTCATTCAAGATAGCTGGGATATCATGAAGTATTACATCTGGGAATGTACAACTGTTCCCCTGATACATGAAGACTTCGAGCTATTCAGAGAGTTTGGTTGGTCTCGGGGCATCGGTATGTGCCAAATTACATACGGATAACAGTATTAGGGATATTTAAAGCTTCTTTATAGCTGTGCTTTCGATCTACCCTCGCGAAAGTGTCTGTGCAACGGTGGGCTGTGGGAATACACGGCCGTTGAAGAAAGAGACTAGCCGTGAGGTTGTTGTTTATACAACTGCCAATGGCGTACAGGCTGCATGGGCCATTCACCTCTACTGTCCTGGTAAGAGCTATCCTGTTGACCTCCTTGCACAACTGCTAAATGACCCACAGAGTGTAAAACTGACTATCACAACAACTTTACTGTCCATGACGGAGAACGCACATACTACGAAGAAGTCCCACTTTACGTACAGGTTGGCGAACATCAATTCGTCGAACAGAAAATTGTCCGCACCTGGATAAACAATATGCTCATTGCGTGGTATAATTAATTCTTTCAAAATCTTGGAGGTACAAAAATTACTCTAATGCCTGTTCATCAAGGGTATCCGCCTCAAATGCTGCAAAAGCATACAAAATGAGCCTTGGAGGTACATACCTCAAAGGCCTGAAAGACACCGGTTGGCAGTTTGGGTCTCGTTTAACGACGGAGCACGTTTGGGATGCCTTTGTTATCCTGTGCTTGATCGAAAACAAACAACGTGAAAACCAGTGCCTTCAGGTCCCACACACGGGTGCGCAAAAGGATAGATTTCGAGACGCGATGGCAGAGAGGAACCAAGACTTTGTATTAAATGGCCAACCAGGTGTCGTAGACCATGCATGCGACAAGTGTTATCGAACCTACATGACGGCCAGCGGCGAAATTCGTAAGTTCCTTCACATAAATAACATTACCTTCAAGAAAACTCAACGCTGGATTTAGGACACTGCCATCCTATCGTGGGAGACGGGCTGAGCATAGGTCGGCCCTGTTGCGCAGTCTTCGCTTGTCGCGAGCCGCTTCAAAATAATCGACATCGATACTGTAAAACTCACTTCAGCCAACATGACGTTTGCGCAGTCATGCTATGCGAGGAGCCCATCAGTGGAGCTGATTCGAAGACATGCTCTGACCCAGAACACAAGGAATTTGAGCGCAAGAACAAGGAGAAGGGCGCCTCAAACTTTATTCTTAAAGAGCGCTTCCGACACACTCAAGCATCCCAGCCAGTCGACACACTTGCCACCCAGCAAATAGACCATGTTGACGATGTGGAAGAAACAACTATTGAGTGGTTCGAGGTGGACGACAATAGCAACACCATCCGCCTTAAAAGTCGAGCAAACCCAGGAACGGTGGGCACAGAGGCCGATACTGCTTTACCCCCTCTGGATCCGTGTCCTTCCAAATCAGCTGCGGGCAATCGCGTCGCAAAGGCCCAGTTCTCGAGAAAGAGAACACACAATGAACAAACTCTTGTTCGGCCATGTGGGATTATTTACGCGCGTGCTACCATGTTTGGAGCGGAAGCAGTCTCCAACTTTCTAGTATGTCTCGCTAAGAAGTTGTTATTTAACACCAGTAGATCTCATTTCATTTGAGCAGGTCATGGTGCAGAATGCCTTTTCAATTCCGGGAGCAAAGAAACCCGAACATATATTCTACGATACCAACTGTCTTGCACGTCAACAAGCAGAGAAAAGCTTTCCTTGGTTCAAAGGAATTGGCATGTGTGTCGACGTTTGGCATTTCCTCAACAAGCACCAAACAACACACCAATATTGTCAGGAAAACTGCAATCCTATTCAGTTTCCGGAGCTTCTCGACGAGTTTGGCAAGTGGTTTTTTAATACATCTGTTGCCGAGCAGATTAACGCCTGGCTGCAAGGGTATCACTCCATTGTCCGGGAGATGTTACCAGACAAGTTTGACTTTTTTCTCGACGAGATGATCATGAGACGGAATGTCGAGCATTTGAAGAAGTTGGCAGAGCAAGGACATAACCCCCGCTCCTTAGATCACTAGAGTTTTAATGGTAATACATTATATTTCGAGAATGATATGTAGATGCTACAAAACAAGCGGCGATACTGGCACAACGATCTACTACTGAGCAAACGGTAATCTACAACAAATCAAAGGTAAAGGGACATAAAGAATGGATTGTGAACATGCAGAAGAAAGGTGGTAAGAGTACAATGATTTCTAAGGATGAGTTACCTTGCTACGCTTGGGAACTGCCGACCACAGACCTGCTGGTGTCCGGCCAGCATTCTTAAAAGTATCGCGCTGCTCTTGAGTCAGAGCCTTCCAGTATCGCCGTTGGTCACGGTATGTATTTGGCGGGATCTTCTTACCGAATACATTGAGGAGGCTTTCATCGAGAAGGGTCTTCGATTGATCGACTTGGTGAAATCCAAGAGACATGTCGATTGCGTACATTCCCGCTGGCCACCGCTTCGATGTTTCGGGAACATGAATCGGCGTAGTTGGCAAGCTGGGACAAGGAGATGCCCTCGAGGAAGTGGTTGGGGAACGAGGAAAAGGAGAGAAATGTTGGCGAAGAGGAGTGGTCGTCGTGCTTTCAGGATTGGAACGCTGGCGTTCCGATGGTCGGGGGTTGGCATCCACAGTGTCCTCACGTTGCCGTTTCAGCTTTGGTGGCATCTGTTGTTGCTCAACAAAGACCACCGCGTCATCCTCGTCGTCCTCGTCGTCCTTGGAGACAAATTGTACAAGGTAAGGTGGGGGTACAAGCTTTCTCTGTTGGAGCTGCTTCTTGATAGCCGTGCGTTCCGCAGTCATGTTGTATCGGAGATGGGTGTCCTTCGTTATGGCCTGCTGGATGAGTTCGTCGAGGCCGAGGCACTCAGTCCCTAGAAGCCGGAGGAGAAGAAAGCCATCCTTCTTGACCGTGTGAGGGTAGGAGGGGGTACAGGTGATCCACTGCAAGCTCCGTGTGTCGAAATACTCTAAAAGACGGGCTTGTATATCGAGCTCCTCACGAACGTTGACATCGTCCAACAAGATCCACTTTGGCCAAAGTGGACACTCGTGAATTGCTCGCCGTTTCGGTGGCTTTCCGTCCTATGGAAATATTTAGTGCACATTACGCAAAAATTAAACTGAATAAGTACCATATGCCAAAATATAAGGGAAAAGGTGTTGTCGAGATTGATTCGGTTACGCCGCTTGGGTTTCTTTGTGTTGTCCACCACTGGCCGCATCCAGTCCTCACTCATGTGCTCCTTGATACCTGGCTTAGATGTCAGTGGCCGATATGGAATGGTGCGAACTGTGGTTATGGGCTTTGTTGATGGTCGTGAGATCGGGACAGCGGGAGTTGTTGAGAACCCATAGGGATGGGCTAGCGGGAATGGTGAAGGGAATGGTGAAGGGAATGGCGCTGATGGGGCGAGTGAATCCAAGGGGCTCTGGGAAGACGACGCCGAACTGGCAAGGTGGGGGGTGGCACGCGGTACAGCAAGGGAAGCAGCAAGGGCTGCTTGGTACTGCTCTTCCTCGTCCTCTTCAAGTTGTTGGGCTTGCAGATCTTGTCCACGCTCGGCCTCGGCACGTTGCTTCTCCTGCTCAAAGAAAAGGACAACAGGATCGTGTGCCGTTATTGCATTGAGAGCAGAAGTAGGCACGGCGGGTACAGCCAGTTTACCCCGCTGCTTGGACGAGAGCTGGTCAAAACTATGGCTGCGTAAGCTGCAGCCAGGTAGCAAGACGCAACACTGTTTGCACATCCGACGCGGACACTGTATGCACCCGCGGCGTTTGCACCCTGGCTTCGCGCAGTCAATGACTCGTGATGCCGCAAGGCCATCATGGGTGGCTGTAGGAGGAAAAGGCTGAGGAAGAGGATGGGGAGAGGCCAACTTCGGGAATGTGAAATGGTAGCTGCATGCGATGCACTATGTGATAGGCGTCAACTTGTGCTAACATGCAGCCTGTGGTTTAACTCATCACTTACATGGATATAATAGTGCCCAGGTGAGTTTCCACCCTTGGCAAGTTTTACTGGAAGGTGGGATCCACAATGAACACACATGCAAGGCCCGTTGACATCGTGCAGGAGAGCCATAACGAGGGTGAAGCGCGTATTTTGGACGTGAATGGGTCGTAAAGAGCGTGACAAAAGCGTCGAATTAAGACGAGAGAGTAGCGTATAAAGATAAGGGTATCGCGTAGGGAAGAAATCACGTCGTCGTCGGCGGCGGGACCACCACTGACGACGTGGAGAAGGAAAAACAGAGGCACGTGCCCCTTATCGGATGTTGCCGCCGTCTACACCGCCGGTCATGCACGCCGGTGTTTCCAAATCCCAGATTCTTACCTCCAGCCGAAGCTAGCTAGAAATCTGGGGCAGGCGGGGCGTGGGGGAACAAATTAGCATGCTTTGCTTGGCAACGCGGGAATAGTATCTCCAGGATCCTTCCTGCCCACCCCAAGTCACAGAAGTAGGTTCGCAAGATCCGTGCCAACCAAGTGACGAGTCTCAACTCCCACTCTACTCCAACTATGCCCAATCTCTTCACCCACCACACCTGGCGGCACTTTCCAACAAATAAAAAAGTCCTCCGAGGCAAACCCTTTCATAGGCAGTCCAGATTCAACATGATGTCGACCTGAAGACGATCATAGGTAAGCGCTTCATATGTTCTCGCCAAAAATCCTCGGTGATCGATCATCTAGCTGGGAGCGACAAGCGATACTGCAGGGCAACAGCGGCACGAGCAGGGATATAAAAGACAATACAAGCGGGATTTCGCGCATAAAACGCGACGTGTTGGAAAAGATGGGTCATTGAGATACGGTGGTTTGAGGACTTGGAGACAGGCGAGTTGATGGCAAGTCGCGTTTTCGAAAAGTGATCAAGGGACACGATCGTGTTGCAGCGGAGTTTCAAATTGGCGGGAGCAAATAATCCAACACTTTTTTTCAACCTCCGCATCAGCTTCAGCCATTCTCACTGTTCTCTTACATTCCCCTGAGAGCTTTCTGAACACATGCGGACAACTTGACAAGTTTTGAGTCGCTGAGACTTCTTGAATATAAGTATCTTTGCACCGTAAGTCTTAATTTTGCTCGATCTAAAAATAGTATTTCGTGGTCGCTTGCTCAGCTCATACTTAGCTCCTCCACCGCGTGACATTTTTGCCACATGCCCCGACGCGTCGCAGCCCACACCGGTTGGCAGATATAACCGGTGCTCCATACTGAACGGCCGGCGGCAACTGTGGGTCAATTCCAATGATTCTTGCCGCGACCAGCCCGGCCACTGCTAAAGAGGCGTCTGTACTTCAAGTTAGACCGCATCTATGATGCAACGGCATACATCAGAAAAATGGCAAATTGGACTCGAATAACTGATGGGTCAATTGCCAAATTCCCCACATGAATCAGATGGTAATCAGCACAAAGACACCTTGATCTACTAACGCAACGCATCAAGATTGAATAGTATGGCTGGTAGGTCAATTCCAAATTTCTATGCGAAAGTCAGATGGTGGACATGCAGCGTGAAGCCCTCACGCATGTACCGCCTGTAATATATATCCTAGACAGACGACCCGTTGATATGTTTGTTGAACGCGAGACGGACCTAATTTTAGTAAACAAAACCTTAGACTCCAAAACAGCTTGAGAAAAAAAGCATTAGGGCTTGAACATAAAAAATTGATTGGCTTGAGAACACTTCACTTTGCACCGAAAGGCCCTGCTGATCAGCTATCCCGCGTGGAACCCCCTTGCAATTTTTAAGGTCAAAGGTCAGGAATTAGGACCGCTTCGAAAATAAGGCTTTCATCCGGTCCCATAAATTATCATTCCTGCACACCATATCCACCATGATATTCCTGTATTCGAACGACTAAATTTAGATGCGAGAGCTCAGTTTTTTTTAAATAGGCCCGCAACTCGTTTCGGAGTCCGTCCGGCGTGATTATCATTACACAGTGTGCCTCTAAAATCACTTTTTCATTGATGCTGCAAACTGAGATCATCCAGCACCCCAGGCCCATGCATTCTACGTCCTCCGAGACCTTTATTTGGTGCGCTTTTTCAATACCAACGGAGATGCAAATGCCCTCAAAGGCTACCGTTCCATAAAACCTCTGAAACCCCCTCCCTATGTAGTCGACGATCATAAAGTACATCCAAAACTTCCGGGATTTTCTCGATGGCATGTCGGGGACAGGCACAGCTTTGTTTTCTCCCGCAAATCTTTATCATCACGTTCCGCATGATGTGCATCAGCCCGGAGTATGGGGACAGGTACGGATTCGCATTTTGAATCACTGCAATACTGAAACATTGGATAGGATCTGATAGGATGTACCTGATAATTTCTTATCTCACCTCCGACTTCGCAAATTAACTGACAGTTGTACTCGCTGAAAAGTTTTAACTCTTCAAGTTAGCGGTGACTTGGATAAATTTTTTGACGCTGGAAGAACTTGATTTTAACGCGCATATGTGTTCGCAGACGCCGGGGGGCGTTAATCCAAATTCTTACCTCACCTCCGACTTGTTCTTCAGCGCGAATTAACTGACAGTCGTACCTGCTGAAAATTTTAAAGCTTAGCGCTGACTCGCATAGATTTTTGACGCTGGAAAAAATTGATTTTAGCGCTATGTGTTTTGTTGACGCCGGAGGCTTGTTTACAAATTTCTGACGCTGAGCGCAATGGTACTTGGTCTACAATTGGCGCTGGTTGTACGTCACAAAGAAGTTTTTAACGCGTACTATGTTTTGTGCACGACGAAGGCCTTGGGCCTAATCTTTTCGGCCGTTCGTGGGAGGAGAACAGATATTGCATATCATCGACTATGTTTCAGCACACCAAACTTTGGATTCTGGGGTACAAGTTAGGTTGGAATTTGCAAAGCTAGATGCGGGGAAACCCTGGGGCAACAAAACCCCGGAAAATTAGGCGCGACGTCCGAGTTGCGACAGCATGGCGAGATATCTCTGATGGTTGACTAGATGTATGTTATCGCCAACTGAGCGCGACCCTGACTAGCGCTGCGCTGATCATCCATAGCCGCGTATGCAGTCAAGATACCAAGCTATAGGTCCTCGTACCTTGATGTGCAGGATTGGAAATTTTGCAATTATGGAACTCATGCAACACCCCTGCGGAGCTATCATCATCATATGTAAGTACGCGGAGCGCTGAGGAACGGTGTTGCAAGCTCAGAGTCATTATGACGCACTTTGGTGACGCATGTGACCTGTCAGTGTCACCGCTGCGGCATCGGCATCTTCTCTAGAGCGACCCAAACAACTGCTCTCTACATCGGTTAGAACGCTTAGTGTTAATGGTCGCCATTCAAGTCACCAAGGAGTAAGTCGTACGTGCACGCGTACTCGCATTCTTTGTTAACCATATGCTCAGGACCTATGGAGCAATTAAGGAAAATCTACGGAACCACGCACTGACAATAATGATATTTTCCACGAACATGATCGGCTTGAAATTGCAATATTCTTCTCATGCTCAGCGCTTCAAGTCATTTTTAGTAACAACACCCCACGGGCCACATGTGTTCTCTGCCTCCGCACTCGTCCCCCACAGAAGCACTCCATTCCATCAATCTATGATGCCTATCAAATGGGAATCGAAGCCCTTCTGAATCAAATTCGTTCAATACGTCTGCAATGCAGCCGCAAAATTACGGTCAGACAAATCCATTTCAACCTACAAGTCTCAGCTAAACAAGGTACGGCCATCTCTGCTCCATTCTCTAAATCTCCTAATTCTGATCCGGGGTAAGATAATCTACCTGCCAACCACATGGCAGCAGTAGCCATGGTTGAAACACTGTCGTTTAACTCCACTCGGCGGATATCCCAATCGATTTTCCCCCGCGGACAAACAAGGCAGCCGCATGTCCCACAGGTTTTGATGACGCGCTTCGTACATAAGGAGTCGGGGGGAAGAGAATTCTCTTCACCGAGCCTTTCTTCGGTTCCTTCTTCGCTTCGACTTCGCTTCTTCAAGTCCTCGCTGTTCCGCCTACTTTAGGCACTCGTTCTCGAAGCTCTTACCCTTTTCTAGTTCGCTCCCCACTTTCTTTCTTTTTGCCCTCCATTTGACGCTCGGTATCGCAGAAGCAACTTTTTCCCTCAAACCTTTACATACGACGTAATGGGTGGAGGACCTGGAGGCGCTGGTGGTGGGGTTAACTCCTCATCCATTCTATGGGCCGCTATTATGTCTGCGTTTGCTGGTATGGGTTTTCTGTCCTTCACATTTCTCTTCACCTAACTCTCCGAAAGCTTTCGGTGGTATCTTGTTCGGATACGACACAGGAACCATTGGGGGTATCATCGCAATGGACGACTGGTTGAAGACCTTTGGATCATACGACTCATCCATCGGATACTACTTGCCGACGAATAACAGCAGTTTGGTGGTACGCATCTATCTTAGTTTTCTGATGGTACGGCCTTCTCACCCGCAAGTTCTAGGTTTCGATTCTCTCAGCCGGAACATTTTTCGGCGCTCTGCTTTCCTACCCCATGGGTGATATGGTCGGCCGAAAGTGGGGTACAAGGGGGTGTCGGGATTAAAAAAAAAGACCTAGGGTCGATTTTTTTGGTAGTGAGCGCTGGGCTGAACCAACCACCCAACGTAATCAGGCACATGTCTACTTTAGGAAATATGACGTCACCGCCGTGCTCCTGGTCCTCCTTTCGACGTTGAAAATGCATTGCAGACCCAATGCATGGGCACCTGTGCATGGCAAACACAAATGAGATGATATTAGAATGGTTTGACGTGAAGATGTAAGTAAGTTTCATGTTGAAACCCTAACAGAAAGTAGGTTTACTTATCCACACAATTTCACATCCCACTGGATCACATTGTTGGCGGTTAGCTCTGCTCGGGATCCACAAAAACAATCCTCTAATCCTCCAATGTCAACAACCTTACATTTTCATCTTTCACACTGACCTCATGTTTCCTTGTTGACAATTTCCGAGCTTGAAATAGTCTCTGCCTGTGTCATCTTTTCTCTTGGTGTCGGACTACAGTTGGACACCAAGTGGGCAACGTTTATCGTTGGACGAGGTGAGTTGAATCTAGATTGAGGCCGCTTTACCGAGTGCTGATCGTATTTATTCTATCAGTGATTGCAGGTTTCGGTGTCGTGTGTACATTCTAACATTACTTTGATCTGCTTCTTATTATGTTATAGGGGCTCGTCTCGTGTCTTGTACCCATGTACCAATCAGAGGTATGTGACCTCATGCCGTCCATCCGCCTTATTCATTTAAGCCTACAGTGTGCGCCCAAAAACATCCGTGGGCTCATTGTTGGCCTCTATCAACTTACCAGTGCGTTTTCTTTCCTTTTTCTAGTTCAGAATCTGAGGCCTTTCTAGTCACCATCGGCGCTTTACTCGCTGCCATTGTGCTGAACGCCACGAAAGATCGACAAGACCACTCTTCATGGCGCATTCCTATCGCCGTTCAATTTGCCTGGGCCGCCGTTCTAGGTGGAGGAATGGTAAGCATCTCCATTAACAACGGCACCATCTACCTTCTCATCGCCAAACTCTTTCTTCCCTTGATAGATGCTCCTTCCAGAAAGTCCCCGCTACCTCCTCCTGAAAGGCCGCGTTCAAGAAGCCCGCGTTTCCATGGGCAGACTGCTTACCCAACCCGCCGATTCGCCAGAGGTCATCGACGAATGTAATGAAGTGTCTGAAGCACTCCAAATTGAACGAGCACATGGGTCTGGGTCGTATCTCGATTGCTTTAGGAATAACGAGGACCGTAATGGCTTCCGCACCTGGACTGGTATTATGTTGCAGGGATGGCAGCAGCTCACTGGCATCAACTTCATCTGTATGTCTTCTACTTTTTCTATTCTTTGCTTTGGATCAGAGATTAATTTATGGTTTGATAAAAGTCTATTACGGAACTACTTTCTTCAAAGCCTCGGGAATCAAGAACCCTTTCATCATTACGTGAGTTATTTTTATCACTCGTCCCATCATCCCTTTGCTGAAGGCTCGTTATCCAGTATTATCGCGGATGTCGTGAACACCGCTACGACGATCGGCGGCATTCAGCTCATCGACAGAGTCGGTCGTCGCCGGCTTTTGCTTATTGGTGCCGTTGGCATGTGTATCTGTGAATTCATTGTTGCGATTGTACGTGTACCACCAAATTGGTTTTTCATGACGGCAGCTAATGCCTGTTTTTATAGGTTGGCGTTACTGCTGGAAACATTCAAGCCGACGGAGCCGTCAACTTGGCTGCTCAGCGAGTGTTGATCGCCTTTGTTTGCGTATACATCGCCTTCTTCGCTATATCATGGGGCCCAGTTGCATGGGTCGTTACCGGCGAAATCTTCGTATGTGTTTTGCTTGCCTAACAATCCATCTCCTACATCAAAATAAATTATCTTCCTTTTTAGCCCCTCTCTGTCCGCGCGAAGAGCATGAGTCTCGCCGTGGCCAGCAACTGGCTCTGGAATTTCGGTATCGGATACGCTACTCCCTACCTCGTGAACAAATCGACGACCGGTATTAATGGCGTTAAGACCGCTAATCTCGGGGTCAAAGTCTTCTTCATCTGGGGAGCAACTTGCGTGGGATGTTTCTTCTTCACGTACGTCATGGGAAATTATCTTCATTCGAAGCGATTGGCTAACGCGCGACAATGGTAATTAGGTATTTCTTCGTCCCAGAGACGCGAGGCTTGTCACTTGAGCAAATTGATACGCTTTACCGAGAATCGTCCAGTGCGTACTTGTTCGTTTTTGATGTTTCGAACTTTATGGCTCATCGCGCTTGTATCCCTTTCTTTTTACAGTCGTCAAGTCTGTTTCGTACAACCGGAAGATCCGAGCTGAGAACATACATGTAGGGCATGTGGAAGACGTCGTACGTAACTTTTTGCTCCAGTATCACTCCTCACATTAACGATGTACGATGAATATAGGCCGAGGTGAAATCGGACAAAGACGCCGAGAACTGATCTTTCAAATTTGTGTTCACGTAGGGATACTTCAACTTGAAACGCCTGTTATGATGTATCCGATAGTTAATGGTTTCTGTGAAAAAAATTAATTCTTGTCGTCTTGAAACATGTTGTCTATGACTCGCGGACGGGTATGCACCACAGAACATTTCAACTCCCGGTTGCTCAAAAGAAGCGTGAAGACAAGTTGTGGGATCATCTCTGTAAACTTACCCTCATGAAAACCCTTCTTCATAAAATAGCTTTTCATGCATGAGTTATTCAATCCTTGATCAGGCTCTGCTTAAATTAAGAACACAAACTCTGTTCACCGTGTCGTTGCAAGTTAAATACGCTGGCAGGGTACTGGTGTTTGTAGCTGCTATTACATAAATAAAATAAAATAAAATAAAAAGAGGGAAAAAGCGAAAGAAAAGAGAATATTTCTTATCTTATCTTATCTTCTATACATGAGCTGTTTCCACCTACATCTGGGCAGCTCTGGAGTACTTTCAAGGATGTAGGTTGGAGTAATTAACCCTTTTTTTTTGGTGGGGTGCATGTGAAGCACTTCCACTTTGATGTTGAATTAGTTTTGACCAAACAGGATTCTTTCATTGTACATCTACAACCTGGCATTGTGATTTTGTTTCTGAAAGTTTGATGATAACTTACAGTAGTTTTCATGTGTGAAACTATGACATGCGATGTTATAAAATGAAAAATTTCATCCCATTTCCTTTTGCATGATTACCATTCCATATAATTGCAGCTTTGCTCTGGATCTTGGTTTTTCTCTCATGCATAAGCTTTGTAAACAACTAAAAGTCATCAGAATCTCCATCCCAGATAATCATACAACCATCTAAACAAGGGGAAAAAACAAGGGACACACCAGCTGTACAATATTCTTTCCAGTAGATAGGGTAAAATTTTCTGGGTGATACAGTCAAGTGCAAGACTTATGCAAGTGCTTGAAAATATCTTACACAGAAAGACATAATCTATCCAAAGCTTCAGTTGAAATTTCAGAAGATTAACAAGCCACAATTTAAAATTATGTTTATCAAAGCAATGAGGTATTACTCTTTTATTTGAAGACTTCAAATTTCTTGTACTCAGGAGTTAATTTCATCCAAAATGTCTGTTGGATTTCTCAGGGTTATTTCTATGGGATTTCTTTACAATTTTTCCAGTTGTTTTGGCAGTTGCCCAAAAATTGCCATAACCCCGCATGCCATTTTGGTAGTTGTAAATGGCCTATGACCTGTGACTGCTGAATTGATAAAAATGGCACAGTAGTAAGTTCAGAATTCAAAAATGACAATTTCAACTGATGTTGCTGATTTAACAATTTTTTGAACAGTAAAATGCATAAAAATTTGGTAGCTCATACTCATGTAATAATCTCAGTATAATCTCGATTTTATATGATGTAAAAATGTAGTGGAAGACTGCAGAGAGGGCAAGTATTACAGAAGCAGGCTGGAGATTATTGCTATCACATAAGCAAAAGCATAGCCACCTGCTATCACATAAGCAAAAGCATAGCCACCTGCTATCACATAAGCACATAGCCACCTGCTATTATGTAATAGCAGCTACAAACACCAGTAGACCAAGGGGGTAGCGGGACGTGGATCCCGAACCAAGGGTAGGAGGGGGGGTGTCCGGCCGAAGGCCAAAAAAAGAAAAGTTGACGCCGTCAATTTCAAATTTTCTCATGCTAGTCTCGTCATAACTATCTTTACACTGATCATGACCTACTTACTTGCAACCAGTTACACCACTCTCGACGCCTGGGTTTCTTGCGACGCGGCTGGCCGTGGTGGATCCCTCACAAATACCCTATAGCCGTTGTTTCAACAGCCTGCTATATGCATCCTTACGACCCCTAGGCTTAGTTTACGGTCAACCGCCTGTGTGTAGCTGACTTGTCACACGGAAATTTTTGAATTCAAAAAAAAAAAAAAACATGAGTATGGGGAAAACATACTTTATTAGGAAGGTAATGGTGGGGGGGGTGCCAGGCGGAACCCTGAAAAAAAAATAACGAGTGTTGGTCTCTTTTCCACATTCCGCCACCCCCTTGCAGTAGACTGCCAATACGCTCCCATTTCAAAAAGGAGAAATGAATTTATTTCACGTCACGAAATGAATGACTACTAGAGAGTGGCCGACCGACGTGCTATGAGGGACAACACAACAGAATAGAAGAAGTTATAATGAGTTGAATATGCACCTACTCTACCGTAGTGCATATTCGCATAGAAGAATGGGGAAGGAAAAAAAAAAGTTGTTAGAAATTTGGCAAGCGTAGCTCTGCGCTCTAACGCTCAGCGCTTCAAGCTAAAGCCATTCCTTGAACATACGCTGATAGATTACCTTCACGATATGGACCAAAATCGCATAGCCCGTAACCATGACCACCAAGAAGCCATAGAACTCGGGTTTAGGACGCGTCATCCCCAGTGCGGCACTGAGCTTGGGAATGTAAGGAATGGCGAATACTATGCCACTGACCAAAGTAGTGAGGGCTACAACGGAGACAGACGCTCGTGATTGGATAAAGGGAATTTTTCCTGTTCGGAGGAAATGGATAATGAAGAGCTGACGGAAACATTAGGACCTGGCTTCGTTTTTGGGAGCGAGAAACACACCTGAGTTATGGCACCCTCCAAAAACCAATTAGTCTGGGCAAGGGAAACCAGGGGAGAATGCTGGTCTCGGATTCCGAATCGGTACCTGTTGCGAAGCGTCGTGACTTGTTTCAAAGAAAGGGAAAGAATGTGAAACCGACCAATTGATAAGGAAGGTGCAGATATCGAATACGCTGGAAGTTGGGCCCAAAAAAATCATGAAGCGTGCAATTGACCTGGCATTCCAAGTGGTTGGAGCGGCGAGATATTCCGGGTCGACGTTATCCCTGTGCGCACACCAGTCAGGACGAACTGATGACAAAAGACGACGAGCTTACCAGGGAATTGTAGCCTGGGAGAAATCATACAGCAAGTTTTGGAAGAGAAGCTGAAGGGGTTGAATTGGCTGGTAAGGCAACCACGCTGAGGCGACTAGCGAATTGAACAAACAAGAGACGCATTAATTTGAGAAACCCTTGAGTCGAGAAACACTAACCGAGGACAGAAAAGACATTGCCAAAGTTGGATGAGGTGGCCATCTTGATGTACTTAATTGTATTGATGAACCTGATACACAGTTCAAAAGCATTTAGTTGAATTTAAGAATGAGAGAGAAATACGCACGTTTGTCTGCCTTGCAAAACACCATGGGCAATGACATCAAGACTTTTTTCCAACAGAATAACATCGGCTGCCTCCTTGGCGATCTCGGTTCCCGAATCCACAGAAATCCCGACGTCAGCCGCGCGAATCGCCAAAGCGTCGTTAACCCCGTCGCCTAAAAATGCGACAACTCGGCCCCCTCCACCACTACGTAACCCTTCCACGACTTGAAGTTTCTGATGAGGCGAGACCTTTGCGAAAATAATGCACCGTTCCAGAGCCGCATCAAATGCGGCTTGATCAGTGGAGAGTGCGGCCAGCTGTGATCCCGTGATCATCAAATCTTTCTCGTCCTCTGGGATGCTGAGGTGATCGGGGGAGGAAGACTTGGAAGGAAGGATACCAAGATCTCGGGCGACTTTGGCAGCAACGGCTGGAGCGTCGCCAGTGAGGATTCGGACCTGTTCTCCAAGTTAAAATATGCTGTGGTTCAGTGACAAAAAGAAACGCGCCTGGACGCCCAGCTTAGCAAGCCTATCGATTGCCTCAGAAGCATCGGATTTCAAAGGATCCAAAAAGCCAACAAGTCCGATGAAGACAAGGTCGGTCTCGTCATCGGTGTTTAACGTCATAAAAGGCAGGGCAACCGACGATTTACAAGCCACAGCCACAAGTCGAAGTCCTTCTCCGTTGAGCCTCTCAGCCGTGCCGAGGATCCGCTGTCGAGCGTCGACGGTGAGCGGCGAGGCCTTGTTGGGCTTGAAGTCGTCCAACTTGGTCGGCTCAGACAGAGAGGAGGAAGACGAGGCATGGTCGTACATTTGAGAGCAGCGGTCAAGTACTTCCTCGACTGCTCCTTTGGTGACCAACAGCCCCTTCTCGTCAATTCCCGCTTGGGAGTGGAAGACGAGAACTGAGAGCAGGCGACGTGTAGAATCAAAAGGGACCTCGGCCAATTTGTTCCACTCCTCGATTTTGACATCATCTTCGACTTCACTACCGTCGTCCTCAGCAGACTTGACAGGTACGTTTTTGAAGAAGTCAATGATGGCGCGATCGATGGGACCCCTGGTTCCAGTTTGCAATGCAGCGTTCAGGTAGGCTAGCTTAAGGGGCAGATCCGAAGGATCCCCAGAACCGGTAGTCGAACCAGATACTCGGATGAGGTCGATTGTCAGAGTGCCCGTCTTGTCTGAGCAGAGGATGTTGACAGCGCCAAGGCTTTGAATCGCGTCAAAACGTTTGACAATCACTTTTTTACGTGCCACTCGCACGGCCGAGAGTGCCAAATTGGCGGCCTACGATGTCAACTCAATATGGCGCATAGATCAAGTGAGGTGAACTCACCACAACCATGGGAAGCATTTCAGGTGTGATACCAACCGCAACAGAGATGGCGAAGAAGCCAGCGCCCTTCCAGTCCTTACTGATACCGCCTTGAATTACAAAGACAATGGGTACCATTACCTATTATTCGGCCAGCCTCATCAGTCCCAAACGTTCATCATAAGGAAAGATGGAGAACTTACTCCCATGAAAGCCAACAAGAGATAGCTGACCCTCCTAACACCAACCTGCATAATGTTAGGGGCCCTCTTCTTAGCCAAATCCTTGGCGATCGAAGCCATGTAGGTCTCGTCACCTGTCGAAATGACCATGGCGCGTCCGCTACCCGTAGCGACAGATGTGCTCGCAAGGCAGATGTTCTCGTTGTCAATGATGTTGAACTCGTACTCCGGCGGTGGAAGACCAAGCCGAACAGTCTTCTCAACAGGCATCAATTCGCCTGTCAACGAGGCTTGCGCGACAGTCAAACCCTCTGCGGAAAAGAGAACACAATCGCCAGGAAAGACGTCTCCACCTGTAAGTATTACCAGATTGGCATCGAATAAAGGATGGAGAAAGGACACAAACTAGAAAGAAGGACTACATCCCCTGGTACGACTTCTTTTCGGTCAAGCTCAACCTCTTCATTAGAGCGGAGGACCCGAACCCGAGTGGTTATGGAATTGAGGAGCTTGGCAGCTTGCGATACCGACTTCAATTCCTGCCAGAATCTTCCGTGCGAATTCTCACTTAAGTCTTCTTGTTCTGATCAAAGAAGAAAACAAACCGTAAACCCGTTGACGCCATAACCATGACTACCATGACTGTGAAGGTGGCCTTATCGCCCGTCGCAATGTTAACAATCGCCAGTACCAGAAGAATCACATTGAACGGGTTGAACAGAGCCCCCAGGAATAGAGCTATGACCCGAGGAGCGCGCTCTGTTGCGAATATATTGGGACCATGCCTTTCCAGGGCCAAGCGGGCCGCTTCGCCCGATAGTCCCGCTGGGCTTGCGTTAGGCTCGAGGCTGGGCGTTTAAGTTGAATGAAGGGTGCAAGGATGAAATTAAAACAAGGGACGCACGCGAAGATGGTAGACCCGGGAATGCGGGCAAAACGTGCTAATTTCTCGCGAACGACTCGTTCTCGCTTGTCAAGAGTATTGTCCTCGACCACTGGTTTAGTCTTGCTAAACACGAAGGGGAGCCTTGAAGATAATCATGTTGAGCAAAAGTTACATGCCGAGTTGTAGAAAGACGCTCGTACTTTTTTTCCATTATTTATGGCTGTGGTGGACGTGGGCGTGGTGGACTGATGAAGACTTCGGAGAGGTAGGACCAGCTGGGTAGTATCATCAGACATTGGTTCGGTAGAGTATACGAACACAAGAAAGACGTACCGTACTACAGATGCACGACCGTGTGCGCCAGTGGTCCTGAATTGAACTGCTAGGTTGCGCAGGCCTAGGTGCGGGAAGGAGGCACCAGAAAAGTTAATTTTCGCCAACTTGGAAAAGTGTTGTTGAGCTGTTGTTAGAGGGCAAGAAGGAAGCGTCGGGGGCGATGCTAAGTTGTGGGTATCGATGAAAGTTCCCTGAAGACTTATATACTGCGCGGAATTGTCCAAAAGGGGATAGCAAAAAAACAGGACGTATCAGTGCGACGACGACGGCAGTCAGTTCCTCTTGTCTGATTCATTTTGGCGGATATGACCGGGTTCGAGATTTCTGGGGCCAAAGTCCGGTAAAGGATATATCATGAAGGCAAAACCTGAAAGATCAAGCACGTTTCAAGGGACAACTGTGTCCGGGAAAAAAAGTGAATCGATTATAGACGAACTAAGGAACTTGACGACGAGAACAAAAATAGAGCCCACGAGTTGGTTGATCACGGAGCATCGACGAGAACGCCGTCTTCTGTAGAGCCAGAAGACCGTCTAGAATGTACATGGTCTACGCTAGCTACCACGACACCAAGAAAAGAAGCGGAAAAAGAAAGATCAGTCAGTCCTGTAAATAGACACTAATATTCAGGGATAACCCACCTTTTTCCGCCGTCAGTACACCCAGTACACCCTCCCACCCCTCTTCAAAAAGCTCAGGTTTGGTCGACGGATCAGCAACAGCCTCTGCAATTTTCGGCCGGTTCTTGGCGACGAGTTCCGCTTTCCATGCTTGTACAGCTTTCGGTGCCTGGCTGTGAGGTGAAGGGCATGATCAGGAACGGGTACAACCGTGAAGGTGACGGTAGAAAAACGAACCTCGGTGCGTAAGTCCGTGAAAACAAGGCTGCCTCCGGTGCTCGCTGCGTCTTAATAAGAAGATCGACACATGCGACTGGATCTCCAAGCTGGAAGAGGGTTGCGAATGCCAAATTGTTCTGCCCTTTCTCGACTACGGACAGAAACATCAGCGAGATCTCCGGAACAGACCAAGGAACTTGGAAGACCCACCAGCTCGGTCAGCTACAGCCTTCAAACCCTCTCTGTCACCAATAGACATCAACAAGAGCATAAGCGCGCTTAGATCTCCTGCCTTCTCGAACGCCTCCTTAGCCAGGTCGAACCGCCATACTGTCAGAGCTCTGTCGCCTAGAGCTTTCCACTTAACTTCTGCTTCATTCTCAGGAACCGTACGTGCGATTTCGACAGCGGTGTCCAGGTCGTCTAAAGAGAGGGCGAGCTCAAATTTGTGATCGGGGTCGGTTGTTACTTGAATGGCGAGCTCCTTGAGATCTGTTGGTGGGACGGTCAGAAACTAGATGGGAGGAGGGATACAAAGAGGAAGAACGAAGGAAAGAACGGCGGAAGAAAGAGTCAATAAGCAAGGAGGACGCAGGAGATGGCAAGGAAGGAGGAAGAGAGACGACAAGGTAAGAGGAAGAGAGAGACAAAAAGATAAAACATGACAAGGAAGTGGGATGTAAAACACGGCAAGGAAAGGGATGAAAATGAAGGAGGAAGAAAGAGACCAAACGGAAGATGAGTTTAGAGACGAGGAGGGAGAAGAGAGAAACAACAAGGAAGAACAAAGAAACACGAATGGAGAAGGAAGGGGCCAAAAGGGAAAAATAAAAATAAGAGAAAGGAACATATAAAAGGAAGGCGGAAACCACGACAGGGAAGAAGAAAGAAAGAGACACCAAGGAAGAAGAAAGGAAGAGAGAGACGACAAGCAGGAAGGAAGAGAAGGAAGAGACAACAAGGAAGGAGGGAAACCGGTTCCCGATACAAAACAGTAGTAGCATTGAATACACCAAAAGAGGAGAATGGGAGAGACGACAAAGAGGGAGAATGTAAAATGCAACAAGGAAGAAGAAGAGAGCATGAGAAGGAAGAGGAATAAGGAAGGAGAATGGAATAGACTTCAGAAGACGAAAAGGAAGAAGGCGTAAAACACCGAGGAAGAATGAAGGAGAAGACAAGGAAAGAGGATGTAAAATACGGCAAGGAAGAACGATGTCAAATGAAGAAGAAAGAAGGAGACGAAGGGCAGATGAATGAAAGTGAAAGAGGAAGCAGAAAGGGACGAAGAGAGAAACAACGAAGAGGGGCGCCAAAAGAAAGAAACACTGAAACCACCAAGAAAACTCACCTCTCCCCTCAAGGAACCTCGCAACCTTATTTAGCTGATCCCTAGGCAACGTCGGTAATATCTCATTGGCAGCCTCCATATCCCCCCTCAACACCGCAGTCTGGTATTCAACAACGATGAGGGAGAGCGCGTAGCCGTAGATGTTCAGGTCTTTGTCTGCGAGGTAAACCCGGTTGTGTGTTGGGATGTAGCCCAGGAGGTAGAGTGGGCTGTTTGTGTGAAAAGAGTGTAAGCAAGGAGGGAAGGAGGAGGAAGGGGAAGGGGAGGGGACGTACGTATCAAAAGGACTTATGGTGTACGACTCGCTTCCGACAAAGTAGGAGAGCCGGTTGGTGTTTGTGGTGTAGATGAAGCAGTCTCCCACCCATTTGGCTGTTTTCACGCTATATCAAACAAGTGAAGGTCAGTGAGTGGAATAGAATGAAGAGAGGTTACCCACCCTTCTGGAACGTCAGCGACGACCTCGAACGCCTCTTCCACACCCTCATCCGTAATCTCTGCGCCTTCTTCGATTTTTGCATTGTAGGCGTCTCTATCGAACCGGATGATGTAGAACGAGTCTTCGGCTGTGATAGCGACGAGCGAACCGGTTCCTGACCAATGTACCTGTGTTCTTTTTTATTAGAGAGGGCGCAAGGTTGGGAGAAACGAAAACGCACATTCTTCGCATCAACATCAATCCTCCTCACAATCTCCCCACTCTCCCAATCCCAAAACATAACAAACCCATTCCCCCTCGCACCAAGCAACGTCCCACCATGCAAACTATCCATCGACCAGCTCCCAGCGCCTTTCATCCCCGTCACACCCGTACGTTCACGGAAGTTCTTGTATATCTTGAGTTTTACTTTACTCTCCAACACAGCGTATGTATTGGAATCGGGTGCCCATGCGAATGATATTCCGTTCCCGAAGGATTTGTTACGCCATGCTAGGGCAGTGTAGGTTATGTATTCGCCGTCGCCTACTACAGTAACAAAACGGCCGTTGGGGGAGTGGATCAAAGACGTCGCGAATATCTCTGTTGAACCGATTTCTTTGACTGATAATGGGATACGAGCGCCGTCGGAGAAGGAAGCGTCGTCTGCTGAGATGGTTTGGATGTTCCCCGAGAGGACGTCGTGGTTCCGGGTGTAGATGAGCTTGCCGGAGGGGTCCATGCTGAATGTGGGTTCGTCTCGCCCGAGTTTGATGACGACGACGCCTTCGTCGAAGCCTACAGCTACTTCGTTGGCGTCTTTGCGTAGGGAGACGCACCATGCGCGTTCGAGGGCGTAGCTTAGTGTGTTTTCGATCCTGTACGTGCCGCTGTTCCAGATCTTGATAGTCCCATCTTCGCTCCCGCTGATGATGATGGGGAGGTTGGGATGGAAGACGGCGAAGGAGACGTTGTTAGTGTGTCCTTCCATGGTTTGTACGCAGCTTTTGCTGAGGTAGTCCCAGACTTTGACGGTTTTGTCGTCCCCTGTTGTGACGAGGTAGGGTTTGTCGGCGCCTGGGTAAAAGTCGACGTAGTTTACGCCTTTGTCGTGAGCTTCCATTGTGAAGTTGGGTGTTGAGGAGGTGATGGACCACATTTTGACGGTGCGGTCTAGGCAGGCGGAGACGAAGGTGTTGGCGTCTTTGGGGTTGAAGGCGAGGTTCATGATGTAGTGTGTGTGGCCTTCGTATATCTGCAATTATCGTCAAATACAGCGTGATAGAAGGCGGAGAAGGTACATACTTGGATGTTCTTCCACCCCTTTTCCCAGTCCCAGGCTTTGATCGACATATCGTCGCTACCGGTCAGAACGATGCTCGCAGTCGGATGGACTGTCAGACATCTGATATAATCAGGATGAGCCTCAAAGGCTGCGACCTTTTCATGGGTATTGTAGTTGAACACGCGTAGCTGAAAGTCGTCCGACCCAGCTACGAACCAGTTCTTCCGCGCGATAAACTTGGCGCAGCGGACAGGGACCTCTGCGACCTCGAATGTCTTGACGACTGCGCCTGTCTCGTGGTTGTAGATGTTGACTGTGCCATTGTAGAGCCCTGCGAGCAACCATGGCTCTGTAGGATGGAAATCGACGCCCTTGACGCGATCTGACCGCGAGAAGAGCTTTTTCTGTGACAGTGGACGTTAAAGGCGACGTTGAGCTCGATGTTGAGCTCGATGTTGAGCAGGCTACTCACGTTTACCTCGAAGAGCATCCTGGTCGTTGCGTGGAAGAAGAGAGGCGGTGAATTGACGTTGACACGTGGGACTTGACACTGACTAAGACAACTCATTCCGTTTCAGCTCAACTTTTCTTCTTCTTCCATCATCGTCTTCAACAGCGACCAGCGGATTTTCTGGAAAGGAAGGCCATGGCCTCGAACACGACACAGGCCATCGCTTCAGGCGACTTGGTCGACCTCGTTTCTTCTTCAGGCTCAGCCATTATCTATCCCTCTGACGACGCCATCCTCGCCGTCCTCCAAGCTCGCTTTCGTGCGGATTTACCTTATACCAGAGTCGGGACTACCAATTTGGTCGTCGTCAATCCTTACAAGACTCTCGCTAATGTCAACGACCTCAGTGCAAAGGATTATGAGGACCGTTGTTACAAGGATACCAGTCTGCCTATGGTGGATTCACCGAGACCTCTACAGCCACATTTGTATGAGCAGGCTGCAAAGGTCTATCTACTCATGAGGCGCAGGAATGAATCGCAGGCTGTGATTACCAGGTGAGCCTCTACTGGCATTCTGCGTCATTGCGGTGTTAATGGTGCTATAGAGGCATTACGGGTTCCGGCAAGTCCTCAAGCCTTCGACTGTTCATGAACCAAATCCTTCGACTGTCCTCGCACTCTAAGAAGGAGGCCAAGCTCGCAGAGCAGATTCAAGCCTTCGGCACTCTCTTAGACTCCTTCGGCAACGCCAAGACACTCATGAACCCCAACGCATCACGCCACGGTCGTTACCTCGAACTCCACTTCAACGAGCGTGGCAGAATAAGCTCAGCCAAAGCGTTGACATACGGCCTAGACAAGACCCGCCTGAACCACCTCACTTTCGAAGAGCGCTCATACCACGTATTTTACCAGTTCCTCGCTGGGGCTACTGTGGCTGAGAGGGACCACTTTGTCTTGGAAGACCCATCGGATTACGCCCTCCTAGCATCTTCAGGCACTTACCGCCTCCCCTCCGGTCCTTTCAGCGACGATGCCATCGGCATGAGCGACCTGCGCGCTGCCATGCGAACCCTGGGCTTCAAACCGAAACACATGACCTCTATTTTTAGCCTCCTCGTAGCCATTCTCCAACTTGGGAATCTTCAGTTTACAGATGGCGATGCATCAGATGTACCAGCCTACGTCTCCAACGCGCCAGTGCTCGACCAAGTAGCTCGCTTGCTCGGCGTAGCACCCGAAGAGCTGAGCCAAGTTCTCACCAACAAGACAAATTACGTGCGCAAGGAGCTCTACACCGTCATCCTCAACGCTCAGCAGAGCTCGGCACAGCGAGACCACCTCGTCCGAGACCTCTACGCCATCCTCTTCCAATTCATAGTCGAAACGTCCAATCACAGACTAGCACCTAGCTCAAAGGACCCCCTCCCCTCTACCCAAATCATCCTCCTCGACCAAGCGGGGTACCAAACCCGCGGTCCGGCAGGGACGACATCCATCTCTCTCACGGGCGCCACGCCCCTCATATCTGCGTACGGACAAAACGGGTTTGACGAGTTTTGCATCAACTTTACTGATGAGCTGCTCCATTCATACGTCCAGCGGAACATCTTTGAGGATACAGTAGGACCAAACGTGCAGATGGTCAATGACGGCGTGACGTTGCCTGCTATTGCCACCATGGACAACGGGGCGTGCGTTGAGCTGATCAGGGGCGCGCAGTTGAGTGAACGGGCGCAGAGGAAGCCGGGGGGGCTGTTGGGTGTCCTCAACAAAGCTTGTTCGTCGTACAAGTCTGGTAAAGGCGGGGAACAGCGCGACGATGATCTTTTGCAAGAGCTCAATTCGCGGTTTGGGGTTCATAATTCGTACGTTGCGTCTACGTCTGGATCAGCAGCGGACAGGACGTTGTTTGGGATCAACCACTATGCGGGGCAGGCTTCGTATGACGTTAAGCAGTTCGTGGAGAAGGATGTGGATTTGTTGGACTCGGCGTTTGTTACGCTCCTACGCAACTCTTCTGACCCGTTCGTTTCCAAGTTGCTCTCTGGGCCTGGGCTGGCGGCTGAGAGACACATGAAAGATGAGAACATCATCGTTCAAGCTCAAGTCTCCTCTCGGCCCCTGCGCACGGCTACACCCATCCTCTCAACGTTCAATACGGTCCCCTCAGCAGCGGACGAGCATCCCCATCTTGATCCCAGCAAAACTTATCCAGTGACCACCCAGCTGAACTTTACCTTATCCGAGATATTTGCCTCTCTTGATCGGACACGCGTGTGGTGCATCACTTGTATACGGCCCAACGACTCTGGCTCGTCTAACTCGTTTGATAAGAGGAGGGTGAAGGCTCAGATCAGGTCCTTACTCCTCCCAGACGTTACGTCCCGTCGTAGCGTGGAGTATGTAGCCGATTTGGAGCTGGGCGAGTTTTGTGAGCGGTATGTGCCGACGATGCGAGGATCGGATAAGGAGAGGATCGCGCAGTGTGCGAGGGCGAATGGGTGGAGTGAGGGTGAGGATTATGCGATTGGGCAGGGGAGGATTTGGTTGGATTATCGGGTTTGGAAGATGGTTGAGGATCGGTTGAGGGCTTTGGAGAGGGATGCGAAGAGTGGTGGTGCTGGTGGTGTGTCGAGGGAGGATGAGGAGGATGATGGTGGTTTGGATGAAGGGACGGAGTATACCCATGGCACTCTTGAGCCTGGACAGCCTTATTTTGGAGAGAGTGCGGATAACCTTTTGTTGACGAGGAATGGGCCGGATGGGGCGAAGTACCAGGACCCGAACATGTATGGTGCTGGTGGGTTGCCCACGCCGACGTTGCAGAACCAGGAGTGGAATAATGAATGGGATAAGAAGAGTCCTGTTAGCCCTGGGCCGGCACCTTACTCCAACGCATCGAAGGAGACTGGTGGTATCGTCGTCAAAGAGACGCAGAACGCCGTCGAAGAGGTACCTACGAGCCGTTCGCGTCGTTGGTGGCTGGCGCTCGTCTGGCTATGCACCTGGCTCATTCCCTCCTTCACACTCAGGTACATCGGCCGAATGAAGCGACCTGACATCCGACTAGCTTGGCGAGAAAAAGTGACCATCTTCTGGCTCATCTTCATCCTCAACGCCATCGTCGTCTTTTACATCATCGAGTTTGGCCGTCTGCTCTGTCCCAACTTTGATAAAGCCTGGACGTCGAACGAGGTGGCTGAACATCAAGGGGTAACGGATTATTGGGTCTCAGTGCAAGGCTCCGTGTACGACTTGACCAACTTTATTCATGGCGATCATAGTGATATACCGAATGAGGCGAGCAATGATCCGGATACATTGTCGACGCTCGCAGGGCAGGATTTGACGTATTTCTTTCCCCCGCCTTTGGTCATTGCGTGCCCGCAGCTCGTGACGGATAACACGATGTCGATCACCCCCAAGAACTTTTCGGATTTTACGCCGCTTGCTATGCATGTTTCGGGTCATTTGCAGACGCAGACTACGGCGCTGTCTAATGCGAATTGGTATAGCCAGAAGTTCTTCCCCAGGATGAAGACGTTTAAGAAGGGTCCGCTAGTTTTTGAGAAGAAAGTGATTGCTGCTATGGCTGCTGATACGACTATTGCAAAGTACGTGTTCTTACAACCTTCCCTCTTTCTTTTTCTGATTGCCTCCCTAAAGGGTATGGGGTGTATATGAGAAACAGCTCTTTGACCTGACGGACTACGTGAACACCCTCAACATCAACCAAAACACGGGCTCGTACGCTTTCCTTGATACCGGCCTCGTCAGCGTGTTCAGGCAACAGTCTGGGCAAGATATTACCAAGCCCCTTAATGTCGTGTTAAACTCTATGACGGCTGCGAACCGCCAACTCCATATGGTGTGCTTGAATAACGCATTTTTGGCTGGAGAGGTGGATTTTAGGAAGTCAGCGAGGTGTCAAGTCCAGAATTACTTTTTGATTGCTGCTTCGGTTGTTCTTATGACGTCTATGGTTTTGAAATGTGAGTCCATCCATTCATTCGTACACTGGAACGATTTTCTGAAGTTGGTTATTCTAGTCTTGGCTGCCCTTCAGCTGGGAAGCAAACGCCAGCCAGAGTTGCAGGACAAGTTTGTTATCTGTCAAGTGCCTTGTTATACTGAAGGCGAAGATTCACTTCGTCGGACTATCGATTCGCTGGCTGCGTTGAACTATGACGATAAGAGGAAGCTCATATTCATTATTTGTGATGGCAATATCATCGGAAGTGGGAATGACAGGACGACTCCTCGAATTGTGCTGGATATCCTTGGGGTTGACCCACAGCTGGATCCTGAACCGTTGTTGTTCAAGTCTGTTGGGGAAGGATCGAAGGCGTTGAATTATGGAAAGATTTACTCTGGGTTGTATGAGTTTGAGGGGCATGTCGTTCCGTGAGTCCAGTCTTTGACCCCTTTTTGTTCGACTTTTTTATGCGTATGATCGTATAGGTACATGGTGGTGGTCAAGGTGGGCAAGCCCACTGAGCGTTCAAAGCCTGGCAATCGTGGAAAGCGAGACAGTCAAATTCTGTTGCTGCACTATCTGAACAGAGTGCACTTTGATGCGGCCATGTCGCCTTTGGAGCTTGAGATTTACCATCAGATGAGGAATGTTATTGGTATCGATCCTGCGTTCTACGAGTACATCTTTACTGTGGATGCGGACACGGTAAGCTCACTTTTGTTTGGCTGAGCACGGACTGACGATATCTTAGACTGTAAAGCCTGACTCTCTCAATCGTCTGGTAGCCTCAAGCGCAGATGATTCTGCCATCATCGGTATTTGTGGGGAGACCAAGCTCGAAAACGAACAGACGTCCTGGTGGACGATGATCCAAGTCTACGAGTACTACATCTCCCACCACCTGTCCAAAGCCTTCGAGAGCTTGTTCGGCTCCGTCACCTGTTTGCCCGGTTGTTTCTCCCTCTACCGCATCCGTACCGCAGACAAAGGTCGTCCGATCATCATCTCCAATCGAATCATCGAAGAGTATTCCGAACCAAACGTTGATACCCTGCACAAGAAGAATCTGTTCTCCCTTGGAGAAGATCGATTCTTGACCACTCTCCTTATGAAGCATTTCCCGACTTTTAAAACCAAGTTTTGCCCGGATGCGGTTGCGCACACTGTGGCGCCCGAGTCTTGGCGTATTCTTTTCTCTCAGCGCCGTCGGTGGATCAATTCGACTGTTCATAATCTTTGTGAATTGGTGATCCTCCCCGAGTTGATTGGTTTTTGCTGTTTCTCTATGCGCTTCTTTGTCTTTATTGATCTTTTGGGTACTCTGGTAAGTCCTTCTCCTTATGACCTGTGGCCAATGTTGACATACCTTCTTCATAGATCTTGCCGGCTACCGTTGCTTATGTACGTGCATCCCATCCATTTTTCTAGCCTGAGATTGAACTCCTTCTCTAGTTGGTCTACTTGATCGTAGTTGTTGCAATCGGAGCTTCTGCTCTCCCTCAGATTGCCCTCATCATGCTTGGTGTCACTTACGGCTTACAGGCACGTCTCTTTGTTTCTTTTCATGAGCGTGGATGGATGCTGACGTGCCATGCAGGCCTTGGTCTTCATCATTAAGCGAGAGTTCATGCTTGTGGGTTGGATGATCGTTTATCTTCTTTCGTAAGCACACCCCTTCGTATCTGAGGCTCTAAAATTGACGGTGAACCTTTCTCAAAGATACCCGGTGTACAGCTTCTTCTTGCCCGTCTACTCTTTCTGGTGTATGGACGAGTTCAGTTGGGGTAACACCCGTTTGGTCGTTGGTGAAGGCAAGGAAAAGAAGGTGCTCATGAACGATGAGGAGAAGTTTGACGATTCCATGATTCCTCTCAAGAAGTTCAGTGGTGCGTCCTTCCCCTTACCTCCTTGTTCCGCCTTGGCATTGATCAACACCCTTCCAGAATATGAGGCTGAGGCTTGGGACACTGCCAGTCGGCATTCCGATGACACAGGATACGACAGCAAGTCGCGCTCGCGTTCGCATGCTCCGCGATCGCAAAATGCCTCTCCCCTTCCTTATCAACAAGCTTCTCAAGCGGGAGACTACTACCGTGATACCAACATGACATACAACAACAACTCAAATCCCAATCTTCGTCTTGGTGGAAGTCAGCTGTCGCATAGCAACATTTCATCTCATCATGGTCACCAGCCGCCCATGTCCCAGTTTGCCCCTCCCCAACTTCCGATGATGCCGTTCGGTGGGGGCCCAGGCTCCGCTGCTGGATCGGATTACGGGCACATGCCTATGGGTATGCCGCCCATGGGGTACCAAAACACTGGGAGCATGTACGGCATGGTGCCTCCTGCCATGGTTCCACGGAATACGTTTATGCCTGGCATGAACGCGTTCGGAGGTGCTGGGTTTGGGGGATCACAATCTGGTGGGTTTGGTGGCGTTCCTCCGTCGATTCCACCAATTGGTGGTGACACGCGGCCCATGTCGACGTTCTCCATGGCTACTACTGCCAACCCCTTCGCAGGCCCCAGTACGAACCCCAATCCTTCGGATGATGAACTGTTCATGGCTCTGAGAAATTACTTGAGCACTCAGGATTTGATGACGGTTACCAAAAAGTGAGTTATCCGAACCAAAGGCTAATCTTTACTGATTTTGTCCTTTGTAGAACGGCGCGAGAAGCCATCGCGGGCAAGTTCCCCAAGGCCGACCTTACATCGCGAAAAGATTTCTTGAATCAATCCATCGACAAGATCCTTTCAGAATCATAGATCCTACACGCTCCTTAATCACAACATCCATCCCTTGCATAGTTCAATACTTCCATTATGCCCCCTCTCGCATTTTTGGACATCCATCCCTTCTCTCCTTTTGCTATACGCTCTGCATCCACAGTTAGTTTACCATGCACGGACTTTATATATCATCTGTAAGCAAGTAATCGTCAAATGATTGCGGACTTCTTCTTTACTCTAGAGGACAAGTATAAACAGGTTTTATCTCATAGTTGGATCTTGGATCCTTGAACAATCAATGATCATGACAATGTTAATATCTATTCCGTTTCCCTACATGCTAGAATGGGAACGGGAGTAAGTGCGATTCAACGCCCGTCACATTCATCTGTTCCTCCTCCGTAAGCTCCAAGCCTATCCAAGGTGAAAACGGCGTTCTGATGGCCGTTTTCCGGTATTTCAAATCCACCTCCACCCCTTCCCGTCGAACTTCTTCAATCCGCTTCAGTCCACCCACATCCGAGTCGTCAGGCTGCGTTCGGTCTAGGTACACCGAAACACGCTTTAGAAGGGGGCCAGTGCCGTCGCCCTTTCGTGCGTACTTGCATCGTTTGAGCAGGAATTGAACCAAGGCGTCATCGGAGAAGTGCAGGGATTGGCTACCGCCTTTACATTCGAACTCTTCCAACAATGGACATAACACGGATGGAAGGTCTGGTGATGATGAGGGAGTGAGGAGCGTGAGTATCGCATCGTTCATCACTGGCTCAAGTTCTGCGTTGGATTGAGTGTCGACGAGTGCGAAGGGGGGTGCGAGTGCTGCTGAGAGGCGGAGGTGGGTTATACCTGGGGATGATTGCAAACATATGATTAGATCTTCTTTTCTCATTGAATATAAATCGAGGCTTAGGGATCGAAGCGTTCCTCCGTTTTGGAGCAGGATGTCGACTGGGACGGAGAGTGATATGTCGAGTGATGAAGCTGTTCTGATGAATGGTTGCTTGAATTCTATGTTATGCAACTGGGGGAGTTCGAAATAGTTGAATATGTGCCCGAAAGCCGCGTAAGAGACATTGAGCAGAAGGTTGCGTAACCGTGGCAAGCGAACGTCGAATTTGACCATTTCGTGTAGGGGTTCCGGGTGGGAGAGTCTCAGAGCGCATGTTACAAGCCCTGGGCATTGACTGAGCACCTTTTTCACGTTCTGGTACGAGATGCCTTGGTGGATTGGCCCGTGCACGTATCCTTCGGTGTCGAGTTCCAATTTGGTCAGCTGTGCCCACTTTACAGGTAAATTTGCGAAATTCTCATATGCGAATGATAGAGAGAGGGAACGGAGGTGGGGTGCCGCTAGCAAACCACACAAAGACCATGGTTTTGGAGGTGCTGATGAGGGGTGTGGAGGCCATCCGGAGTGCAGGCGCACAAGGCTGATTGATTCCAATAACGGGAGATCTTCCGCGGCTATGTTCTTTAGATGTGTGAAAGCGGGGTCCATGGCTCTTACTGTTAACGACCTCCATCGATGGCGTGAGGATATGAGTTGTTCGGTTACTCTTTCAAATGCCCACCCGGCAACACGGCTCCTGGTGTCCACGTAACTCGGCATATGGATGGATATGGACAACGGACAAGCACCCGACTTTTCTATCCATTCTTCTGCTGCTTTGGACCGGTGGCTTATCTTGTCTACGAATCCTGGATCAAGCTGCTCGTGGTCTTGTGGTGTGGGCGGGCGGGTAAAGACGGTGTTGGGAGTTGGAATGTGGATCCGGGCCCATAAGCGTGGTGTTGACAGTACGATGGTCCGCCAGGAGCTGCAAACGCGGCCTAGGAGCACTGGCGCCTCTTTAGCGCTCATGGCTGGGTTCCGATGTTGAGGAAGACAGTGGAAGAATATTTCACCCAAGACATCTGGTGGGAGTCGACGAACGGGGGAGATGAGGGCGCGGTGGGCTTTGATTTTGTTATGTAGCGCTCCGTGTTTTCCTATGAGGTTTTTTAGAGTAGCTCGGGTGCGGACAATTTCCTTGTCTAGGTCGGCTAGTTGGGCTAATGGTTCGCTAAGCAACTTTTTTATGTGATCTATTTCGGGGTCGTTTGGAACGTAGTTGGTGTCGAGGTATGGCGCGTATGGACTGGTATCCGACATTCCTTCTATAGGTACCATTTGAGTTCTTTGGACAGAAACCCTAGTGAATTGCTGCGTACGACTAGGCCGAGTTGAAAAGGTTTTCAAGGATGTCCTATAAAGCATTAGTGAATCGTACTCATCGCGTATAAAGCAGCAAGTAAGTACCTGCTAGTCAAGCTGCTAGTCGTTAACGCGTTAACTTTGATATGCGATCATTTAAATTCGAAGCAGTGGCCACACGTGACCTACATTTTACATCATGGCATCATGCTAACACGCTCAGGCTGGTGCGTCGTCAGCACAATCCCATCTTTTCGAATTATTTCACAACAGTCTTCGGCCACTTGTCCTGCTAAGTTTGCTTGCGTTGAAGGAGACGCTGGTGTGTGTCCGACTCAGCGCCAACAGCTAAGGGGTAATTGCTCCAAGGAAGAGGGAAACAAGTTCACCCTGTCCTAAGTATCGTTTGGCGTCCGCTTCTGCAGCGGCCTGGCGGAGAAACTTGGGCACGTTTACATTTGCTTCCATGATGATGGTAGCTGACCTTATCTGACGCTTCAGTGTGGTTCAGTTGGGGTGCCGACGTCATTAAAAGTCCCAGTGCCTTATCCCGCGTCCCTTTATCCCGTCACGTTAGGGGCCGCTCTTTTTGTGAATGTCTTCACTATAGCTACAGCAACAACAAAGCAACAAAGTCGGCGGATAAGCGTGGGGGAATCGCTATTGGACAATGACAAGAAGATTTATGTGGTCGCATGGTAATTGGTCGCGCCCCCATTCACATCGTCCTGTGCTGCGTGTGCACTCTCGCGTCAACATGGATTCTTATTCCGTTCCTCGGGTGTTTGCTCATTTTCCAAATGTCAGGTGACAACGCCCGTCTATGATCAAGTGGAATAGTAACGTTTTTTTTACGCCCTTTCTCATAGCCTCTTATTCTACCTTTCCCCTCCTCTCAATCTAGTATTATTTCCCTTGTTCCACCGCCTTTGTCCCCCACACAGACCGATCGTGATCTCAGACCGCAGCTGGAATTGTCCGAAAGACTTAGGCTTGGCTCCCGAAACCCCGGAACCTGTCTTCGAATCTCACCAAAACTTGTTCGTACCTGACGTTGCCAGGGTACGCAGCGCCTCAACTAGGCCTCAACAGCGCCTTACTTCCGACAATAATACCACCTCTAGTCATACAAACAAGTTTTCGTAAGATGTTGTACTATCAAATGCAAAGCACTCACGCACGTTCGTATTCAGGACCTTCACTATCAGTTTAGCGCTCAACAGATTACCGTGTTCGCGCAGCCTTCTTCGGGACCAAATCCATTTCTGGGGTCTTTTGGTGCCAAAACCAAGCACGGCCTTGCAAACACCTGTATAGCCTATGACAGATATGAATTCATGAATGGCTGGGCGAAACCTAAACGCAAAGACGGGAGAAACTCATACTTAAAGAAGGAGAGGCAAATATGAAGTGATCAAGCACGAGGTCGTAACATTTGTGCCGATTTGGGGGTCCAAGTCGATGAGCTGCATAGCAGGGAAAGGAACGAGAGTCCAAAAGACTCGGATACACAATGTTCACTGCAAACAAGAAAGACGTTGGCTAGGCACGGTCTGGATGGCAGGGGAAAAACTTGGCATGCGAACGATGAGAAGAATTGTATAGAGAAGGCACGCAGCACCAGGCCTAACTAAACCGAGACCACGAACACGGGCGCCAAAAGGAAGCATCAAAAATGGGACAACACCGCAAAGCACTGTGCGAGGAAGACTGCGTTTTTTTAAATAAGCAAACAAGCTTGTCTTTCGTTTATCAAGGTAATCTGCCAGTGCTCAAGCGACAACAACCTTATGCCTCCCATACCAACAGGTGTGTCCCCTCGTGCATTGTTTTTGTCCGCTTTTAACGTGTCGCCCCAGACTTCCCTTTGGACATTGTTGCTGTAGTTCGCAGAGGAAATGGAGCTGCGGCAGGCGCTTGGCGTGGCGGTCTTACTCCCGGAGGTGTCGACCTCATCGCTATGATAGTCAGTGATTCCGGACTTGCAAGTACCGAACCGCAGTGGTGGAATTGCTCTACAAAAGGGTGCGTCTTCATAGGCCTCCAACCCCGTGGAGGCTGGCAGGTTATGCAGCGAGCCGTTCAATGGGGCAACGACCCCATTTCCAGTATGTTTGGCGTAACATGCTCGAAGCCGTCTAGATACGCCTATTTTTCGTGCTCCATTAGGAACCGACTCGAAAAGTGGGATTCCCCCGCATGGTCATCACCCACCGAAGCTGTGGACAACGCGAGTGGATGGAAGGATGTTGGTGGATCACACGTACGCCGGCCAACCAAATTAATTGACGGAAGTCGAGGTGGACAGGCGTTCATCTGCTCTCTTCTTTTACCAGAGAAGGAGACATCCTACACCATCGACGTCCAGGCCCGCATGCAGTTCAGAAGCATTCTGCTCGTTGCGGCTGGCTTGATGAAACCCAACAGCTTAGTACATTTGGATGACATTATGGAGAATGACTTTCAGCTCAGTCCCAGGTTAGGCGTTATCTTTCGACGTCTACTGATCATCCTCGCCATTGCCAACGTCATTGTAATGGGGATCGCCATCGCCACCGTTTACAGCATCTTTCGGGACAACCTCTTTGGTAAAGTCATACCTTATGTGGCTCAGGCTGCATCCTTGCTACTATGGGCAGTCGGCGCTATTGGTCTGCTAATGCTAGGTGGAAACCCCCGTGTCAAGAACATTATACTCCCCGACTCCGATTTACCACCCTACATCCTTAATAGATTAGCGGAGCTCAAGACCAAAGTATCAAAGGAAGGTCTGGTCGAGATTCAGTTTGGATCAATTCACGGCTCTCATTACATTCCTGACCATGGGTCCTGCTCCCTCCCATTTTTTGTTGTCGACAGGATGTGCAGATGGGAAATAGGCGTAGTCAGGTCTCGGAATTGGTATTTCGGGATTGGGTGGTGGAGTACTTGCTTATTGCTGAGCATTGGACTGCAGATTATGGGTGCTCAGGTTGCAACGGTAGCGTCAGAAATATTCTCGATTATTGTGCTGCTCATGACAGCATTGGCGAGGGGATATGGTGTCGCCGGGCCAGAAGAGTGGTTGATCCCGGGGCGTAAAAGCCGTCGAACGGCAGGGTATGGAGCGTCCCTCGTTGGTAAATTTGAAGCACGAGCAGGTGCATGAACAGTCACCATAACGATCTTCTTCTTGAAACTGTTGCTATTGGTCTGCTCTTTCGGTCTGGTACCACATTCCAGTTGTATTCCCTCTCGCACTCCACTGTTTTTTAGATATGCTATCAAGATGTGCTGCCTCTCACATTTTCTTTGAATTGTTCTTCCTCTATAATTTCACTTGTGGTATTTGGCCTATTACGTAGGGGTACTCATTCGACCGGAGGGGCGCTCAGACTTGACAGGAGGGCGCTTATGACCGTTGGTCGTTGGTCGGTCGCTTTGTCGGATCGTAACACTCCTCGCATCTCCACGCAAATTCGTTGATATCAACATGATCATGATGAGTCATCAACTTATGTTTTGAACTGCATTTACTTATAGAAAGCTCGTTGAGTGGAAGAGGCCTCCAAAGCATGCGAAATTCACCTGTCATCGCAAACTTTGCTTGATGAGGTCTACAGATAAGATTTCTTCTAGACCTACATACGATATTATTTGATTAGCAGGCAACAGAGAATCCGCCGACCTCAGAACGAATCAAGTTTGACCAGTTGGCGTTGAATTCCTGCGAACTTAGGTGCACGGGACACAGTGGTTGCGACGGAGATTTACACTTTGTAACATCAGTGGGGGGGAAACAAAGTAACTCACGTCGCGAACCTCTCCGCACTCTTTATCAACAGAACCACACATGCCTCAAAAGTCTTCACGCCACCCTTGATCTTGCCTCGACCTATACCCTTCTACAGCAACCTTCATCAACCTGACATCCTCCTTCGTCGCCCCATCAAACCCCACAGCCGTCTTTACGAATGCCGCGCCCGCCTCATGCTGCGAGCCGAAGGTACGTCAATGACGATTAGCTGAACGTTAGTTTTGGCATGTTTTGATGATGGCTTTGAAGGGGTGAGAATGGGTTTAGAGGCCTCTTCTTCCCACGGCATGCTTACCGGGTAAAAACATCTCCGCCCACTACCGAAATCCTCGCATTCGTCTTGCATTCGTCAAAGCGTTTCTTGAAACGGACGCGATGTTTGGGCAGAATCCAGACTGACAAGTTGTGCGAGGAGGCTGCTGTGAAATATGAGTTCAAGGTGAGTTGTTGAAGAAGACCCCTCGTGACCTCATCTATTTACGCGTACGTCTTGTTTGCACCTCCTCGATCAATTCAGTAAAACTTCCACCGCTTACACTTATATTCCACTGCTTATACTTACACCCAACTTACATCCGTTATTCCCGACCGTCCTATAAGTACGAGGACTTTATTTTCCCTTCACCTCAGTCATCACCACATCCGTGTCTGACTGAGGTGAGTCTTTTCTTACTTACATTTAGATACTTAACGCTAACGCTACTTGTACTTAGATCCTCGTACGTTAACAGGTAGCTAAGACAATAGAGTCATCACCACATCCGTGTCTGACTGAGATCCTCGTACGTTAACAGGTTATGGGCCCCGTTGCGTTCTGACAAGAGGAACTTCAGACACCTACCTGCTTTACCACATTACCTCTGACTCGTAAAGCCTACTTTTACACACACACGCGCACTTACAAAAATGTCAAACGCAAACCCCCCCATCTTTCCTGATGCAGAAAAATTTGAGGGGACCAACTTCGCTGCTTTCGAGACGCTCGTCATCATCGCAGCTAGCAGCCGCGGCGTATTAGGGTATTTACAGGGACACATTACGAATCCCGCTCCCTACCCAGACACCACGACCTTGAACTACACCCCCACGTTACCGAACGTCCCACTCCCAGACGACCCCACTCCCTGGTACTCTAGCACACCTTCGGGCGCGGAGTGGGCTATGCGCGATGCATGGACACGCGCATTACTGCTATATAACACTAAAAACGCTGTTGGACTCGGGCTCAAGCTCGACGGTACAGCTGCAGAGGCGTGGAACTCACTCACCTCTCAATACAAAATATCCTCTGACCTCGCCGTGGTCACTACTCAGCGCGACCTCCGTAACATTATTTTCTCGGACGGAAACGACTTCCCCACTCATATTTCCAACCTCCGCACTAAATGGGCAATGGCCAACAATGCTGGAGCGAAGATCGAGGATGCCGATTTTCGTATGATCATCCTCTCGTCACTTCCCGCCTCATGGGATAGCATCGTTGGAACCCTGTACGAAGCAAAATCTTCTGCGGACGTCATCAGTCGCCTAACGATCCATTGGAACCGCATTGACCGCACCAAGTCAGTCTTAAATCCATCCACTGTCGTCACTGCGCTACAAACCGATGCCAAACGGCCGCGTAGCCAGTTACAATGCGCCAATACGAACTGTGGACGTCGGGGACACATCATTGATAACTGCTACTGGCGCGGAGGAGGGAAGGAAGGCCAATTCCCACCAGGATTTGGGAGACGCGGGGGTACAGGCAATACAACACCCCAAGCATCGGTTACAGCTGCCCTCACGGACGCCTCACCATCCTCAGAGATCACTCTTGCCCTCTTCTCTAGTGTAGGGACCACAAACGCATTAGCAGCAATGGCGACACCAGTTGAGCAAGACGTTCCCACATACGCAGACTCTGCGGCGAACAAACATTGTTTTGTGAACCGCTCGGATTTTTCCACATACCACGCATTGTCCAAACCCGATGAAGGCCAGTCTGCAAATCAAGGGGGTCAGTTCCGAATTATCGGCCATGGTACAGTCACCAAGACCATCCTATCCGGTCCACTAAAAACCACGATCACCTTCAAACATGCGGTCCACACTCCCGAGCTGATAGCCAACCTTATCTCCATCAGTAAGCTCGACGAGGCGAAGTGCTGGGCACTATTTGGAGGTGGGGGAGTCACTTTCTACAACGTACACAACAGTCAGAAGAGGACATTGATGGTCGGTGCGGGGAAAAATGGGATGTACTTGCTTAATGTGGAACCGAAGACGCATGCCCTTGTCGCTCGCTCCCTTGCAAAACCCAGTAGTATTGAAGTGTGGCATCGACGTTTCGGACATGCCGGTGTCCGCTCGATTACGGACATGGCCAAAGGAGGACTGGTCGACGGACTCGACATTGTGGGGAGTCTTGAGCTCACTGGGAAGTGCGAGGATTGCATATACGGAAAACATACCATGCGCCCATACGACGAGGTGATAAAGCCAGAAACGGAGGTCCTCGAACGTGTTTATGCCGACCTGTGGGGACCAGCTCGCGTGCGCTCTGTCGGGGGTGCTGTATACATGTTTGTTTTCAACGACGGGGGATCGTCTTACCGCGTAGGATACTTCCTCACATCAAAGTCATCCGACACAACCCTCACCGCCTTCGCTGAATTCCACGTTAGAGCTGAAAGGGAGACAGGGAAGAAACTAATCCGGGTGAGGGTGGACATGGGGACGGAGTTCTTCAATGATAAGTGGAGGGACTACACGACACGTTTTGGCATCACTGTGGAGTTTAGTGCGCCCTACGCCCACGGCCAAAACGGAGTGGCAGAGCGTGGGATGAGAACGATCATGGAAGGTGTACGTTGCCTTCTAGCTGAATCCACACTACCCCCTTCACTATGGGCCGACGCCGCCGCCTTTACCATCTACGTCCGGAACCTCATCCCCTCCTCACGTCACCCTGGCCTCATACCTGCAGAGACATGGACGGGGAAACGCCAAGATGTATCGCATTTGCGTCCGTTCGGATGTATTGCCTATGCCAAGATACCGGAGGAGTTAGGCGTATCGAAGCTGTTGCCTCGATCAATTAAGTATACCCTGATCGGCTATTTTGGGCGCGGGACTTACAAATTGTGGGATCGGGCATCAGGCACCACGATCAAAAGTCGAGACGTCATCTTTGAAGAAGGCCATGGGCATCGCACTATTTCCGACGACGACGACATGCCCCCCCTCATCCTTCTTGATGACGACGACAACCCCATAACTCCTACAGATGACCCCAAGACCAACACCCCTGGGGTAGTTGTCCCACCAAAACCTCTCGCACCACGACCACGCGTGTCTGACCCTCCCATTCACCCTGTGACCGCTCCCTCAGATGCATCCCCTCCCACTACCACACCTGCTCCTACGCTCGCACTCATACCAACACAACCTAGACGATCTGCTCGCCTCGCCGTTCTGGGAACGGGGGCGCCGCCCACAGACACAACTGCCCTGTTGACCACCCTTCCTGATTCACAGATACCACGCAGCTATTGGGAAGCTATGACGAGGCCTGACCTTTGGCAACCCGCTATGGATACGGAATGGGGTGTCTTGAAGGAGAGAGACGTCTTTGAGCTTGTGGAAGCACCCCCAGATGCTCACGTCATTGACTCAATGTGGGTTTATGCAAATAAGTACGACGCTGACGGTGATATTATTAGACGGAAGGCACGCTTAGTCGCAAAAGGGTACACTCAGATCCCTGGACTAGACTACGACCAGACTTATGCATCCGTCGTGCGCCTGGAGTCTTTTCGTATGGTTGCCGCCATCGCCGCTGCCATGGATCTCCACATTTGGCAGGTCGATATCGTCGCTGCGTACTTATACAGCAACAACAAATTCACAACATACATGCGCCAGCCACCTGGTTTTGTCGCACGGGGGGAGGAAGGCAAGGTTCTACGGGTCGTCAAAACCCTATATGGTATGATGCAAGGGGGATATGACTTCCAAGTTGAGATGTCGAGCGCGTATGAGTCGATGGGATATTACAAGTCACTGGCCGACCCATGCGTCCATTCCCGTGTTATCGACAACGAATTCGCCATCACGAGCACATATACTGACGACATATTCGGTGCATCCTCGACGAAGGAAGGGGCAAAGAAGGCGAAGGAGGAGATAGAAGCGTGTTTTGAGATGAAGGACGTTGGGGAGCTTGGATACATCCTGGGGATTCGTATTGAAAAGGATGAACACACGGGTGCGATTTCCCTCTCTCAAGAGGCTTACCTCCGACGCGTCCTAGAACGCTTCGGCATGCTACAATGCAACGCAAAGTCCACCCCACTTCCTTCAGGCATCGCTCTCTCCGAATCCGAATCACCAAGAACCGAGGATGATCGTCAATACATGAAAGACAAACCCTATCGCGAAGCCCTCGGCTCCTGCATGTGGGCTCAAGTTGCCACCCGCCCTGACATCTCTTTCGCTCTCAGCGTCCTCTCACGTTTCCAAGCAAACCCTGGCCCAGCACACTGGAAAGCGATGCTACACCTACTCGCCTATCTTAAGGGCACTATCAACTACAAAATCACGTACCACAGAGGAGGTAGTCTCGACCCAATTGGCTTCGTCGACGCCGATTACGCCGGGGACACCGACACGCGACGATCTACTTCAGGCTACTTATTCACCATAGCCGGCGGACCTGTGTCTTGGAGCTCAAAGCGCCAAGCAACCGTCGCCTTATCTACCACCGAGGCGGAATACATGGCACTCACGCGCGCCGCCCAACAGGCGCTTTGGATGTATTCATTTATGTCTGAAGTAGGCCTTAAACGTGAATTCCCAGCAATGCTCCATGGGGATAATGCTGCTTCGATTGCCCTCACTCTCAACACGAAGGGACACGCACGCGCAAAGCACATCGACATCCGACACCACTATATTAGGGAACGCGTAGCAGAGGGGGAGATCGGCCTAGTTCAAATCCCTTCAGAAGAAAACCTCGCCGACATCTTTACTAAATCGCTCCCCCGCGTCACACACCAAAAACTCATCCGGGCACTCAAGCTGGACTTGTAGAGGTCCCTCGTCGTCTAGGGGAGTGTTGAAGAAGACCCCTCGTGACCTCATCTATTTACGCGTACGTCTTGTTTGCACCTCCTCGATCAATTCAGTAAAACTTCCACCGCTTACACTTATATTCCACTGCTTATACTTACACCCAACTTACATCCGTTATTCCCGACCGTCCTATAAGTACGAGGACTTTATTTTCCCTTCACCTCAGTCATCACCACATCCGTGTCTGACTGAGGTGAGTCTTTTCTTACTTACATTTAGATACTTAACGCTAACGCTACTTGTACTTAGATCCTCGTACGTTAACAGGTAGCTAAGACAATAGAGTCATCACCACATCCGTGTCTGACTGAGATCCTCGTACGTTAACATGAGTTTGTGCTTTACCTCCTCCAGCCGCCATTAACGATAGATTTCAGCGTCCGCAGAGCTGTATGTAAACGATATATCCCAAGTCTGCACAACTCGGAACCCCTCAAAAAGTTATCTCGCGATCCAAACACGAGCCCCGTTCTCCGCTTCGACGTCGGATTTCCTCTCGGCGCAGAAACACATCCTAGTTCATCTTTCTCTCCCCAGGAGCAATCCCCACCAAAGCAGCGCAGGCAATCACCAACGCGCTTTAGATATATAATACATTTCTCATTTCGAATAGGAGCGGTTGGGAGCAGGCCTGTAAACAACCTACAAACTCGCAATCTTATCAGGATTGATCTCGTCAGGCCTAGGGTGGCCATGAGATCACAAGGATTGGACTCGTGATACTTAATGCCTGCAATCAGGCCCGAGTCTTATCAGGACGTCAATCATTGGTTGGAGCTTCTCTTCCATGTCATTGTGCTACTAATACACGACGCCGACCAGGGGTATGCAATCATGATAATGAACAGAAGCGCATGACCTCTGAAATGGAGGAAGAAATCCTAACTGGGGAGTTCTGGGCGATTGAGTGGGAACTCCGTAAACATCTAGCTATGACCTATCCTCTACTAAGTTCCCAATTACAGTGAACATATGAAGATAAGGAAGAAGCAACCTGTCATTCCCAGCCGACTGACTGGTAACCTTCTCACGAGTGGTATGATATACTACACAAGATGGACACAAGACCAACCACCACCTTTCAAACCTTGAGCTTGAACATATATCCCATTGGCTGGGTTCGACGCTGCTCCATTGATTATACGTATACCTCCAACAATAAACTCAAAGTGAGGCACATCCTTGGGCGGTCTTGGGCGGTATCCCTTTCAGGTGAAGGAGCCATGATAGTACCGGTGGCGAGGGAAGCATGGAAGCTTCTTTCTTCCTTCCACACCGATCGTCTACTCCACATGACAGTCCAGTAGGTCGGCGACGGTCGGACGCCGTCCTTACTATAAAGGTAGGGGTTGTCCCAGTATTGCCCAGTACCACCCCATAATCTCTTTGTCCTTTGCAACCGTCCTTATAAAACATCCAAATCTCCGTACGTCCAGTCACCTATCACCCCGAAAGCTCTGACCAAGTATCTCCGTCTAGTGCTATGGCGCCCAGCCGTGAAGTGACCGCGTTTACACGTTACGGTGGATGGATCCCAAGCGATGACAGAGTCTATCGCCACTTCCATACTCGTCTTGCCGACTCCGCTCGTAAAAAACGCGGAACGTTTGTCCAACATAATCCCGCCGTTCAAGCGCTTGCAGATGCTATCAACAAACCCGGGCCTGGAGGACAGACTCCGTCGTTGATGCGCACTTTGTTCGATAATATTTTCCTTCAAGCCGCAAAAGAGTACAACTTTGTAAAGGCAAGTTTCTTTCTCCAACCACATCGAATTTAGTACTGATGTTTCGCTTAGATCAAAAGCTTCGACGAATTGCTATACGCGCTCGACCATGTCATTGTCAAACCCCCCGAGTTTGAGGTTGTCAAGGATGACAACGGCAATCCCGTTGGCGAACCCGTCGGTGTTCCGATCTATCTCCTCCTCGACATCCCGAGCAACACGGCTGCTGCTTACGACCTCTTCCGCCTTCCCGCATTCAATAAGGCAATGAAGACTTTGTTGGATTACTGGGGAGCTTACCTCAGCAACCCCGCCAGCGGTTCCAACTCTTCACTGAACACAGGAGAGAAGGGGTGGTTCAGTCCGGCTGGTATGGCGAAACTCAGTTCGCAGGGCCGAATCCCTCCCGGGCCCAATGGCTTCGTTCAGACCTACGTTTCCCCCAATGATGACCCTGACAAGGGCTTTGGCTACGAGAGTTGGGATGCGTTCTTCGTGCGGGAGTTCCAAAAAGGCGCTCGCCCTTACTATATTCCCGACAATCCTAAGCTCGCTGCCACTCTAATCCACAGCGCATGCGAGTCCACCGTGCTTCGTATCGAAACTAGGGTGAAGTTACACGATCAATTCTGGCTCAAGGGCCAGCCATACTCCCTCTACAACATCCTCGATGCCAATCCGGGACCCAGCGGCGTGAAGCGCGCAGAGAAGTTCACCAAGGGAACCATCTACCAAGCATTCCTCAGTCCCCAGGACTTCCATCGCTGGCATGCCCCCGTCGACGGCAAGATCGTCGACGGTTATGTTCTCGACGGCTCCTACTACGCAGTCATTCCAGATGCTGGTGCTGATATTGGCGATCCGGACCTCGTACCAGGTGACCCACGCGGAGGCCTCATCCGCTCTCAGCCCTTCCTCACTCTCTCGGCCACTCGCGCCGTCATTTTCATCGAGGCTGACAACCCTCTTATTGGCCTGATCTGCTTCGTCGGCCTTGGAATGTGCGAGGTGTCGACTTGCGAGATATCGCAGAAGGTTAAGAATAAGGAGCGTGTCAAGGTCGGCGATGAGCTGGGAATGTTCCACTTTGGCGGGTCGTCCCATGTTCTGATTTTCAATAACAACGCCGCCATCACCTTCGCTGACAACGTCGAACCCGACACGCACATCAAGATCCATTCGATTATCGCCCAGGTTCACGAGAAAGTGCCCAAGGACTAAGTAATATGTTTTTGTTCAGTCTGTGTCGAGACTTGGGGAGAAGTATGTGGAAAGATATGCTGTGCCGAATCAAGAACAAATTGTACAATATGTAGCTGCCTGCCTGCCTCTCGATGACCAAATGATGTATACCGTATCCGTCAATGAATTTGTCAAAGTATTACTTGTGCGCTTCTTTTGAGCAGGTTCAAGGGGCTAACTAGTAGCTTCGTCGTCCGTTCAATACTTAAGCTGCTCCCAACGCTTAAGCGACGACAACCTCTTGCCTCCCATACCAACTGGCGACAGGTGTGTCCCTAAATTTCGTGTCCGCTTTCAACGTGTAGCCTCAGACTTCTCTTCATTTATTGCTGCTGGAGTTTTGCAAAATTATCTGATGGCTCCTCCGATTGTGGTCCGGCGGCAGAATTTCTTCAAACAAAAACATATTCTCAATATGATATATAAGTCTACCAAATTTCAGAAGGTAATTCGAAGTACATGCGCCAATTTCAAAAAATTAGGTGACTTCGCAAGACCGGGTCCACAATAGTATATAGCAGCTGAAAAAAAGCGTTACATCGACTTATAAAAAAATTCAAAGTATTTGCGAAAGTGCTGGACCGGAAACTATGCGTCAGTAAAAGTATATTCCAGATCAATGACAATCGGTTTGTTCCTCTTCTCGACCTTGCCTTTTTCCATTGTCATCCAGGCCGCATTGATGAAGACTGTTTCCCTCCCAGGTATGAGCGTCGTAAAATCGTAGACGCAATCCGGACTTTCATCCGCCAGAGTGACGCTTTCCAATACATCGTCCGACTCTTCATCAGATGAAGCTTTCCACACGACTTTCTCCACGCCATAAGCGCAATGGAAATGCCCAAAGACGCAGACAAGGGGTCGAGCCTTGGCCACTTTTTTTCGCTGCGCCTCACATCCCATCAGCCCTGCGATATGGATCTGGTCTAGCCGTCCTTTTGGTGCGCCGTGGGATAGCCAAATTTCTATAGGACCGCGGCTGGTGTCGGGCGCAGATGCCCATGCAGCCGTGGCTTCGGGAGATGGATATGGGTGGTAAGTGAATGCATAGTTACTCTTGAGGAAGTCTGGTTGAGTTGGATTGGCGTAGATAGAGAGTAGATCGTCGTGAAGGAAGGTGGGGTCCGATTGACCCAGAAAGACGACACCATCGGCTCGAACTTCGGGTGAAGTAAATAGGGAATGCATCTTTGGACTATAACCTTTATGAAGAGGATCGAGGCCTACATCGTGATTTCCTACAAGACAGTTCCATCCAAAAACGCGAGTGAAAAAAAAATAGCAGCACACCTGGGATAATAATCTTTCGCTTCTGCGGAAGTTTCCTGATCCAATTGAGAGCTTTTTCGAGTTCTTCAGGAGTCCCATTGTCAGTCAAGTCCCCTGCATGCAGCAATATATCTGCATTGGGAATGTATAAAGTGGGATCATCGTTGTGTGTGTCGGAAACGCAGACGATGCGGATTCTGCGGGAGGTACCCATGTTTGATTATCAGTATGATAAGAATTGATGGAGGGGGCTGCTGCGGGGATGACAAGGGTACTCGGGACGGTTGTGAAGGATTCTCAAGGGCTATTTGCTCCTGGGAATGAGAGGAAGGGAGGAGTAGGGAAGAGGATGTGAGGGATCTGGGAGTTGTCTGGGAGTGTGATTCATTTAAAGATCTTTTGGTCAGTCCGATGCGGACGAGTATGGGGACTCTCATACGCGTTGCGGCGTGGGTTATTGATACTTGAATGGGATCACCCGGATAACACTTATTGGCAAGCCTACATGAGGAATATCGATAAGTAAGGGAGCTCGGAGAATGAAGTTGAGTGTGTTCGCCGCTTAGTAAGCTCCGCTCCGAGTCGGCCCGACTTCGATGGTGTCCTATTTTAGGCACGGACAGCCTCATTGAACCTGTGCAACTTGCTAGTGCTTCTACTCGAACTGCAAGGTTGCTGTAGAGCCGCTCTTCATGGAGGCTGTTCCTCCCCCATACACCTCTACGACCACCTCAGGGTTACCAAGTAATGCCCCGCCACCAAGCTATACTTTTCCAACCAGCTTTACAATTGGGGGGACACGGACGGATTCACTCCTTGTTGATATCCCACACGTTCAAGGACACCTTGCTCTACTGCATGCTTTCGCGCAGCTGAGAACCGAAATTGAGGTTTCGGAGGTTTCGCTAACAGGTACAAAGATACCTGATATGCCCGCCGATAAAGAGAAACGATGGGCTTGGTTTGTTGCGCTGGCTGTGGAACGGTACGGTACTTGTTGTCGTGACCTTTAGAACGTTTAAGTCGGTCCTATAACTTTTATAGCTTTGATCGATGGTGCCAGAATTTGAAACCGGAGGATGCAGCTAAACCTATCAGCGAGATTCTCCCACCTGTGGACGTATTAATGGTGCGATCTCTCGTGCTACTCCGAGACTTTACGGTCCAATATCCCATATTCAGGTTTGGCACTCCTATATGTTGAATCCGCGGTAGGGTATATCCCCGCAAATTACACAGGCTTGTTTTTCATGAGTTATCTTATTTAAGGTGGTATGCAGAAGATTGCTTGCGTCTGCCGCCGTGTCAGAACTTGAACTTGGTTGGCCTGACGTTCTCGGCCGCACTTGTTAGTGCCCATTACATTCCACAACTCGAACATTTTTTATTGATGATTAGGAGAATATCGGGCCTCTCCTAACCCTCTCTCCATCCCGGGAAAGAGTTCAACTTTGGGAAACCAGATGTTCCCTGCCCTTCAACTATCGCGAATCGGCGGCTGAGATGAGGGACAAGATCCTGACATGCCCGCGCTGCTCGCACCCAATTTCTACAAGTTAGTTTCCACATTACCTGTTAAAAGTTGCACGACAACTGAACAATCACTGCTAGGATTGATGAATGAAGCAGGGACTGGGTATTTCCAGCAAGGATTCGCTGTACAATGCACGAGAAAAGACTGTGACTCTCCGATACTTACGAAAGAACGCCTTGCTCTCAAGAAGCTTGCGGCGGACATTGCCCGTCAGGGAACGACGGTTGAAGCTTGTCTCCCGTATGTGTCCAGAAAACTATTACCACATTTTTTCCAACCTTCCAGTCAGCGGTACCGTTCTTTCCACCACTGCAGAATCAAATTTGGAGGCAGGTAAGAGGATCAAATTGTCTGCGCAGAAACTCTCTTGGTCAAGAGTAGAGGCGGCCGAGAAGCCAACATCCGGTGTTGATGAAGATTTGTGTTTCGCACTGATGAAAGAAGCCGATTTTTTTCTTCCCAAGCTCCGAGCGAAATTAGGAAGGCAACCGATGTAAGCATTTCTATTTTTCTGCTCAAAATGATTCTAAGAAGATTGTTATTTTCTAGAGTCCGCCGGATCATGAGTGCATATAATGACGATAAAATCTACTCTGTAGATCTTGTTGGTGCAGTAGGGCTTTGATCATTTTTTTCTTCTTCCTTTAAGTTGAAAGTTTTTCCTCGGTAGGTGCTCCGTCAAGGAACATTTGTTTTCAAGATGGTTGACCTGGGGTGGACTCAACCGGGATTTTTTGACAGTGCAGAGGATAAAGTTGCTCTGCAGCACGCAATTGCGCGTTACCACGCGTATGTTTATTTTGCTTCAAAATCCAAACAAGTCATGGATCTTACCCTTCTTTCCTCTAGATTCATGGATCTTATGACGACCTCGCCTGCGTCTTTCTTTGTTCCTACCCTTGATATTGATCTCGTGTGGCATACTCATCAGCTCATACCCCATAAATACGGAGCTGATTGCCAACGTTACGTGAAGCGGTTCATTGACCAGTAGGCCCAGAGTTTGTGTTTTTTATTTTTTTAAACCGACATTTTGCTTTACAGCGATGATAAAGTAGAGAATGTACAACTTGCGGCCGCCTTTGACATAACGTGCAACGCGTGGAAGGTAATTAGCCATCTTATGTCGGTGGTCGCCCTGCTCAATTATTGCAGGAACGCTTCAACGTCAAATATACCTACTGCGGCTGTCCTCTTCCAGGGGATACTATCGGACAGAGGCTTTCTCGTCTAATTAGTTTGACTCCCACACCCCAGCCGCCATCACAGCTCGTACCCCCGGACCGCCCGGATCTTCTCGCTGCAACGCATGCCAGTGACCATAACGCGGTTCATTTTAAGCCCAAAAATAAACGCGCACATATGATCTCGGTACTCCGTTATTCGCGGGCCACGCAGAAGCGCCAGAAGGTCCTCGCGAAAGCGGCCAAGGCAGCGCAGAAGGCGGCTAAGAAAGGGAGGGGTTTGCCAGCGTATCGCGCGACGGTACCCTCCCACGCCGGGGCTTTCCTTATTCCTGTACCATTGGTTTTTGGTGGTTATGGTGGTTATGGCGGCGCTGGCCTTGGAGGATGTGTGGCTACTGGGGCCATTGTTGCTTGTGGGGGAGGAATCACTGATGTATGTTATATGTTATTGAGAGGATACGTCACTAACTTATATATGATGATCAGAGGAACGGTGCTTGTTCGAGTGCCGCTGGGTGTGGAGGGTGCGGAGGAGGTGGCTGCGGGGGAGGTGGATGCGGGGGAGGTGGATGTGGCGGAGGTGTGTCCTCGGGCGGGTGCGCAGGAGGTGCAGGATGCACGGGTGGAGCCGTGGGTGGGGGATGCGGTGGAGGTTTGTGTCTCAAGTATTTCTTCATAAACTCGCTCATTATTCTGTTTTCAGGGGGCGGATGCGGTGGTGGTAATGGGTGTGGTGGTGGTGATGGTGGTGGCGGCGGATGTGGTGGCGGAGGGGGATGTGGTGGAGGAGGGGGATGTGGAGGAGGATGTGGAGGCGGTGGTAATTGAAATTTGAACCTAACTTGCGGCCGACAGGCTGAATGTAAGTTTTTCTGGAAATCTATTCATCTGGAGGGTGCAAGAAGGATCTATTACCAGTGTTATTGACAATTTAGCGCGACTCTACTTGGGAATTTTTTATTATGAATGTACTTGTAATTAGCAGTCACCTGAAGTTGTTCATCCTTCCCAGAGCATACTGTTCTGCGGAGCCCGGACCGAGATTTGCCTTGTGACGTCCGTGACTGAGCTACATTGCTTGCCACTGGCCTCGACGTTGTCGAGCAAGATCCTGAACACTGTATATCTTCAAAGCTTTTGTAAGTGCAGCACTCTATTCACCCGCACGCATTTGAGAAGTAAATTACGCACAGATTATGCTGCTAAGGGAAGGGTGCCTGCGTAACGATCGGCACAAGTTCGCCTCATGGCCTTCATGAGGCGACCAAAGCAAGACCGGGGCACTGCAAACTACCAGACAGCTTTCATTTTGAGGTTCTATAGGGAAATCACAACGTGCCGGCTTCCAAAACATTTGCGTTCCCTGCAACCTATGACCTCGTGCATGCCAGCGTTTGATGAGATTGACATCGTCTAATCTCCTTGTGGTGCGTTTGATTGGTCTAAGCCAGGGGATGTCACGTCGATAATGCTCTTTTCCATCCGCAGGCGCGATAGATTTAGCATTTGGGGTGTCTGATTCCTGTCGTCGACAACGTGTTGTCTTGGTGTTGTCCTTGAATGAACAGTAACTTTCGTAAGACCCTCCTATTACGCGTTCACTCCACAGGGCTACACCGTGCCTCGACGCAGCCTCCTGGCACTTTATAGATAATACGAACTTGGTCGTTGTGTTTGTTTCATTTTCGCCCATCATCAGACTCCCTACCATCATCTTCATCGCTTTTCTTAACGACAACGCACATCTTCTTTATTCGTTTTATATCTATTTTCTAGACAACGATGAGCGCAGCTAAACCTGGAAGTCGATGGGGCCTCATGGGAAACGTTGTGCGACGCGCCTCTACAATGGTTGCCATATCCCGCCCTGGTACTCCATCCTCCCAGGAAGCGCGCGACTCGGATTCGGATTCCCTCACGAAGCAGAAGATTGATACTACACCCCTCGTCCCCCCCTCTACATCCGGTGTCCCAGTGAGCCCCATCAATGAATCTCCTGCTCGTGAAGCAGCCAGCGTTGAAGCAGCCGCCACCATTGGACCATCTCCCCTCACTCAAGATACTTCTGTGACTAACCCTGGACTGGTTCAGGCCCCCGAAGAGCTGCAAACAAGCCCCACTGGTTACATTCCCCCTCCGCTTGTTGATTCCACCATCGGGAACCCTGGTGCATTCACTGACGACACTGATTCCCTTCCTCAAACTGCAATCGCTGTGGATCCTTTCGCACCTATCCAAAAACCTGCAGATGGACCTGCGACGGAGCCTGCCGACCTCACAGAATCTCCCGTGAATGAGGAATACCCCTCTTACTTCGACAAGCCATATGCAGAGAGCATCAAGCCTGTCGAAGAACCAAATCCAGCGTTCGCTGAGGCTGTGGATGGAATTACAGCCATCACTGAACCAGCAGTCGCGGGCGAGCACGTGGGTGGACCAGAAGCCGGCGAGGTTCCAGTTAGCATTGAAGCAAAGGAACAACCTGGGGTTACTGCAGAGGAGAAGGGGCCTGAAGCAACCGCCCAAGAGGTTGAGCGTGGTAACGCCGAAGATTATCCCAGCATGCCTGGTTCTTCCAGTGGGGAAGCGCGCGACTACCAGAGCCCGCCTTTCATTCCTGAAGCACAAGCAGAGAGCTACGGTCGAGGAGAGCCCATTAACGCGTCTGCACCAGCTCACGGGGAAGCAGACGACTACACAAGCCCTCCCTTCATCCCCATAGCTCAAGCGGATGAATACAGTCGCAGCGGACCCACGGCTGTGCCAGGGGCAGCGGACGAGCAGTATAGAAGCCCTCCATTCATACCCGAGGCCCAGGCGGCGGAGTATGGCCCCTCCAGATCCATTGCCGCCCCTCAAGCTCAGCGGGGGCTGGCGGACGAGTTCTACAACAGCGGACCGAGCATCAATTCTGATGCTCCTCGTGGAGAAGCCGATAACTACTATTCCATCATGCCTGTCGCAACTCATGAAAGTGGTATACTTGCTGCTGCTGCAGTCGCGGCTCCTATCTTGGCATTGCCGTCGTACGACATGCATTCAGGGTCTGAAGTCTGGGGAGGAGAAGCCCCAAAATCGAGAGAAGGACCTTTTGTTGGAAGTGGCAATGGGCATGCCAGTCAGGGACCTAACGTCAGGTTCGTTTTCCTTCCATCGTTTCGCGGAGTAGGCTTGAATTTCTGTCTTTATAGTATGCCTTCTGAAGATCCTTTCGCTGATCCTGCTGCTCCGAGGATCGCAATCACTAATAATGAGGGTGTGCACATGCCTTAGTATGTTCTTCAAACATCTTCTGCTAAATCAAGGTGACGAACGGCTCCTAGTCCTTATGTGTCTGAACAGCACCAACAAGGTCCTTCTGTGAATCGCGAGGACGTTCGAGGAGTCATCATGCCTTTGCCTGCTCTTCATGATGTTATTCCTTCGAAGTAAGTTTTGCAAACGAGCCTGCCGTGCGTTCCTCATGGCTTTGTAGATCACTTCATCAAGTGCCTTCTGTTTCTAGTTTTACACCCAGCGGGCGTAAGGCTTTCGAGGTTGAGTAAGTATAGCCAGCCTGCGTAATGGGTTCCCTTTCTAATCTCTCGTCTCATCAGCGAATCACGCCCTCTACTCTCCGATGCTGGAACGTCAAAACATAGATCGTACTTGGCCTCCTCCCGAGGTTATCTCGAAGTCTCGCCTCAAAGCCCATCTCACGCCACCTCCTTGAACGCACCTAGGCTGCATGAATTAGGTTGGCTCGAATACCATCTTCCCGATGGTACATTCTACTACGTCCATCCTACGCGCCGTATCACCACTGACATCAATCTGCGGGTGGACAAGTTGCTCAATGCGATCACGGAGTACTTTGAGAACAGCAGCACACCCACGCCTTCCGGCATCGCTCATCAGGAGCTGTGGTTGAGGGATGCTGGTACTGCGAAGAAGGGTTTTGTCCCTTTGAAGAGTTGGGTAGATCATCATGCTCGTACCGTTACTTCGGACAAGACGGCGATCGGCAAAGGGAAGAAGGTCGTCGAAGAAGACCGTGAGTCCTTCCCAAGCCCCTTGTGTTCTAAATTGACGTTGACTTTGACTTTCAACACAAGAGCTCGATATGGAGTTCAGGTATTGGTCGTTCATGGAGGCTCACCCAGCACATACTGCACTTCCAGCCAAGGCTAGGTCCGAAGCTATGGACGTGTTGACGTGGGCTTGGACTGGTGTGTTTATCAAGTTTGCTTTGTTCAACACTAATACTCCGCCGTAGATCGACTCCTTCCCTCACACCGGGCCATCCCATCGCCTTTCAGCCAAGACGAATGTCAAGAGCTTATGACGTTGCTTCGTTCTTTCAATACTGGTGGGTTCTCCTCGTATCCTATCTATATAGAGGTTGACTTTGCCTTCTCAGATAAGCATGACGACCTTGGAATACAAACGCGTATTGTTTCGAGGATCCTTCTCAGAGTCGGTAAGCACCAGTTTCACTTATCTCACGATGTAGCGGTGTCTTACACGTCGTTAAGCTCGTTGGCGCCAGACCTACTTCCGCCCCAACAAGCCCCTACCCAAGGACGTGAGCGGTGGCCGACTTCAACTCCCAACCAGAAGCAGGCCCTTCCGTCGAGTTATCCTCGACTTTGTCGTCTCTTGCATCTGCTTGGGCGTACCTTACCTGTTCCTGGAACGTTCGCGGAACTCTCGAATCGACGAAGAGAGTGGGATGCGTAATGCTGGTCCTGCCCTCGTCATCGGGGCATGCACCTGCTTGGTGGTGAGTCTGTTCATCACATCTTTCTCGTATCGGTCCTAAATCTGATGGGAAGGCTGCGATTGTCTTGAGTGCATCTGTGACCTTCCTTTCTTTACCAGGGTTGGATAGCATTGCGCGTATTGCGGGATTTGTGGCGATCCTCTTCGCCTCGTTCTCGATGGCGTCAACGTTGGTTGCTATCTTCAGGCATAAGGCCGATATGGACACAATTTCCCATTTAGGCGGTGAGGGGTTGGTCATCACGGTACGTCTCAGCAGGTGGCTTGAGCTGGTGATTTGAACTGAAGTCTTTCCTTTCCTTTGCAGAGGAGAACGCTCGTCATGTCTCTTCCCATTGTCTTCCTCGCCTACTCTATCATTGGCTTCATCACCGGCATCGTGCTTTACTCAATTCGTGGTGTGACTTTCGTGGATCCTCACCTTACCCAGAGCCACTTTGGTGACTACACCAAGTGGACTGTGACGGGTTTGGGCGGTGCACTTGCGGGTATTCTAACTATGTCACTTTTGCTCCTCCGACGCTAGGCGTCGACTTGTATACTGTTTCTGATATGTACATTGTACCTGTGCAGCATGTATTTGTTGTTTCTCCGGCTTTATGCAACCATCCACATTCGTTATTTGACTACCTGATCACGGGATTTGAACGCGAAGTCGGACTGCTCCCATTTTCAGAATTCCATGCATTTCGTCGTGAATATCAAGTACAAGAATCAAAGAACGTAGCCCATTAAGTCGTCGCTTCCTTTTCTCCAGCAAACCCTTTACGATTTCCTTGCCCAATGGCATTGAGCTCCAATTCCCGCCTATCGAGATCCCGGAAAGTAAAGAAGAAAATCGTACCAACTATCCAAGCCGTCACGGCGAATGAACCAAAGAGCCACACAAACTTCTGCTCGACGTTAACTGCGACGAGGGCAAAGTTGAGGGCGGAGGAAAGGGCGGTTTGGAATTGTGAGAACGCCATGACGACAGACCTCATGCGTTTTGGTGCCTAGAATGGGTCAAACAACATCAGCAAGCATTTCCGGGGACTGGTGGACAAAAACTCACCTTGGTGAAGGCGTACTCCAAAGAGGTAATGGACGCGAAGATCTCGGAGAGACCAACCAAGATGTATGGTCCGGAGACGATCCAAACATTGAGTGGGGAAGGGTTTGGTGTACCATCTGCCTTGGTACACGCTGAGGGCTCGTTATCGTGACATGGGGAAGTTTTGTTGATGTAGACCTGCAAGACGGCGGAGTAGACCATGGCTTGAGTGGAGGCAGTAAGCACATCGACTTCGTCTGAATTGAAAGTGGCACCCACCGAGACCAGCGACAAGGAATCCTGCGTAGATGCGTTTGATAGGCGTGAAGTTGATACCTCTCTTCCTTAGGAGTGGGTAGATGATTTTGTCGAAGATAGGAATCATAATGATAATGCTGATTGGGTTCAGATTTCTACATCAAACACGTGAGCACTGCGTATTCCATCACACCACGAAAGAGCGTACTGAATGAGATCGTTGGGACTACCATTCAGTGTCATTCCGGCAGCAACCGTTCCGAGATTTCCGTCAATCTGGGAATAGCCTGACTTAAATGTTAGCAAGGACGATGTTGATATAAAGGACTTGACCACTCACAGAGCCAGAAAAAGGGGAAGAATAAAAAGACGTTGCATGCATTGAGAGTACGTGAGACTTCGCCAACGAACTCGTCATCCCAAGTGATTTTCGTAGGAACTTTGCCTTCTTCATAATAACCTTGGGATCAAGCTCGTCAATAGGCGTTGCAATCTTTAAGGAATCGCACTAACTTGGTTTGGCAGGGTCCCAAAAATCTTTTGCCTTGATTGCCCTTATGGTACGGAGAGGGTTGATTGACCATCGAGGACCCAGGGCCATACCAATAACGCGAACAGTCTGCATGCCACCTGTCAGTACCATTCGATGACGTTTTATGCATGATCACAAACCTCGAGAAGGATAGAGCCGCGGGGTGGGGTAATCACATAGTTCTTCTTTCCAGCGATGAGGGCAAGGGGCACCAAGCAGAAGATACCAGTTGGGATGAGATAAGCAACCCAGTAACCGTGATCTCGTGCTACGAAGGATGCGGAGATGGCACCGCACGAGCCGAAATTGATCGCAGCGTAGAACCCTGTTTTGACGTTAGTATATCAGACGACCCCGATGAGGTAGGCTCACGTACAGAGATATATGCTCTGGATCGTAACTGCAGGGGACATAATGACCGTTTCTCCGGAAGGCAGGGTGACTGATGATTCTTTGTGAGTGGGGGGTGAGAGCTGCATCAGAAACAACCCAACCTTTACGGAGTTTCCCCGTATATTGTTCTGCGATCATGGGCGAGACATTGGCCTTGATAGCACCTGCTCCAACGCCCTGCAAATGGAGTCAGCTGTCAGAAGGTGTGTGTTCAAGTGTAGGTTACTCACGATGACAACAATCGACAAGATCAGCAACCCCATTGCGGTGTCAGGGTGGGCAAGAGAAGCAGGAGAGGCGGAGGCAACAAGAATGACGTGGCCAATTCTTCAATATGGGAAATTAGGATAAAGGATGGGCCGGAGGAATGGAAGGTATACGAACAAACAAACGATCGAAAAGACCAAAATCGTGGTGTAGCGTCCCCACATCGTATCTGCGATGATACCGCCGAGGAAGGGGGTGACATAGACGAAGAAGCTGTTGAACTAATGTCTGATAAGAGATATGAATGTCGTGGATTGCTCATTGAACTCACAGTCCCTGAGGTCCATTATTTTAGTCAAGGGCAAAAAAGAGGGTGACGAAAGGCTTACTGATGGAGAAAGAGATCTGCTGGCCTTTACCGAGAGCGCCAGCGATGCCTTCAGCGCGATCAGCAGCAATAACCGCGCCAGTAGTCGAAAAGCGAGGCAAGGGAGCACGAATATAGTTGTTGAAGATATTCGTAGTACCGTAGTAGGTCCAACTGTGTTAGGAATGTACAGTAAGTGACTTGGAACGACCAATGTAATGAAAACTGACCGTTCAGCGAACTCAACGATGACGACCAACCATGCTGTGTAGGGGAGACGATCGGCAACGTGCCTCAGTGTATCCAGGTCATGCTGAGTGACACCTTCGGAGCCTTCGATGATGCTATGGTCCTCGCCGCTCTCGGTTCGGTGGCCTAGTTTTTCATCGTCGATGGAGGCGACAGGGGCAAGAGCGTTGTCCTCCTTCTTCTCCACAGGGAAAGAACTCATGATTGCACGCTGGGAAGGTCGGGGGAGAAGACCTGATGGGAGCGAGCGTGCGACGCATAGTTATATACTTGAAAGCTTGACCGGTAGTGTGTAGCAGCATGATAAGCTGCACCACGTCGTTCTCAAAAGTTGCATATGGATGATTCCTCTTGGCACCGGATTTGGCATGCCAAGTTACCGTGACGTGAACTGGTGGATATATATGGATTTGAGAATCTGTGCGAATAGCGGGGCGTCAGCAGATGCGATCCATTTACTGCAGAGCCCCTAGTCTATGGCGGATCTTAGTGATGCCACTTTGGGAACGAAGTTGGAGCGAAGTGAATTATGGGCGCAGATCCTATCCTGAAAAGTCCGATTGAGAATGATTCTTCAGCTTCAGATCTCGTTCGCTCTCGAGTTTGCAGGGGTCCGCTCGGTGCACATTCAGTTTCCAATCTTTGCAACGCCCGTATCCAGAGCCGCGGAATATATGATGGGCCGGAAGGTTGATCGGGATCGGAGTGGGGAAAATACAAATCCCACTTCTGCTATGAGATTTTAGCGATTCAGAAAAGCCAAGGACTCAAGGAGCGAAAAAAGACTCACAGACACGTAACTAGCGGGGTGGGGTGGTGCTGCCGCTCGATTAGATGAAACGTTGTACTGGCAGGACCATATTCAATCGCATTTTTGCCGGGTTTCTCGCCTTGCAAAGCATCGAGAAAAGGCTTGAAGAAATTGTAGAATCGATACTTAAGGCCGTCGGCCGTAGCTGTACATTGGCCCAGAGCTGATGTTGTCCGAAAAAAAAACCTTTATTTGGCTTCGAAACCCTTGGGCACCCGATCTAACAGATGTAAACACTAAAATAGATGACGACTCCCGAGTTCTCGGCTGTTCTCGGTCCACTCGATTCATTGAACGTTTCTTCACGTATCCTTGACTCCCTTTCGTTCAATGTCCCAAAATCGTTGGATTACCGTCAGGGGCCTATTACCCTGTCAAACCCCGTACAAAATCAGCAACATAGCTCGGAAGGAACTCACTGATGAGTATGTATCTCGTCCACATGTAACAGCTCCACCAGTGAGAGGTACTGAGAATCGAGCATAATTGAGAAACTTGACAAACCGGTCGATCACTTGATCACACGACCACGCATGTTCTATCTGCAGCACGCGTCTTCCGCCAGGGTGTTCGTCATTGGGACCACACTGGCGTGTTGATGCCAAGGATTGTCCCTCTGCGCGATGAGTTTAAAATAGCTTAAAACCCTCCTGGATTATTAGGAGGTTACAGTCGATGACGATTCTTGTCATGTACTACATATGTCGACATGTTGCGGTAGTCTAATGAAATTCACCACTATGCATGCCTCCTAAATGCCACCCAGGTATCATACCACCTCTTCTTCATCGAACGTGAATCAGACAACAATCGATGCCCCCGTTCCTTACGGCCCCTCTCAAGAATAGCTGCTCCCTCTCCCGGTTTCCAAACTGCAGACGTTTCAAAATCTACATTGAGCTTCCCGACAAAATGTTGTTTCTTCCCGATGTAGAACCGTTCGTATGCCGAGTACCCAGCATACAGGATGATATACAGGGCGACGCCGATATAGGTGGCAACTACGTTCTATCGAAATTTCATTGAGAGAGAATTCAGGGATTAATAAATGAAATACCCCACCTTGGGGTCAAACGGCTGCTGCCGCACGGCAGCGTACCCTTGTGCGATAAACATCAACGCCCCCAATACAATAACACCTACCGGAAGGAGCGGATACAGCGGTTGTCGGTAAGGCAAATCAGCAAGGTCCAATCCTTGGGCTTTATACGCTTCTCGAAACCGCAAGGAGATGACACCAATGCTCGTCCAGACCAGTAGCGCAGATATCCCAGTGACGTTGAGCAACCACAAAAATACAACCCCCTCGCCCCAAATCGTCGTTAGGAACGTTAAGCACGAAAGGGTGAGGGACATTCTAGAAATAAAAAAAGGAATACCATAATCTCATGTCAGACCCTGAGAACTTGAATAACTGATACCTACAAAAGAGCTGGAACGGGTACCCCACGCTTATTTACCCGCCCAAAAATTCTGGGTGCGTGTCCAGAGCGTGCGAGTGACAACAACATCCGAGAGCTAGCGAAGAAGCACGAATTCGTCGCTGATAGAACGGCGGTAAGAAGCACCGCGTTGACGACATGCGTGGCTGCTCTGAAGCCTGCACGTTTGAATACTACAGTTATAGGGGAGGCCGCAACGTCAGAGTCTGCAGTTTCCGCGCCCAGGTCAGAGGCCGTGTATAGAAATCATTTATTATAAATCGACTTGCCTGAAGCCGCTGTGAGGAGTGAATCATCCCCATGATTGATACACAACCCAATTGTGAGAATGGTGAGGATGTAGAAAATAACGATTCGGAAGAACGTGGCTTTGATAGCTTTGGGAACTGACTTGTAGGGTTTGGCAGACTCCCCAGCGGCGATGGCTACTAGTTCAATCCCGCCAAAGGAGTAGAATGCGAAGACGAAGGTTTGGGCGAAGGCGGAGAAGCCGCCGATGAACGCTTGGCCGTCGTGGAAATTGGAGAGACCCTGATGCAGAAAAAATTCCCGTTGATCTCGGGTGTGGATGTTTGTTGGAGAGGAGAACTTACAGGACCTGGATGATGTTTGATGCCACCCCAGTCGTAGATAAGGCCGACGATGATGAAGAGTATTATCATCACTACTTTGATCATTGAGAGCCAATATTCGGATTCGCCTGTAACGTGACGAATTAGTATGTATGGAGTCAATTCGGAAAAGAAGATACCATAGACTCGGACATGGATTAGTTGAAGAAAAAATATTGGTACAATGATGATAATGGCCCAATGCCATGGTTGAAGAAGGGGCGACCAATATCCAAGGATCACGGCTGCTGCTGTCAATTCACTCGCTACAAAAATACTCAGAGGCCGTATCGCTTGAGTTGAAGTAGGCGCCTTACGAATTGAAAGACTCCTGAAAAGACGGGACGTATTAGATAGATTAATGCGATATGAACAACACATCAACTCTTCACCATTGCAGCCAATAATTCCACCCTATCAAGACAGAACATTGGATGGATTAAACCAAACGAAGCGCGCAAGAAAACCCACCCAAGGTAAACCCCAAAGCCGGAGAAACAAACCTCGTTCCAAAAACGGCAAAAGCACCAGAAACCGGAAACATCGAAGACATCTCACCCCTGTATATAAACTTCCAATGGGTACTGCGATCATACAGAAGCGACTTACAGCGTTATGACAACAGTGTACACGAACACACCCACGACGAAATATGAAAGGAGGGCGCTCCCTGGTCCCGCCAATGCAATCGCCTAGGGATGGATAGGATGAGCAACTCGCAGTGGTAGAGGCGGCGATACTAGAACCATCACGCACCGATCCTGCGCTGAGAAAGATACCCGTTCCGATCGTTCCTCCTATAGCTGGTCTATGTTAGCTGATAGCGGCGTTCCAAGACGTTTGGAAGATACCAATCATGGTAAGGTGCCGACTCTGCATTCCCCTCTGTGTTTCATTGGATTCATTGGCATTGGCGCCTGAGAAACTCAATTTGCTCCACATGCTTGTCCTTTTCGTTGCTTCCGCTTCAAGGTATTCAGGAGGAGAGTTGGTGTCGTTAGCTTTAGAGGAAAGAACAGCATCTTCAAGATGAGGGTCCTTGAGTTCGCCGGAGGGCGTTCCAGTCATTGAATCGGGGCTGAGAGCGCAAAGATATTGATGTCGTTGAGTAATTATAAGTTCAAGATGTCAAACTCGGTTGACGCAGCATTCATGGCGCCATCGAACTTCGAAAGTGATTGACTTCAGGCGCGCGATTGCGATGCCCATCATGCATCATGATCCGAAGAAGAAGGTGGCCATTGCCAAAGCACTCCGTACGAGCGGAGGTCGACAGTTTGGTCGTTCCTACCTGCACGGACACTTGGCTGGGAGCTCCCGCTGCCTGAAGTGCAGGTGTTGAAACATTGGCGGGCGACGACTCACGACTCGGAGTAGTCAATACCTTTCATTGTAAAATCGTTGGCTGTCGGGCGACAGAAGGGGATGCTCGAGATCTATAATTGAAATGCGAGAAAGTTTGGGCTGGTGGTGGTCTGGCACAGAATTCAAATATTCAAGCCGGAAAAGCACTGAAATAAATTTATCAAATTATAGTCCATTACAACGTCCTTCAACTTTTTCACTACTACCCAAGTACATAACCGGACATCAAAGTAAGGAATGCGAGGAGGAGAGAAATATGAGAACAAGATGGAAATTTGATGTATGTATGCTGCAATTATAGTATGACATGGACAGTAGGAAATGTAGAGTATGCGTGAATCATATGATGTAACAAGAGAACGTGTCGTGAAAGGTCGTACTAGAAATCGTGTGTCGTTAAATAATGAAAACATATTAGATGAAATGGGATGGAATGGGGTGGGATGAGATGGATGCTGTAGGATCAAACGAAAAAAAATGCAGGAAACATGGCGGAATGGAGGAAGGGAAGCAAAACCAGGAAAATCAGCGTCCAAAAATCAACGTCCATCGTTCACATTCATCGCTCAAGCCACATCCCCTCCCCACCCTCACCCTTATCCGCCCCCTCTTCCTCTTCCTCACCACCACCAACACCCTCCCCGCGCCACTGCAAATCCTCCTCATCAATCCCCATCCACCCACCCCCACCAGCAGCACTCATCGAAGCACTCCCCATCCCGCCGCCCCACACACCCCACACACCCACATCCGTATCTTGTTCCTGATCATTCTCATTCTCGAACCCATTCCACGTCTCCCTCCGTCTCCTACCAGCCGCAGCCCCAGGAGTAGGCCTCCTCGTTTCTTCCCTCTCCCGGTCCCAGGCAGTTAGGATTTGTTGCTGGTAAAAGGTGGGAGGGGTAGTTTGTTGATAAAAGCTCGTTGAGCTCGAACTTGTTGTAGGCTGCACGCCGGACTCTTGACTCCGCATTGGGAAACTGGACTCCCGGTCCCGGAAAGTGGAGCTCGATGACTCGAACGAGGATGGAGAAGATGTGATGTGTCGGTCAAAGTATATCGTCGAAGGTTCCTGCATGCTGATAGTGGATGGCACTTCCGAAGCGCCTTTTGGTGGGAGGTTGTACTCAGGGTACGAAGTAACAGCACTTGAAAAGAAAGAATGCACTTGAAACGCCGACTTCGAAGAAGAGGGTGTCGGATGCCAGTACCGCGGGCCTTCAGGACCCAGCGGAAACCCTTGCGCATCGCTCGGCCACGGGGCCTGTAGGGACGAAGTATAATGCTTATGCCCAGGGGAGTACATCCCACTCGCAGCCATCCTACACGGGATATACCTCGTCCCCAACGGATTACCACACACCGCGCATCCCACGCCCTCCTTGACACAGCCGCAAGAACTGCGCTCAAACTTCGCGGCTTCCTCGGTGTTGTCGAAATAGTGTGCTTCCAAGGGGACGACGCAGCTTGAGGCGGGGGTCCGCGCGGCCCACATGTGCACTCTTGGACGGGGGGCAGCGCGCAGGTGGATAATGGCGCCGCACCCGTTCGTCTTTCGCCGTGTGGGTATTTTGGGGGTTGAAGACGAGGTGGCGGGCAGGATGGGGAAGATGGATGGCGTCCATGGCTCACAAGGGTCCTCTTCGCCACTTTGTTGGATCTCAGCGCCGCAAACGAGGGTGTACCGGTACTCTTCAACTTCACTCTCCTCTTCCTCGTGCCTTCGCCTTCGAGAGGACGAGAACCGGCGTTGTCGGTGGGGATACGTCACGACTCCCGGCTCGTCGTCTGAATCCCATGGTGCTGGACTGGTTTCGCGGGGAGCAGTGTATGTGGAGCCCAAGGCATTATGATGTCCATGGTCAAGACGCATAGCACCGCGCCGTCGCAGCCTCGACGCCTCCCCAGTGCGTACTAAATCCGAGAGGACAATAGAGTCATCAACGTCCGTTGGCCGTGGTGTGTCCGACAAAGACGACGAGCTCGACGATGAGGAGGCAGAGGAGACCGACGACGAGCGGTGTCTCTCCGTCACAGTGGGAGGTGTTGGGATACGGTTGTATATCTGAGGCATGTATATATAAAGAATTCGTTAAGTGTCGTTTCTAGTGGAATTTTGAAGTCTAGATAGGTCGTGGTCGTTGAGGAAGCTAATTTTTGAACATGCGCAGTATGCATGCAACGGTCTTCGCTTACGTACTCGTGGCTGTGAGGGAGGAGTCACTATTCACTCCCAGTGAAAACCGGCTCGACGGCGGTTGGATGGCGGACAAAATCGGCGAGAATCCGCACCTAGGTGAGATTCCCGGCATCAACCGAAGGACTTCTTTCCATCACCGACTACTTTACATGTAAGATTAGCTAGACGTAGATAGCGTATACTACAGGTGAATCCTTCTACAGAATAACTAAAGGCACGAGAATGCGTGCAATGTATATATCACAAGTGATACTCAGCAAAAAGCAGAGTCAGACAAGGTCAATAAAAAGTCTTGAGATAGTGAGTAAAAGGTCATGCATTTTTATGGAATCACAGACCGTTTTTCTTGTAGTCATAGCTCAGTCATATGCTAGTCATACCTATGTGTAGTTCCTAGTGCTTGGAAGTCCAGTCCCAAGACTGCAAAAAGACTGCAACTGGACCGGACCAAGACTGCAAAAGACCGGACCTGCAGTCTTGGTCTTTCAGATTTGAGATCACAAGACCGCAAAAAGACCGGTTAACGTGGACCGGTCTTGTCGGTTAAGACTGGTCTTTTGTACCTACAATCAAAACACACCTAAGATCATATTTTTAGGCCAGAAACTGACAAAGATACATACAAAACTGTAAAATATTTTGTTGAAATTGCAGATGTACCTTAGTATTTTTGTATATACATCAATTCTCAACGTAATTTAACGTTCTTGCACTCGTTTAGAAGCTACGAAGAATGTCAATAAGCTTACCGATGCAGAATTGTGAATTTTATTGCATATTTAGTTGAAAAACCGGTCTTGAACTGGTTGTAACCAGTTTGGACCAAGACTGGTCCAAAGACTGGAAAAGACCACAGTCTTAGTCTTTTCCGGTCCTGATCCAGTCTTTTGAGAAACCTCTTATTCAAGTCTCCAAGTAAGTTGACTCCCAAGCATGCTGGCTTTGTTCACACTGTACTTATCTGACCACAAAGAAATCTCCTTAAATTGATTACAACTGTCCACCTCCTAAGTTCCTGCTTGGAATGCAACTAGCTGGTCAACAGGGGGGGGTGATTGCTTCCTTTTTGACCTGCCGGCACACTCCTTATATGCTCCAGAAACCTCTATCTATGTTTTACATGTGTTTTTAATGCAGGATACTTCAGTCTGAATTACAAATATGAAATTTAATGAATGTGTGGTATATTTTGTAGTCTATCTCTGTGAACACTACAGATTTTGTAGTGTCATGTCTTTCATTTTCAAACGCATCAGTGTTTGATGCATACACAGAGTTAGCTGGTGTAGCTATTCTTAGCTTGGCATGATCCTGCCTGTTTCTTTTCTATGGCCTGGTTACCAATTTGACAGATGGCATCATATAATGATTAATGTTTCCTGATGCACTGATGTGCATGCATACGTGTTGCCAATAGCCTTTGGTATTTCGTTGTTTCTGAGTTTTTAATTAAAATGCCTTGTCTTGGCTCATCTCTTCATTACAGAGGTCAGAAGACACTCCGAGGATGTTTTCAAATCTCTCTCTTAATTGTCAGGGGGTTCTTATTATATTTCATATAATGGAATGTGTCTTTTTCCATGTTTGTACTTTTGATGCATATACAGGGATTGCCATACATGACTTTCTGAATGGCCACAAGCCATGCTAAGTCTTTGTACATTTAATACTTAGTTGTAGTTTTTAGTTTCTTGATGTTCTGGACATGCCACTAGGCATTCATGTCGTCTTTCTGTAGTTCTTGTATAAGTATGAGTTTCCACAATAAATCCATTATGTGTTTCTAAACCCTTGGTAGTAATGCAATTCTTCTCCCTGCATTGGGTGTTTACTCTAGAACCTCTTTGTGCTCTATTTCATGGTAGGTGAATCTTAGATAGGATCAAAGTATAATGTCACAACGTGTACTGCTGCCAGTTCCAAAGCCTTTGTCCTAGTTTCCGATTCCACACATTTGCACTTTTAGCCAACTGAGCCGGGTATGCTCATTGACTCTTTGTATCATTGCAATTGTATGTAGTGTATTTCTTAGAGATGACTTCTATTGGTAAAATCATTAAAATCGAATTTTATACAGGTGAAATGCTTTCATCTGTATCAGCATCTTTTGATGAAGAGTTTCCCCTCATTGAATGGCTTTCTACCTCCCTTGATGAACAGTCTCCTCTCTTGACAAATGGTCTTCTCCCTTCTCTGATGAATGGCCTCTCTTGACAAACGGCCTCATCCTGACGAATGGCCTCCTCCTGATGAAAGGCCTCCTCCTGACCAAAGGCCTCCTCCTGATGAATGGCTTCCTCCTGACAAACGGCTTCCCTCTGCCTTCAACAAATGGTCTCCCCCATCCCTCAACGAATGGCCTCCCTCAACGGACGGTCCCTCGACAAATGCAAGACAAATGGCCTCCTCCTGTGTGTTAGGTAGAATGGCCCCCTCCCTCCCTTGACTAACGGTCTTCTCCCTCCCTCAAAGAATGGTCTCCTCCCTCCCTCGATGAATAGCCTCCTCCCTCCCTCAACAAATGGCCTCCTCTCTTGACAAAAGGCCTCCATCTTCTCTTGATGAACTGTCTCCTCCTGTTTGTTAGGTAGAACAGCCTGCTAATTCCCTTACAAAGAGATCAATGTACCATATATAATCTTTACTATGTCAAATACATGTTTTTTTTACTATTTCAATGGAGTGACTAGCCAATGACCAATGTTTGACAGCATGCTGACCGTTCTCATGAATGACTTTGATGTGACCTTCACATGACCATCAACTGACTTCAACAATGACTGTTAAGTCAGTGAACAGTTTTTAGAACATTGATAAGTTGACAGGTAGTCAATCATTCATTTTCACTGACCATTTTGTGACAATTTCGGGACCTTTGCTATTTACTGAGAGTGATAGGGAATATGAAATATAAGCAACATGTGAGTAAGGGGAAATAAATGTTAGTAGAGGAATTTCTCCAAAGTTATGGAGGACAGGGTGCAAGTTGTGAGGACATCGTGACCTTGCATATTCCAACACTCTCCCTCAAGGCACAAAAAGTCCAAGCTGAGACACAAAGTACTTGACCTTAGTGGATGGAAGGGCTTTGGTGAGCGTGTTGGTGACCATGTCATCAGTAGGACAGTAGATAAGTTGAATGTAACCATTTTTGATGACATGGCAAATAAAATGAAATCATATGTTGATGTGCTTGGTATGTGTGTGGTACTGGTGATCTTTGATTGTCTGAGAAAAGAGTGGTGGGATCAAGCCTCCCAGGAAAGAGCTGTGAGAGGAGGGACTGAATCCAGAGGCCCTCCTTTGTAGCATGGGTGATAGCAACATATTCACTCTCTGTGGTGGAGAGAGAAACAATAGGGGTGCTCATGGTAGCCATTTTTTATTCCATTTTTGTAGACATAGAACATCAAAAACAAAGTGAAAAATGAACCAAAAAATGGCTACTGTGAGCCCAACCTCCTTGAAATTCTCAAATTTCAACTTATTGTGAATGTGGAATTGAAAAGGAGTAACTTTTATAGCCTTCAATATTGATTACAAAAGGTCAACAATGAGAACCTCTCCAGCATTATTGAATTAGGTTGATCAACATTTTATGCATGCCTAATTGTTTTCATTGTACATGTGTATACGATTATGGACGTACCTTTGTCCCAAGAACCTGTCTCAAGTGAAATGTATCAGCCAAACCTTGTAGAAATCTTTGTTTGCTAAATTAGAATTGTTTGCACAACATTATTCAAATCAAATACTAAGTAGATAAACAACATAAACTGGATATGTAGTACAACAGCTATAACATATATAGACACCTATGATTACATGCACATCAGCTCCCACCACCGATGTAGGCTACTGAGTGTTGTTGAGTCAATACCCCATGATGTCCTTCTGTATATTTACATAAGCCTCTTTTCCATCAGAAATATCACATCTGTATGACCTCTCTCTGATGCCGCTGAAAGTACATTTGCATGAATTTCTAAATGAACATTCAGATTAGCCCCTGAATCTGTCAGTAGCTTTACAATTTGTTTGCAGCCTTAAGATCCTGCTGCTACAAATGCATTATTATGATGTCCACCTGGGGCATGTACATCTGACCCCTTTTCCATCAGCCATAAAACAGTTTCTATATGACTCTGTTGTAATGCTGCTGCAAGTGCATTTCCATAATTTTTTGCCTCAGCATTCACATCTGCTTGTTTGTCCATCAGCAGATCTACAATTGTGTTGTGACCTCCAGATGCTGCTGCCACAAGTGCATTACTATAATCACCTCCCTGTCCATTTATATCTGCCCCCCTTTCCATCAGCAGTATGACAGTTTCTATATGACCCCACTCTGATGCTGCTGAAAGTGCATTTCCATAGATGTTTGCCTCAGCATTGACATCTGCCCCTTCATCTATTAGCAGATTTACAATTGCATTGTGACCTTCAGATGCTGCTGCCACAAGTGCATTACTATAATGACCTCCCTGTGCATTTATATCTGCCCCCTTTTCCATCAGCAGTATGACAGTTTCTATATGACCCTGCTCTGATGCTGCTGAAAGTGCATTTCCATAGATTTTGCCTCAGCATTCACATCTGCCCCTTCGTCTATTAGCAGATTTACAATTGCATTGTGACCTCCAGATGCTGCTGCCACAAGTGCATTACCATAATCACCTCCCTGTGCATTTATATCTGCCCCCTTTTCCATCAGCAGTATGACAGTTTCTATATGACCATGCTTTGATGCTGCTGAAAGTGCATTTCCATAGATTTCTGCCTCAGCATTCACATCTGCCCCTTCATCTATCAGCAGATTTACAATTGCATTGTGACCTCCAGATGCTGCTGCCACAAGTGCATTACCATAATGTTCTCCCTGTGCATTTATATCTGCCCCCTTTTCTATCAGCAACATAACAATCTCTGTATGTCCTTGCTTTGATGCTGCTAAAAGTGCATTTCCATAATATCCCCCCTGCATATTTACATTTGCACCATTTTTTATCAATAGATTCACAAGTGTCTCATGACATTTACATGATGCAGCTTGTAGTGCAGTTCCATAAAATCCACCCTCTGAGTTAGCATCTGCCCCTTGCTCCAGTAGATGGCATGAAATCTTGGTCAAGCCAGCTATTGATGCATAATAGAGAGGCTTAGCATTGTTAAATTGGTTCCTATTTATCCAGTGCTTCTCAACAGCATCATCAACATCATAAATTTGAATCCATCTGGAAAAAGCATATTTATTGGATGCCAGAAGCTTTTTCATCAATTCAAACAAAGAAGAGGACTCAGATTCATCATAGTCACTTGACTTAGCATGGAATATCCAGTGTTTTGCTGCATACTCTGCCAGAGGAGAAGATTCAGTCAGATTTTTATCCAAAGGCTCAGGTGTATCAAATTGCAAAAGGTATGCCAGACAGATCTGAGATATTGTTGAGTGGGCAGTCTGCTTGCTCAAGGCAAAGCATGCAACTTGCTCCTTGTGATGTTTATGTAAATGCTGAGAAGTGAGATATTCCTTGACAGAGAAGTGAGCCAGTTTGATCACACCTATTTGCGTGTGAGTATATATTTCAATATGGTACCTTTCTGCACCATACCTTTTGATTCAATGACAAAACTAGAACACATCTTCAATACATCTCTTTTATCCCAGATTTTTTCTTCAGAGTTGTACTCTGGTCCATCATCAAATGTGAGATCAACAGTAGAAGTTTCAGCTAGTTCTTCCAGTGTCATTGGACGAACAGCAAAAGATAACCAAAGCAGGAATACTTTTGCATAAGTGTGATATTGCTCATCAATTCTCAGCAACATTTGGTCATAAGTCTTTTGCAGACCTTGAGGCAGAATGGTAAGCTGCTTTTTTACAGCATTCTTTGTTGGACACTTTTTGAGCTCATTCAGCTGCAGTGTAACCCAGTGAAACCTAAAAGTGGTTTAGCACCCATTATATCATTTAAATCCATTATGAAAACATACATTCCATCTGCTTTCTCCATTAATGTTGATTTGATCTCATGTTGAGTATCTAGATCCCATTTCTGTGTACTCAAGTCATTTTGAAGCTGATAATCCAGGTAGGCTGCAATGTCATAATTCCCAGATTCCTCAACCAAGTCAATGCAGCATAAATCAAGAGGCTGTAACCTTTCAATGATCTCCTTTTCTGGCCGGCTAGTAAATATCAAGTGCAGCTCAAGATGATTATTCCTTTGCAAGATAATAGTCTGAATCCAGTCAAGCACCTTTTCTCTTTCTGCACACTCATCAAGAGCATCAAGAACAATGAAAACTGAGTAAAAGCCATCAAGAATTGTCTGAAGAGTATTCTCAAGGCAGTCAAGAGATGGGTCATAGTGACCTTTGCCACAGTGGTTATACAGATTGACCAAGACTTCTAGCACACCTTGCCCACATTTGAGTGAGAGTTGCCAGATAAGTGATCGGATCATCTTATGGTGTAGCTGAAGCTCTGTCTGTGAGTCCCTACCATCAAAAAAGAAATAAGCAGTTGCAAGAGATTTCTTGGAGAGATGACTAATTATAGAGGAGCTAAATATGTATTCTATCAATCCATTGTAATGAATTGATTTTAGAATGCCCACCTCAAAATGGTTTTACCACATCCAGCTAAATAATCCAAGTGTCAGTATGTATTCCAAATTTCTGCAGAGCATTAGCCAACTTACATTTTCCTATAACCCAGAGAAAGCCAGGCTTTTCCAACCACTCCAAAAACTTCTCTCCATTCAGAAACCATAAGCAGGTAGAATCTGGCTGATTCCTGAGAATTTCACATGCTGTATTATAGTTCCCTAACATTCTAGGGGGGGAAAGCCACTGATCAATCTTCTGAGCTGTAAAAAGGATGAGGTTAACTTTGGTGTTCAATTAGAATTTAAACTTGGAATACCCAGTTGTTCATCCTTGATTGTCTTCAGTGTGAATCTTATACCCAAGTCCACCACTATAATACATATATAAATGTATTCAATTTACAGTGATGGTATATGTATTACACACCTTAGTTGACAGTTTGAACGAGAACACCTATAAAGTATGGATTAATATCTTTTGAAAAGAGACTGGAGGATGAACAAACCTTGATTACTGCCCATACTCACATTTCCAACATTCTCAATATTGTTCATAGTGCCTACTTGAAGATTTGATGAGAAATCTACAAGGTGCCCTCAGCTTGACAGTCTAAACAAGAATTAGAAAAGTATTTACTGGTTGATGTTGCTCCTCCAACAACAATGGGGGGAATGGGTGGAGGTGTAGGTGCGTTAGAATTGATGGGTTCTGAATTTTAGTTATTATCAATATAACGGAGAGATCTAAGTGAAAGCAAACCAATCAAGGGAGAGAATGGTTGTTGAAAGGAGCTGTTGAGCTCTTGTGGTTGCAAAGGATGATGAGCTTTAATTATTATAAGCATTGATGTTAATGTAATGGGCAGAAGCCTGCACATGGGATAGAAAGTATCTCACTTGGAACTGTCATTTCGGTATCCGCTACATTGATGTTCGAAGCCGCTGCCCTATCTGGCATCTCAATGACGCCGACGCCAAGACGATTGGCGCCATCGATCATGTTCAGCAAGTTGGCCGCAGAAGGACTCGCACCGACAACTTCAGTGTCCGCCGCGTTGATGTTCGAAGACGTCGGCGCCATCGAAATGGACGGAGCAGCACCAAGACGATTGGCGCTACCGCCGCCGGTCATGTTTGGGGACCGGTCCTTAGTTGTAGTACTGATTGGTTTGGTTGAAGTTACTTTGGGTTGGTTAAACATTGCGAACGAGGATTCGACGAGGAGATGGAAGTTGGGATTGAAGAAGATACAATATTACAAGCGCGCTATGTCCCTGGGGTCGGCTGTGCAACACTGATCCCACAGTTGTCCTTGGGGCCAGGTCACCTGCGCACAGCAGTAGCGCTGTCTATCTTTGTAACACAAGTCGTTCAACTAGCTTTGTTTTGGCTCTTTTGCTTCACACATCGCCTGACCCACTCATTTGTTCAAACCAAGTTTCAGTCACGCGATGGTAGTGGATCTTATTCTCAGATGGACTCTCCAACCCAAGGATTCATCAACGCAGCCTTCTTCGGACTTAACGGGGTTCGTAATTGGCACAAGTCATCAGCGGCGATTCAGCGCTTCCTCTACACCGCCAAATGACAGGCATGTGAGAAAAACCTGAGAATCAAACCCTGGGTGGCACCTTTCACCACCTGTCAGGCAATAATGATCCGAGTCCACACCATGATTGAAATCCGACTAATAGCAGCATGTCACCAGGTCGATCTCGGCACAACCTGTCTGGGGCAGCTGGGGACCAGCTGGCAGCCCAGCCTACATAAATCCTCTATATTTTCAATATTTCTCCCTGGTCATATTTATAGGTGTTCATGTTCTTATTTAGTCCATAATACAAGAGGCAAGGAGGAGGATGAAGTTCATTATATTTTCATAAGCAAGGACTATAAACAGGCTGCATGATACAAAGGTATAGGGTGCCAAAGGTATAGGGTGCACAGAAGGATGTGAGAAATGAGGCAGCTCCAATTACTACCTGTGTCTGCCCATCCATTCAAAAAACATTCCCCCAACTGACCACCCTTTGCGCTGTCTGCCGAATGCACAACCACAAACAAGGCATGTCAAAGCGGAGCCTCTGGCTCATTGAATGAGAGGAAGGCGGACAGCGGAGGGGGGATGGAGAGACGTGGTCTTTGGCTGAGGAGCCAAGCTGGGGTTTTGGTGATAGGGCATCTAATGTGGCTGCCGCTACGTGGCACAATGCGAAAGCGAACCTGTCCGGGAGAGTCAGTATCAGCAAGTGGGCATTTGTCGGGGAGGAACTACAAAGGGGCAATGGGCGGGAACAAAAGCCCAGAACAATGACAGGTGGCGACCGCGCACAGGCGCACGGGTGGGTAACAAGGAAAACCAACGGAACAACATGAGGGAGATTACATGGGGCGCAGACCACCGGGTAGCGAGATGAAAACGAGGAGGGGAGCGAGCGAGCAACTGGGCGAGAGACGGTTGTGGTGGAGAAGAAGGTGAGTTTGGTTCTGGTTGAAGTCTGGAAATAACCAAACATAGCGCGGAGTTTAAACGACTTGGGGAAATTTTGGAGAGTTTCTCGCACAGGCCTTTTTATGTTGAGCTCAAGATTCCATGTTTTTTCTACCTGTGGGAGCTTGGAAGTGCTCAGTGTATCATTTTATTATCTTCTTATGAATAATTTGTATCTCAAGTACATCATTTCGTTGCTTGAAGAAAATTGGCGGTACAGGTCTTCCTGAGGAGAGTTGTAAACCTGTGGGTCAGGTGTCGAGCCGCTGGCTCTAACATTTATGCCTCAAGCTCCGACACACCTGCCATCCATGCCGGGGCAACCTCCATCAGTAATCTGTCAAGCGGAGATTCATGCCAGATGCCATCAGCATTTTGCACAAATGGCGGTGTATTGAATAGCCTGGAAATTGCTCCTGCTGGGCCAATGCCTCTCACTACTTCTTATACCGAATAGCCTGGACATTATTGCAACCACAACGTTTCATGCACGTGCCTCAAACCCTGCTTATTTTGCAGTGGTGGGGCCCTCGCTGATGATGCCCAGCCTAACGACTCGTGCACAATCCAGGACAGCTTCAGGCTGATAAGTCGCAGCCGCGTACAACCAACGTCGAGAGATTGAGGCTTGCAGTCGGAGCAGCATTACGGACACTTCTTGTAAGTCGTCGCCCTTGTTAGTCCTTCATTCCCGTCCGTGCCTTTCTCCCTTCTGTCGTCTCCAGCATCTGTGGATGCCCTCGCCAGTTGCTGCCTTGCATCCCGTTGAGCATTGCCCGGCTCACGGCCTTTATTTGCTGCCCAGGTTCCGGAACGTCAAGCGAGACCCACTTCTTCTGACTTCTGGGGTTGCGATGCTGAAGAAGAACTGACTGTAGACGTGGAAGACGTCGACAGCGGGGCATGCTGGTCGACGGAGACAAACCTAACAGCACGTCCACTACACCTGTCCAAAGATCCCAACATCCTGCGGCATCCGCACCCCACCCCACCTTTCGTTCGAGGCACACCAACCATCGCCTTAGTTACGCGGCTCAATACCGCCAAACGTTGAACCAATGTCTCCCAAAACTCCCTACCAACGTACATCCCAACATCCACCAGACAACAATCATCCCTCACGAGCGCCGTGATTCCCCAGCATCGAGGGTTGTACGCCGGTTGAGTCGCGTCTTTGTTATGCGCGTTAAGGCCCTTGGAGTAGGTAGCGAGGGGGTTCGACAACTCGAACGCCTGCCTCGGAGGGTCGCCAATTTGGAGAGAAGCCAGTTCAGCGGCGTGAGGTTAGTTCATCCCCAGGGAAGGGGCGGAGGATACGGCTATCCTCCACGGAAATGCCGCGCATGGTGGTACCCTCATCACCCTCTCAGCTCCGTTTCCGTTTGGTGACGTACGACTACAGACGTTTACAAGTTCACTTCCTCCCAACCCAGCCACTCGTCCACCTTTCATTGGAGCAACGGCTCACCAACTTCAAGGAGGTTGAAAGCCGCCTATGTAATTCCATGATAGATTCAAGCATCATTGCTTGACTGGCCGTAATCAAACCTCTCACCCATCCGCCGTCTGATCGTTTGCGCCCAACTGTTGATTATTCGACCGTTCCCTTCCGCTAGATCTGACCCGCGAACTCCTCGTCGGGGGATGTGATTCTCACCGATCAGAGTCTTGTCGCCCCGCTTGTTACTACGTGAAATGGCCTCTGTCTGCTCTTCCCGTTGCTCCCCATACCACCCCCTAACCCCTGCCCGTCCTACAACCAACGACAACGCCTGCTCCAGTTGTCTTGTTGGACGCAGAGTATATGTCGCGTTCACCAACCCCTTTTCCATTTCATTTCCCACCCGCTTCCTTTTTGGTACCAGTATCGATATTACGCAGACTTTGTTGTATATTTCAATAACTACCTATACATGGAGTGTTCTGCAAAACAACGTAGAAGAATGTATGCCTATGGAGGGCCTGAAATCCAACGTTGACGGAATGTCCAACAAGAACACTTGCCAAGTTTCACACGAGCACGAAGATATCGATCACTTACTACCTGCCGGTGGACGGCTGTAATAGCTTGAATGATAGCCTTGCATACACGCGAACCGTCAACGCTTCAGTGAGCCGTATGCGATAGCATAGATCAGATGCACGCAGTTTCAAGGCAGGTAGATGAGGAAGCGGACTAGCGGATCTGGTAGTGTGTTCGTTGAAGGTAATAGCGAGTGGTGGGTGGATGTACTTGCCTAAATGGCAGAGGGGAAGGCTACGCCCGCTCAGTTGACCGAGAAAAACGGGGAATTTATGGTCATCGCGTCAATTGCACCCCGGCGGAGTAAAAGCAAGGGGAAAGCCCTATATACGATAGTTATTGGTGCAAGTCTGAGCCTTTAAAGAAGTATTACTCACCAATGCACGCATAGCCATCCCCGCCCCTCGTTTACGTCGTAGTTCTTCATAACAAACATAGTCCCTCCAATGCCTTGAAGTTTCACCCTCTCTGCCGTTTGCCCTCAGTGGCTCGACTCTGGCGGTGAAACTACGAAGAGAAGCAAGGAGAACATGAGTAAGTCATCGTCAGCTATGTCTAAAACCAACTTACAAGAGGCCAACCCAATCTTGAGATGAATCTTTCGTGTTTGTATCTGTCGGATCGCGGTAGGCCATGATGAATGAACTACAGATGATACACCGTGTTCTTGCTAGACGATGGCACGTGTCGATCTACACATGGCGAATTTGGGTTGATATAAGATCCACGCGACGGTCTATAGGAAGCTTTCCATACCTTGCATGCTCATCCTGCATCTCCCCCTCAGTCTTGAGATCGAGACGATGTTGCCAGTTCCCCACGAAATTTTAGAGTAGCAAAGATACTTTGGCGTTGCTTTGGAAATCCACGACGAAAGTCAGAAACGTGACGGTCCTGGCGTTATTCATGGAGCAGGCGACCTAGCAGCTGCAGGTGCAGATGAGGAGCTCAAGTCATGGACGTTGAGCATGAATGAGCGAAAAGGGCCAGAAGCACAGTAGATGCGTCCGTCCGAGTCTAGGAGAAAGCGGGGGAAGGAGGCGTGTTGCGTGTTTGTTGATAGCGAGGGGGAGATGGGACGGCGGTGGAGGAATGGATGTGGCGGAAGTGGATGCGTCGGTCACAGAAGGCAAGCCACCGAAGGGCGCCCTTCGCCCCCGAGATCGAGTCCCTCCAAGGTCCTCCAACTCCAGCACCCTCTCCCGCCCCGCAATCTATCCGTGCGCAAATAGCAGACCGGTGAACATCCGCCCAGGTCAGATGGATGCGATGAGCAGTATGAGGAAAAGCTCAATGATGGATCGGTCCTTTATATGGTAGAGGGGTCGGACACGGAGGAATGGGCGCATACACGAACAAGGGAGCCATCTCTTGGCGTCAATTCGGGCTGAGTCTTTGCTCAATTCGGCAAAGTTGATGGTCTACCACCTGGAACGCCCCGCAAACAGATAGGAAGGTTGCGAGGATTATTGCGTGAGGTATTGAGGAGAGGGCGAGGAAGGGATTGGGAAGGGACGGGGAATTTTGTCTGACGCATATCCGCCAGGGAGAGGGTTTCTAGTTTCAATAGAGACCAGGACAAAGCTTTCTTCAAGGAACATCGAAGATCGATCTTGGCTTGCGTGTGGACAGCAGCCTCGGCCTGAGCGGTGCTCATTGTGAGTTTCAAAGTCCGACGTCTTTGATGGTTGTGCAAGACGATGTCCACACAAATTCCCTCAAACACTTACTTCGGTCTTTGAAAACATAATTTTTGACTCTTTTATCAACGACGTAGCGTTCTACCCGACCTTTGCTTCAATACTGCTCATACTAAAATTCTGGACTTGTAGATACCTGTGGGCGCTAGCGCTTAGCACCTCGACCCTATTGAAGCCACTTCTATAATTGCTGACTCGGACCGACACCACTACCTTTCCCGTCTTTCCCATGGATACAGTTCCGGTCAATGTCGTGACCATCACGAGGATGGTCGATATCCTCACCAGAGACCTGGACGCAGCTCAGAAAAAGCTCGAGGAGTTGAAACAAGAAAAGGTAATCTCTTGAAGTTGACGCGACCCAAGCCGGATATTGACCAGCAGACAGGAAAACACAGAAACCCGTCTCGAGGAGCTGGACTTGGTTAATGGCCAACTTCGAGAGAAGGTGGCCGAACTTGAAAGCGAGCGGGCCAATGTGCCACTGAAGCAGGTGAGTTCCTCACGACGTTCTGACACACCGAAAATAATGTTCTTCATTAAGGAAACCCAGGACGATGAAAAACCGTTTCTCGCCTCACACCAAGCTCAAGACCAAAGCTGTCGGGATGCGGAGAAGGTACTTATGTTCGATCATAATGTAGCAGGCCGATGTGAATTGACGGTTAAATGTCACAGGATGCAAGAATCACAAAATCAGAGAAATCCGTGGACGAATACCTCAGAAATTTCCAACGTGTAAGTGATATGTTATGTCGTGATCTATAGGCCTTTCCTGACACTGTAGCACAGGCTTCTGCAGTGGGTAATCAGACGCGCCATGATGAATTAAGAGACGACACGCAGTCAGAGGAGTCATCATCTACCGAGGGGGTTGAGGAGCAGGAGGGGAATAAAGGTGAAGAAGATAAGAGAGACAGCGGGGAAGAGGAGAATGGTAAGCAGAAGAAGGAAGATGGGAATGAGGAGGAGGAAGGGGAAGTAAACGAAGAAGAAAAGGATCGGATCGGAGAGGCGGAAGAAGATGATAACGAGACCGATCATGAATACCGCAGAAAATTCAAGCGCCTCAGGTATAAGCGCAGGGTGGTGAGGGCTGATGATGAGGACGAGGAGATGTTTGATGTAGAGAAGGAAAAGGAGGTAGAGGGGAATAAAGAAAAGGACAAGAGAAAGAAGAGATCCAGAGATGAGATGGAGGAGAAGGAGGGGGCAAAAAGTGAGTCACTATTCAATCATTGGAAATATTGAATTCTCAATTTTTTACAGATGACCCATCATGTTCTCAATGCGACAGAAACCATCGCATATGTGACCCGACGAGGCCAGGTTACGCCTGTGAACATTGCGCCAAGAACAAAAGAAAGTGCTCCTTTACCAACATAGAAGTCCGTGTGAGCAAGAGGAGGAGACTGAAGAAGGGGAAATTAGAGGAGGGATCATCAAAAGGAAAGGGTGGAGATAAGAAAGAGGAGGGGCCTAAAAAAGAGAAGATGAGGGAAGAGAATATAAAAGCAGAGAGCTCCAAGGCCGGAGAGGAGCATTTGAGGATGGCCAGAAGGAAATTAAAGGAGGTGGGTGGTATGGAGGAATCCATGAAGAAGATGGTTGAAATGAATGAGGTATTGATGGAGAAGATTTGTGGGTTAGAAAAGAAGGTGGGGGGGTTACAAAAGAGCATGGAGGGGTTGAAGGAGGTGATTGATGAATTGAAGGAATGTGTTGCAAATATTGGGAAGAGGAATTGAAGCAGATATCTTGTAGATACCCTTTTTTTTTGGAATTCAATGTGAGAAACACTTGTCTGGTTGTGTGCTTCACTGAAAGTCCACCTGACCATTCCCCCATCTTGCCCTCGAGTCATTAGCATAATATCTTCCCCATCACTGGGCCACTTCTTCCCAAAAACCTCAATTTGATGTAGTCTGTAACATCCTCAGAACAAGAATTAATAGTAATATAATTGAGATACATAAATCTCCCTCAATGTTCCCCATAGTATACCGTTACTGTAGCTTCACGAGAGAACGGTCACCGCACTTCTACAGTAAAATAGTGCCCAATACAAGTTCATTCAATAGCTGTCCGAATGGACAGAGAGCCGAAGTAAACAACTGATCAGATTGTCAATACGACTGATTGATAACATAAAAACGCCCGCTCACTTTCTGTCACTCTTCCCCCGTCTGACCCTCCACCCTTCTCTTCATCTGCCAATCCTTCTCCTCCTCGCCTTTTGGACACTCTCCCTCCCCGTCCGCTGAACGGGTGATTGTTGAGATTGGCCGAAAGGGGTTGTTGCGGTTGAAGGGCGTTGTGGTGGGAGAAGAACTGGCTGTATACGTGGCAGACGTCGACAGCGAGAAAATGTTAGTTGATGGAGACAACCAACTGCACGTCCACTACCCCCGTCGAAAGATCCCAACGACATGCGGCATCTGGACCCGACCGCTCGTTCGAGGCACACCAATCACCACCGCAGCTAAACCGCTCGATATCGCCAAACGGTGACCCGACATCACCCAAAATTCCCTACCACAATACATCCCAACTTCCACCCACTGACGACAAACATCTCTCGCGAGCGCTATGACTCACCTGCATCGATGGTTGCACGACGGTTGAGTAGCGTCTTGAATCAGGGTTTGACGCCGTTGGAGTGGGTAGCGAGGTAGAATGATGAAACGAGGGTTGGACGCGGCGGACATAAACGTGGGTGGAGAAGAAAGAGTCAAAACAGAACACGTCCATCACACCCAACATGAGACGGGAACACCGATGTCCGATGTCGAGGCGAGGAGGGGGCACAAGGGGAGAAATTGCCTCGTTTGAGCTGATAGCTAGACTGAGACGGGAAGGTGCACCCTACGAAGCCTCCTTCGCATACAACCTCATACAACATCCCCTCCTGATTTCATTCCGTCGCTTAGTTGGGATTTTGACAGATTGGTGTAGAAAGGTAGACAGGGAAAAGGTGTGGGTCTTGTAATCCCCGCTACGGGGATGTACGCTTGTAGCAGTCGCTTTACAACGGAATGGGGCGCCTGAGCGTAGATACCCCACTGTCCTGGAGGAAAGCGGAGGAAAACACCGTCTTATGCATGTGACGTTTCTTGGAGACGTATTGTCCCATTCCCCGTTGTCTAGAATGGAAATCTATAGCCCATCGTGTTGGTAGTTTGCCCATTGCGAGGGAGCGGGGTTTCAAGTCGCTGAATCAAATGCAAAAGTCATCGCGTTGAAGGAATGTGAGTAGATTGCATCGCTCTGTTGCAGACTTGGATTCCGTCGTCATACAGATCCACCTGTCAGCCGAACCCCGGTTCTGGGGCATGAGGGTTTGGTGTGTAAGGCGATGCGGAGAGGAGAAGGATGGAGCGGAGTTCGAGAGATGGGGAAAGGAAGTGGAGGAGTGATCAATTTCGGGGGTTCAACAGCTCGAGCGCCTGCCTCCGAGAGTCGCCAATTTGTAAATAATCCAATTCAGCACCATGAGGTTAATTCACCTTCAGCAAAGGGGCGGAAGATACCGCTATCCTCCACGGAAATGCCGCCTCTGGTGGCATGTACATCCATCTCCGAGCTGACATTGTCTTCCCTCCGGGATATATCCTGGACGGGAGCCGACAACTCTCCCAGTGCAAAGGAAAATGGTTCCTAACCATCGAGCTTCAGCACAAGACTGAAAGAGAGAATGAAAAGGTGCAGAACTCGGTGTTGACGGTAGACAGTATTTTGAGAGCAAAACGGGTCGTTACTTCGAGACAGGAGCCTAAGGAACAAATTTCCATTAGCAGTGCAACTTCCATCTATTGAGTAGGCCAAACATACAGATCGTCGGTCCTAGTCAATCAACTCCAATAGCCCAGTACAATGTGCATTAGTTCTGTGATTTCACAAATGCGGAGAGCGCGACGGAGGCCGTTGTGGGCGGGGAATGAACCTATAGGCGCGAGTTCTGAGATCGCAAGACATGGTTGTGGCGAAGGTTGTAAACGACGTGCTCGTCGTGAGTTTCAAAGTCCGACGTCTTTGATGGTTGTGCAGGACGATGACGACGCACGTTTCTTTGAGCACTCAACGAAGCTTGCAGAAGAAACAAGGGTTTTGACTCTTTTATCAACGACGTAGCGTTGCCCAAGACCTTGGCTTTGATATGAACTAAAATTCTTGAACAAAATGCCTGTGTAGCACTAGCGCCCAACTAGCGCCAGTGCGACCCTGGTCCCTGACAGTCAACCCACTTAGAACCACCTCCATCAGCAACTCTCGATTGTTGACACCTTTTCCCCGTCTTCCCAATGGATACAGTTTCGGTCAATAGCGCAACGATCGCGAGGATGGTTGAATTCCTCACAAGAGAGCTAGACGCAGCTCAGAAGAGGCTCGAGGAGCTGAAGCAAGAAAAGGTAGCTGATCATACCAGTGTCAAGTTGACACGACCCAAGCCGGATATTGACTGGCGGACAGGACAATGGACAAGCCCATATCGAGGAGCTGAGTCTGGTGAATAGCCAACTTCGAGAGAAGGTGGCCGAGTTTGAAAGTGGGCGAGTCAAGGTGAAGCAGGTGAGTACTCAAGAAGTTTTGGCGCCCCGAAATTCTGCAATAATGTTCTACATAAAGGAGGCTCAGGACGATGGAAAACCCCTTCTCACCTCACGTGAAGCTCAAGACCAAAGCTCTCGGGATGCGGAGGTGTGTTTGCTCATGACGTAGCAGGCTGATGTTGCTTGACGGTCAAATGTTGCAGGATGCAAGGATCGCAGAATTAGAGAAATCCGTGGACGAATATCGCAGGAAGTTTCAACGTGTAAGTGATATGCAATGTTGGTATCTACAGCCCTTTCCTGACACTAGAGTACAGGCCTGTGCAGTGGGTAATCAGACGCGCCATGATCCGGAGACCTCTTCTCGATCTGACGATGACGATGAATCAGGAGACGAGACGCCGTCGGAGGACGAAGAGGAAGAGGGAGATGACGATGACGAAAGCGGATCAGATGAAGATGAAGGCAAAGAGGATGAGGGGTTGCCTGAAAACAGTGTGCCCGGAGTCCGTGATTTGAAGGTACGATGTTGTGCCCCTCTACCAATTGTCCGATTTTTCGCTCGCTCACTTCGGTGTCACAGTCCGCGCATACTCTCAATGCTTTGAGTAAAATATTGGGGGACTTCCCTCAAGCAAAGAAACGTCCTCGGTTCGGGAAACTTCGCCCTGTCTCCGCCAGGGCAACCAACTTGGAAGAATATCTAGCATCAGTAACTCTTCATAACACGCTACCCGTTTCGCTTTTTTTTCTGACTTCATCTATGTTCCAGGATCCGAGAACATCCTGGTTCGTTCTTGTATGTTACTGATTCAGACAGGCTCTCAATTACTGCAGGTGCTCGAAGAGCTTTCTGTATCTTCCTGGCCGTCTCGTCTGGTGCTCAAAGAGGAAAGACCACGCTCTCGCATTTGGTCCCATCTTCGCTTTCAAATCGGGAAAGTGGAGTGAAACATTCTCCTTCTCCCATGTACTCGGGAAAAAGGTCGAGCTATTCTTTCTTCACAAAAAGCAGATCTACTATGGGGGAAGCTACATTTGCCATAACAGTGGGCCACAGAACAAAGACGGTTTTCCAATCCAGAAGGACATGGTAGGCTCCCGTTCTCCTCAAAGTAACGACCCTCTACTGAATTTCTAGATGGATAAATGGAAGGAGTTACCTTTTCGCCTTGCCGAGGCAAGCATCGAAAAATCTGCAAAAAAACGAGGTGCGATGCGCAAAATTGTAACGCGCATGTACCTCGATGGCGTTCTCAAGGCGGAATGTTTGGGTCTTCAATGCGTCGGCTTCAACAATGGCTTGAACAGTGTCTTGAGTCAAAGGCTGGCCGACCAAAAGACATCTAAAAAACGGAAGGCGGACTCGGGTCAATCAAATCCCAGAAAACGCAAGAAAGCGAAAAAATGATCTGTGGAGACCGTTGGTGGGTTAGAGAGAACGTAGAAGCGTTTTGTGCAGCTGTGGTCTGGGTGACATGTAGTATTGGTATTCGCCATTCGTGCTAGATTTCGGGTAGGACTTATACTCAGTTCTGTCAGGTATCAGTGTGAATATGATGGAAGCAGAGAAGAACGCACGCGGCTACGGCGTACGCCGCTTGTTGTCAATCCAGGAACCTCGAAAGCGTGAACTGGTCGAATAGGGATAGCAGACGGTGCAGTGTCGTCGTCTCTCAGCTCTTAAGCTGCAAGAGTATTTTTGACTTTGAGGGGAATTTTTGTTTGGCGATGTCGAGACATAGACATGTCACATTGTAAGTGCGTGCTAATTTTATTCTATTATTCTATCATCCAACTTGCATCAATTACAACGTTGGCCAATCCTCCTCGCAGGCACCCGATATTGCCCCGACTCCCGACATTGAACCAAGCAATTAATCCGGGGCCTGCGTCTACAGCGTTATCTTCGCTTCCAAGGAGGAGCCTGAGAGCGCTATGGCTTTCACAAAGCCTCCGCATAAATCAATGAGAACGTTACTACAGCCGAGGATTTGCAGGCACCCCGATATTGTCCCGACTCCCGACATCCAGCCAAACCATTCAAAGAGTCGGGGATCTCGGAATAGACAGAGCAACGCTTATTGACCTTCCATGTCGTTACTTTACGCCTCTTTAAATACATCCTGAAGATTTAATTAACATAGGTAATTTTTTGAGACGACCCGTTATGTCCTTAAAACAAGGCTGAACAGGTCTCCGAGAGTCTGAAGCTCCCTCTGCCTGGTTGTAAGTAAAAGCGTCACGAAGGCCTTAGTATGGCATTTATGTAAATCGGTTTGAGTCGACCAAAAATACATTGTATTTTAACGACGCTAAGTGACTTCGGCATAATCTCACAGCCTATGAAATCAAAATTTATACTACAACAATGCTCTTTCCTGGTCCATAAATATATTAAATGTGCCGCTGTTGGCAATGCGATCATGAGACGTGTATTTCGGTGACAAATCGGGGACACATGACCAGCTACCACGACGATAAGTGTCGGTCCTGTCTACTGATTTCTTCGTTCCCAAGGACAAGACATCGCCCTTTGACTTTCATAAAGCCTCCGTGCAAATCCCGTATAAAGGAACGCGATGAATGTCTTTCAAAAGAACATCATTTCTCCAAAGACAAGTGATCATAAACCATGAAGTTCACCTTGACCGCCATGCTCCTCTGCCTTGCCCCACTCGTCTACTCTGCCCCGAGCCCAGGCAGCGTCAACGTGTATTGTGAGAGCGACTGCACTCCGGGACTTCAAAGATGCGGCGATGGATGGTTCCCGCATGAAGCCTTTCCAAAGGGTGTAGCATGCTGGAGGTGCTGTAGAAACGCTTAGTGAGGATCATCCCTTTTTTTTCTGTATCTTTAATAACGTTTCAAAGGATGAACCAGGCTGGAAATACTGTAAAAACCCATCACCTTTTTTTTCTATCCGTCATTAATATCATTTCATTTAACAGTTCCCTTCGAGCAAGAGTCCGACAAGATAATATCCTGGTATGAGATCACTTCTCTTGCCACGCAGCCTTGTATAAATATTTACTCAATAGAGACCAAGACTCGACCCGACGAGATACTAGATATTGACTTGTTGGCCGGGATGCAGTTTTCACCAAGTTTTTACGTGACAAATAAATATACCCGATCGGCGGATAGTAGTATTTTCAAAATGACCGCCTGAACGATGCGAGTGACAACGCTACACCCCGTAGCATCCAAAGATCATTTCTCAATATCCTTTCATCGTTCGTAATCCAACCCAGTCGGAAACTCAGCCCGGAGTGCAGGTTCCGGGTTCAGGTCTCGAAGCAACAACGAAGCACCACAGCCAAAACTGGCAAATATGGCAAGGAGAAAATAGTTAGGAATCATAACTCGACATTCCAAACGTTAGTGTTCAGGCGGAGTGCTGGAGTGAAAGTTGGGTCATGGCAACTCCGGTTGGAGCGCGTTAAATGCGCACAGCTTCCTCCTTCTTGGCGCCGCACCAATCAAGCCAATTTTAAGTCGGGAATTTTGGGGTTATAGAATTCAGCTCACTGAAACGTAGCAGAGATATGTACATACGATGTTAAGAAAAGGCGAGATGCTATACAAACCGGTTGGGAAGGATACTTGAACGAAGGAAGTCACGGTGCTGGTTATGTCTTATAACGCGAGAGCGCAAAAAATTCCAAAATCTCCCCACTAGCCCGCGCCTCAGCTTCTCATGTTCTCTCTGCAAGTGTTCCAACTTCCACTCTAGCTCCCTGTGTTCCTGCTCCAACTCCAATTTTAACTCAGCATCCTTGGCGCGGTTCGCCTTTTCCATGTCCCTCTTCAACTCCAGCATCTCTTCCTTGTGTCTCGCTTCCATCGCCTTGATATCCGCGGAAAGGACGGCCCCTGCAGAGGTGTCAACGAGCTCCTTGCCTTCGTGTAACTCTTCTGCGATCTTGGTATGTAATTCTTTTGCAACCTTGATAGCCGTGCCTTTCTCGTGCAGGAGATGAGACAAGATCGTAAGAGCACCCTTGACTGAGTTGTCGTGGCGAAACATGCAGGCTCCTTCTTCAAGAAGGGGTTTGAAGAAACCCTTTCTGAGTTCATTCTCTCGATCATCTCCTTCCTCTTTTCCAACACGGCTCCAATTTGTTGTGACAATTACTACCTTTGCAAGCGTTTTCTCTCCGCATAGCTCCTTAAACATACGGAGATTTTTCTTGGCCACTCCGCCTGTTCTAGGGTCAGAAATCCGGTGCATGTAGATAATGCCATTGAGCTTCCTTCCGCCCCTAGTACCTTGGGTCAGAAATTGTGTAGAGAAAGAAGGGTAATAACACTCACACTGAATTCACTATGAACTCGGTAATTGTCTTGAGAACGTCAACGTCGCTACGTTGAGAGTCGTCAAAACCCGGGGTGTCAACAATCATAGTCGAAAGGTGGGTGTCGGGATCGAGAAAACAAGAGGCGTCAACGAATTCGGTCTTGGACTCAGTTCCATGGCCAACGACGATCTTATCGTCTCCGGTGACAAGATTGATGAACTACAAAGTGGGACATTCAGTTATGAAACAGCATTCAATTTTTTAGGACCGCACAGTCGATTTGCCTAATTGTTCAAGCCACGTATCGTTATATGTCGTCAACAACCAGGAGAAAGATTGGCTGACCAGTTCCTGTGGCACCCATGACGCTTCAAAGATCACATTGAGCAAGCATTCACGAAATCTCAAGTGTAAATCTCACGCAATGACTCGGTCGTGCTGACCCTTAAAAGGCTGATTGCAATGAGGCATATTAGCGAAAGTGCGATGACGCGGTTGTATAGAAAAGGTCGAAAGATAGTAACAGCGATTTGAAGCGAGCGCCGAGGTATGATGATGGGACTTGAACGTCCAGACTTTTATACCTAGCAATCAGGCCTGCGTTTCTGTCACAATCTTCCCGCGGCCCACAGAAGTCAGTGCGAATGCTGTTTTCGCCGAAACATATGAAACTCTCAAGGCCTCGCTGGAAGCATGAGGGATGATTTTTTTAGCGCTGGAACTCGATTTAGCAAAAGATGACACACCGTAAGCGCATGATATCTGTGACCGACAACATGTCAAGAACGAGGCCTACTTCGAGGCAGACTCATGACTCTCGACCCTTGATGTGTGCTTTGAAGGGCGCTTCTCAAGATGTTCGAGCAGTGCAATTTTGCCTTTGCCTTGGGCGCTTTCTCGTTTCGATCATCTCCGTCGATTCCGAGGAGTTGGTTCTTGCTGCCTGCTGACATCTCGCTGTTCTGCTGCGTTGGCATTTAACCTTTCCTGTCCGTCCCCTAGCGTCCTGTATCACCCAGGTGCTGATCTGCATGTGGGATTTAGCTAATGATGAGCTGTGAGGTGGTAGGAGGGCTTACAATGGTAGGTAAGTATAATAACTTTTCACGTAGCCATAGATTGAACCCACCACCCATCCACCCTGACAATATAGACGCGGTTAGTTCGAAACAGACGGGAGTCCGTCGGATATTCATATTATGTGTTTCGAGTCGCATTGTTTATCGCTTGGAGAAAAGATCATCTGTTCGTCCGTGGCGGTAGAAAGATACGATGGAGCTAAAGGGTCCAATGAGCGCAGAGTTTGATCGACTTGAGAAAACTTGACCCCCTGGTGGACACTCATACCGAGAGTACACAGCAGCTGATGGTCATTCTCAGTCTTTTGCTATCGTCCATGACGTGCTCCCGTGTGGTTTATCATTCTCTGCCCGCTCGAATTTGTGAAGTCTGAAGATGGAGGTCAGTGGCTTTCACAAAAACGACTGCGCGATCACTGACCAGGATACCTCTATAGATTGCTATTCAACGGAATTTATCAAGTTGGTCATATTAGTATCTTCATATAGCTCCCAGTCCCATGCACTCGCTGTATGAAGTGTTTCGGGCAGGTGAACACTTTAAATGCGCGTCAATAGGCAAGATAAAGGCGATAGCTCAACTTCCTCACCTGTGTTGCCACATCGGAACCTCCTCTTTACGCCATTAGCTTAAAGGCTTGGGAGGAGCGACATCATTATTATTTCAGTCCCTTAGCCCATCTTCCCATCCTCCATAATGGCACCTCGCCCACCGCATAGGACATCGGCTCGCTGATGTCTCGGGTGTGGCAGGCCATGGAAGGGAAATTCAACCTTGCCTGTCGTCCCACCCACAGAACCACTCATGATAAGGCTATCAATGCCTGCAACATTCATTTTAAGTCGGTGGGAGTTATAGGAAGAAATGGAAGTCGAATGACAATTTACAGTCCCACTGTCAACAGGAAGACCTCGATACATTTCAGTATCGTAGTTACGAGTATCGACGGCAAACAACTCACCCTTGTTGAATTACAGCTAGCGACTTCGAAGCAGGAGACTTCGAATTCGGCCTGTGCCCTCCTTCACAACATGAGACTCGTCCGGTGACTAGATGAGCAATACGCACGCAAGGCAACAAATAGGGCTGTCAAGCGTAAGGTTGCTCGGGGTGACCGTGTTGTTCGGCATCATCCATCCCGAGCTTGACTTGCGAGGCTGATTTACATAGTCGATTGGTGTCATGATGACCCTTGAGGATTTTTTTGCTAGGATCAGGTTTTATCGCGTAAAGTTGAGTAATTGCAGTCGAAATGAGAAACCACTTACGCGGAAATTGCTGGACTGCTGAAGCTAGAAAGGTCAAGGCGACAGTGTCGTTGACGCAGACAATGGGAAAGATTTTGAACCACGTGACTAACGCCCTGGATTTTTAACATTTGTTCGAACTTCCCTCCATCCTCCTAGCACTGTCGTCTCCTTCTTCCAAGGACTCACTGGGGTCTTGTCGGGTGTTGCGCGGCTACCAGAGGCTCCGTGTAAAACTAGACATTCTCGCTAGATTACCAGCTCTTTTCCGACAAAGGCCTCAGGTTTGCCTCCCTGAATGCCCGAATCTCTTAATGCTCAACCCAAATCGCCTTCTCACTGCACCCCGTTTTGTTGGCCGTAAGTATGGCTACAAACCCCGCAACCATTCTTTGTTCGCGTCGATTCAATCATTTAGCTTTTCCTCAAAGTAAGTAACCAACTTGAATTCCCCGGAGTCGTCTTGCTTACCACCAGTCTTAGTAATCTCTACTGGCCAAACTCGATGTTCATACATTTTTGCGTTCAATCCACCCTTCAAAAAATACTGGCGTCCTATAGCGTGAAGCGGTACTTATTCCGGTAGGCTGCATGTTCGAGCCACCTTGCAGCCGTGATGGTTCAAGACCCCGACCTCTACAACTGCTTAGTCCGCCAGGGACCGCGTCGAATAAGAAGTATTTTCGACTTCCCTTTACTTATGTCCGTCGGGTCATTCTCATCCAAAATAATGGCCGCAGTCCCAAGGTTCAATTTCGGTTTGCATTGCCAACTCGTTTATTGTCGATGACGTTGGATTTTCTGGGTGGTGATGGCGATCAGAATACGTACGTAGGTAAGCTTCGAGTCTTCGACATCGATCATCATTCAGATTACCTCTTCAGGGTCTTGGCTCGCCAGTCATCCTATGTCTCTGCTTCTTCAAGTAATTCCGTCCAACGTCCAGCGCTGCTTGGTTCTGTAAACAAGGTGTTATTCACCGCAACCTCCGTTATATGCAGCTAAGTTCTTAAAATATAGATACAAACACAACTACAAAGTCTCTCGCCCGAACAGCCTGTTGCTTCTATGTATGTATATATCGAAATGGACATCATGCTTGCGTGATTGAGCTTCGATTTAGCGTGAGCTTCTTATCCGAATCTGGCCCCTCTCCCCTCTCTTTCCTACACCCACGACTATAGCATGGCGTCCGTGGTACTAGCCTCGATACACTCGCTCCCCGTCGAAATCCTCTTCGCGATTTGCAAACTTGTGAGTCCTCCTTTCTGAAACCCCTCTAACCTCCGGCTTAACCCATCTGGACCCAACAGCTTGGCCTCCACCATTTCCCCACAAATCTAGATCCTCAAGATGAACAATCACACCGCTTTTTCCTCCAAATTCGCGGCGTCTGCAGATTATTCGACGATCTCATCTCTCCTTTTCTCTTCGATCACATTACTCTCCGCGTCGACCCAGATGGGCTTCGCTTCAAGCCCCCTGTGTGGCAGTTGGCATGCGGGAGAGCCCGATTATGTGGTTGGGTGAAGTACCTCCACATCATCTCTTCTCCCGCATCGTGCTTTGCCCCTGAACGAGTTAAAAAACTTGACTCGGACGAAAGGGCACTGCTTAAACAAGAATTGGAACGGTATTTCACACCCGCCGTCGCGGCCATGAAGGGATTAATATCGTTCAAGTGCGTTCTTTTCCACGCAATTTTCAATATGCGCTGATCCTCTACTTTTGAAGGTGGACCCTCACTCAGGACCTCCCGGCCCCACAACACTTTCAAGCCGCAATCACAAGGGCATTGGTCGACCTCCCGTCGCTTACCGACCTCAATCTCGGTTTCCTCAGAGAGTTGACCCCCAGCGCCGTGCTCGACTCGCGCTGGACTGTCCCGTGTCGTCCGAATCTCACCATGATCAGCGCCAGCATTCGACATCTCACCAAGCTGCATTTCCGTCTGCATCCCCACCTCTATCCCGAGGTCTGGGTTGAACTACTCTCTCTTAATGTTCAATTGACGGACATTGCGGTCGACAGTTTCAGTGAAACCCTTCTTGAGTATCTCGGATCGTACAACGGATTACAATCTTTTTCCATGAAGTACGCACGTCCCGTGTCTCTTATCCCTCAATCCGTCGCTCGTGGGTTATTTGACGCGCTTGGTAACCACAAAGATACTCTTTCCGTGCTCCTGTTACCGCATTTTGACGGGCTTCCCCTGCCTTGGTGGACGCTGCAGGCCAATGCAGCGGCATTGGTCACTTTCACGCATCTTCGGCACCTCTCATTAAGTGTGATAATTCGCGATCTGAGTCAAGCAGAAAGCGGCGTGGTAAGCAGTATGTTTTTTCATAGCGATCTCATGATTTTGAATTAATCAACAGACCCGTGAACTGGAACTTCTGTCTAAAATAAAGTCCCTGGAACATTACTCCATCAATGAATGCGAATTCGCTTCTATGGGCCGTCAAGAAACTGTATCAAATGTTCTCGCCTGCTTGGATCTGACTGATTTCGCGCATACTCCTTCACGCATATCCGTCCACAAATCATTTTTCACTCGGTATTTCCGCTTGGAGACCTTTCGAGACAAAGACGGGGTAGAGAAGAAGAGATATAGCTTCTGTAATAGTTTATGGGAGCTTCCCTCAACGGAAAATCTCTGTTGAAGCTCAGTCTCAATCCAAACATCATGTATCCGTACTCTAACTATGAAAGTTTCCCGAGACTGCGCTCGCAAGAAATGTAAAATAAAGTCCGACTACAGAACCTTTTGTTTCGTCCCATGCACCAGCCTCTCAACTTCGCCAATCCATCGCTTCAGCTCGCTTCCCCACCCGCCGATCCTCCGCATCCGCCTGCGCTCAATGTCTGTACCCTCAACAAGCCCGATCTTGGCCATCCTAGCTATATTCTTGCGTCGGTTCGCCCAGTGGTTACTCAGGCACCACCAGAGGATACTGTCACTCGAGAAAAACACACTCTGGATGGTTTCACCGCATCCTGGGCTGCACGGATCTCCTATGTTAAAAAGACGCAACAAAGTGCGAATGATGATCCGCGGGAAGTACAATAAAAGAGGCGGGTCAACCCCTACCGCAGAAAGAGAGAATTAGTAGACAAGCATTTCGAAATGAGCTGAAAGAAACAAATGACTGACAGATAACGTCCGTAGCCTGCGCCTGAGCGACTAGCCCTCCTTGTCTAGTATATTCGCCATCAACGACCCAGCCCCGTTCGCATTGGCCCAAAGCCGCCCGTATTTTCTCCTCGAACTCATCCTTTGGCGTTTCTTTCCATCCTGGTTGCCAGAACAGGCGGTCCAGAGATATATGTGGCACCCCCAGGATGTTTGCTATTTTGATGCCTGTTGTAGTCTGCACATGACGTACAGCGGAATACTTGAGAAAGTAGTGGTGCTGTACTTGCCTTGCCAGAACCTGGGCAAAAAATGAGGTTGAATGGCGATCGAGGAACAAGGGGGTTCGACTCACCACTGTTGCCGACCACGTGGACGCGGTATCGACCTTGTCCGTCACCTAAAAGGGCGGGGTATGTGGCGGTCTTCGACATTACAGGTTTGGAGGGATGGAAACCGTGTTAGAAAGCAGCAGAAAGCATGCCATGGTTGCCGGAGTCATGCTGAGTTGTCGGTTCCGTGCATCAAACTTTGGTTGATCCGAGGCGAGGCAAAAGCGCACCATTTGTTCTGAAGAGCGGAATTTGTGCGATTCCGTCCACAAGGACCTGTTCAACTGGGTGGGGGTCACCAATGTAATTTTTCCGGTCAAGACATCATAATTTTACACGTTCAAACTTCAAAGCGTTCATTCCATCATGTGAAGCAACCACTTGTGCGTCGAGAAAGGAGTTGCTTAAGAATTGATGGTAGTCACTCAGAAAAATCTCATGTCTTGATTTATGGTTCAGAGCGCCGAGCATTCAGTATCATCTATTTGCCATATGATCATAGTAGGGCGTAAAATATACACAGCGTTCATGGGAGAGCCTGCAGGTCATTTGAAATGATAGTACATGGTTCGGTTGGGGCTCAACGTTCAACGTTTACAAGGCATAGTTGTCATCTTCGCGGCGTCGCATCAATCGCTCCGCTATGAGCATCTATCCGATCTTCAGGCTTCGCCTGCAATTCGACCTCCTGTAGGGCAGGCGAAGACGGCAACTGCATGCTCATGCTCCATCTCCGACTCCTCCCGTCCTCGCCCGTTGGCGATGGAGGGTACATCGGCGGCGAAACCCAGGGAATACTCCTCACCATCGTATGCGGAGGATACAATGCAGAACTATGCGGCGTGGCGGATAAATAGAATCCTTTGTGCTCCTCAATGATCGAAGGCGTACTTCCGCCCGAAGCTATCTCGAGTTCGTTTGGTGAGGAGAGACCCCGGCGTCGGCGGTAGCACGTATGGATGCCATTCTCTGAGAAGACGAGGAGCCAGGCGACACCGCAGATGAAGAGGAAGACAACGACGCAGGTAACGATCAGGGCAGTGTTCAAAGCACCTGATATTCGCCGAGTCTTCGATAGAGAGGCCGATGATGGGGTGGAGGTGCGTATGGGAGAGGCGGTTGTGGTGGTGGAGCCCGATGAGGTGACGATGAGGTTCGGAGTGGAAAAATGGGGAGGGTTAGGCGACGTTACGACCGGCGGAAGATCTTCTGGTTCTAAAATAGTGTACCTGGATTGGACATAGCTGGGTTACTCGCCAGGAGACTTAAGACAGAAATTTGAGACCCACATGAACCTGTCAAATACGGAAGAGGATTGGCCCTCCGCGACCAATACCTGAACGGTGTGAAGCGTGTTTCCCAAACCAACAACTGACGCGATGACCTCCGATTTTACCGTGGCTGGTCCTCCTGGTGTTCCCGTGACATTGACATGAGAATGGTCGGTGAGGTCGAAACGAACAATAGGCCCTGCATCAAGCATTAGGCCGGAAGAGCGTTCGTACGGCCAAAGAGGCGCTAAAAAGTAGATAGCAACGCCTGAACAACAGGATGAGCTACGCCATCTGAGAAATGATAGGATAACGAACCTGTAAAACTGAACGTTGCTGTCCCGTTGGGCGTTGTTGTAACCATGCAAAACCGTCCAGGGTTGACGTCTCCTATTGTAACATTGGACCATCCTGCCTGAGGAGAGTAAACGATAGCGGGATTATGACTGTCAACAGTGATATTCCGAAACCCATGCACAGCCTGGGGAAGGAGAAAGAGGGAAAATAGAATAACGAGGTAGGTCAGATGCGGAGGAAACATGATAGTGGAAGACAGGCTTACGTTAAGTCTCGTTTAAATGTGTCCCGTCCTGCATTCTCCTTTCCTAAGGATCTAACGAAGACTTGTCCAAGTTTATTTTTGGCACCAAGCATTCGTGATTTTGAAAGTGGCGTCACGATCCGCGATAATTCAACAACTGCGTTTAAAGACGGTACCCTCGTTTTTTGTCAGGGAGAGAGACTCGTTGCAGGAAGAGAGTGCAAATTGAAAAATTCTTGCTACGTTGGTAGTGAGTCTTGTGTCGTTCGTGATACGACCTGCACTGTGCAGTGAAATAAGAGGAGAGGTGCGCACGTGATCTCCGCATGTGATCCCCGTTCACGTGAGCAAAGTTTTCTTGTGCGTTCTTGCGAAGAGACTACAGCAAACAGGCCAGCAAAGAGAAGCGAGTTGATCCATGGCCACGATGACTTCTGGAGGGTTTTAGAGCAAACACACCCCGCTTTTTTGGTAGCCACGGATAAATCCATGTGTTGCGAGCGATGAAAACGGTGAACACCATCTTCATGTCCGAAAAGGCCTTGCGCGTTCATTCGAACCTGCATTAACGCGATGTCGGGCGCTGACTACCTTTCATAGTATCTGGGAGTCGAACAACAGGACGCGTCTCTGCAGACATATTGCCATCTTCTTCACCCGAGAAGGCCTTCGGAATGCACATACCTGGGAGCTGGGCGGCCCGGTCCTGACTTACAACCGACGTGAAGCCAGCACTCTCTTCACGGCAGATCCAGTACTCACCGCCCGTGTTATATTGGCTAGGATAGGGACAGGCTTTCCCTGACATGCGCCACGTAAGGCTCTCCATGCCATCAGTTTTCCAACCGGGCGTCGTAAATGATCGAAACGGAAATCGACTCAGTCTCGAAACAAAAAGGGATCTGGAAACGATAGTGAATGTCTTGTGCTGCGAACAAAGTTCCTGCACCGGTTTATTTACCAACGATCTCTCAGAAATGGTGTCTAGGCAATGTCTAGGAGAAGGATTTCAACCTCTCGCGATCTAATGGGCGCCCTTCCTCGGGCATCTCTGGCGCCGCTTCATGAACATATCTTCGTTGAACAACATCTATCGCGCTGAATGGCGGCTGTGTTCAAGTTGAAGACCTTCGAGGTTCTACGCCATAATTCGGTGAATTATTACCACCTAACGAAACCTCCCCGATTTGTGGGCTGTGTAGAGTCGCTCTACTTCTCTTTTCATTTTCTTCAGCGCAATAGGACATCCTTGTTCTGCCAAATCTGTAATTCTCCGATGGATCGTCCACAAGAAATCGGTACATGCACAATTCATTCGCCGGCGGTGAAGCAAGAAATGCAATATTCAACGCCTACCACACCTTCTCGCGGTATATAAGGACTTGAAATTCTCGAGAAGAAATCATCATCAACTTCCCAATGCTCGTCCTCCAAATTCTCACAGCTGCTCTCACCATCTCCTTCGCCAAAGCGAACCCCGTCGCCATTGACGTGCGCAATTGGGATAACTCCGCTGCGGATGGGGCTTTCAAGCGCGAAGAACTGGCCGTTATGAGTGCTACCAGCAGCTACGCTGAATACATCCCAAGCCCCACTGAGACCAGCCTGACCCTTCGCTATTACCAAGAGCGGGCCACCTGCCTTGACCAATTTGTCTGGTATTGCCAGGTTCCCGCAGGAGCATGCATCGCTGCCTTGGGCGGACTGGTACTTTCTTTTGACAGAGTTAGAAGGCTGCATTTTGCTAAACTCATCATTTAGGCGACACCAGTCAACCTGTGGTCTCTTGTACCTTGTGCCATCGCCGCTGTTTGTGGATCGGTATGTAAGAAATATTTATTGAGATGAAGTGTTATGAATTTTTATCCAAGGTGGCCCTTGTGTTCGGCGCGTTGTGCTGCAACGGCATCATTAAGAACTGTGACGGCTCAAGTTTCTCGTCCTCGATTAGCAGTGCTAGCCGTGTCACTAGTAATGTTATGGCAACGTTAAACGGCGGGGGAGGTCACGGCGACGCACCTTTCAACAGAGGTTCGCTAGTCATTGAATTCAAGTTCCTGCTGGCTGACCAATTGAACAAGATACCTTTAAAACCGCATTTAACAACTATTTGCAGAGTCACGGTTCTGATATCCCCAGGTAAACTCTGAACAGCCATTGTAGATTGCATCACTCTGAATGTCGAAATTGCAGTGACGACGACTTCAATAACATGTACAACAGCTTCTTGGCTCGTACTTTCGTAAGCCCTTTACCACATATACTATGTGTGGACTTGGATCTAACATGATTCCGTGTAGTGCAGCTTTGGACCAGGAGAAGCAGGGGGCGGTTGTGAACCGAATTCCGTCTCTCATGACGATGTAAGATCGCGTTTTCTTACCTGTCATTAACACATCCTGACGTTTTTTCTTTAGTTCAACAACTTCCTCCATCGTCAATGAATTATTGGTTCAAGGTTTTTAACTACATTGGACATCATTTTTACCTTTAGTTCAATTTGGCACGGCCTGTATGGTTTATAAATGTTGAATCAACAAGATGAACTGATTCCAAAATTGCAAGACGCAAGGACTTAGGAGGAGTATGGTGCATGAGTATTGCGTGCGTGCCGAGTTGACGGTCCCCTCGGTTTTTGTCAGGGCGAGAGACTCAGACTCGTTGCAGGAAGATCTCAAGGGTGCAAATTGGGAAAAAAGGTGGCACGTGTTCTCAACGCAAGGGACTAAAAATAGACAAATATTTTTGATGTTGTCAGGCACCAGGCACAGCAATGGTTGCTTTCCTCCCACTGGCGACCTTCTCCATCGTCGCATGCGTCTGCGGACAGCAGGTACTCGGCTTTCGCAACATTACTGTCGATGATACGGATCCCAGCATAAATTACTCAGGGATATGGCGCCTTGCTCTTCCTGGGGATGGAATGGACGTTGGAGGGACACACGTGGTTGCAGAGGTTGATCCCGATGCGTACGCGCGCTTTACATTCACTGGTTAGCTCTGAAGATACTGCATTGCCTTATCCTCTAATTCGTGTTTTCCAGGTGTCGCCCTATATTTTCATTCACCCAAGTGGCCATACCATGTCAACACCGACGTATCTTTGGATGGCGAACCAATTAGAACCATTGATCTCCAAGATTACACCCACGCAACGTTGGAAGCAAGTGGGGCATCTCTAAAATCTACCATCGTCGCTTCTTGGGTTGGGCTTGAAAATACGCAACATACATTGCTCATTTCCAAGACAAAAACTACGCCCTTCTATGTTCTCGATGCTTTGACGTGAGTCCTTCCCACCCTATCTCCCCTCATCTTTTCAAATTTAGAATTGGCTGTAGATATACCGTCCTGGATGCAACAGACGTCGCTGGATCGACATCACCTATAACTCCGTTGAAGACATCATTCAGGACTCCGCGCAGCTTACGTCGTGATTTGTATTCCAGTGGTGGTGTTCTAAACGTTCCCGCCATCGTCGGGGCGGTGATCGCAATTATCGTCATCAAACTTATGATCTGTATTTGGTGTGTATGGTTCAGAAGGCGCCGCTATACCAGATATGTTGCACCTGTGCAAATGTACCCCCCGGCTGGTCCCGGATCATTCCCTCCTCCTCCTCCACCTTACCAGGGCTTTCCATCACCGATAAACCCTCTCTACCCGACGAACCCGCCCGTCAACCCCACTTTCCCTAACTCCCCACTCCACCCGTCGTACCCACTCACCCCCATCAGCCCGTACGGCCCTCCAAAACCAATCGAACCTTTCAATCCTTACGTGGGATTCAACACCATACCAACGAGAAGACCTGGCAGCGGCAGTACGACCAGGCGCGACCAGCAGCCAAACGACGTGCGGCCCATTCCCGATCGGGGTGGAGTGCGCCCCATTTCTAGTGGAGATGGAGTGACCCCCATCCCCGCTGCAGCGAGAAGAGAGAGCCGCCAGCCGGCACGTCAGGACCCGCGCATCACGCAGGCGGACGGACTAGCTACCCCCATCCCGACAACAAACTCAACGCGTCGAACAGCGCCTGGTTCAGAATTAGCAAGTGTGAGACCCTCTTCTGGCGGGGACCTGCCTCCTCCTCCTGATTACACGGAAGAGGATGGTCGACCTGGGAGTGGCCCTGGACGTGGATTGGACGGGAACGTCAACGCATCGTCTGACGGACAACCGACTGCATCAAATTCAGACGGCTCCGCTGGGAATAGAGTTTCTGGATTTTCATACCCGCAACCCCTCTCGTTTATGCCGGTTAATTAGTATGTGTGCTTTTGTTGGTGTTTTACAGTCTGGACTTTGGGACTAAGTGGGAATTTTGATCTGTATATAACGTTCTGATTTATGACTATATCTCACTTGCTCGAGCGCACTTTCCCTAGAGCATCGTTGATTAAGAACGTGGACACCAATAGACCTGTGGACGCTGGATCAACGTGTTGGGGGACTTCTGTTTGACCATATATACTGTATATACTCTCTGAGAGGAAAGTACTTGTTTCCCCTCGGTCCTTCCGAAGCCAAATTCGCCGGAATACAAGAGGAATCAAACCTTGAAATCTATTGCACCCATTGATTCCGTACGATCATTTATTACACTGTGGAACATTCACGAGCTTTTCGCCATTTTAGCGCAATTTCATGAGGAAACAAGTCACTTACTTCTCCTCGAAAAATCGAACTCGACAGCTGCATTCTCCCTCAGGCAAGGAAAATGTGTTCGAGATATCTCAAACTGCTGCATCTGCCCAATCTCCGGCACACCCATCGCGTTGCGAAGATCAATAGCGACCGCGACCCTCCGCAGACACGAAAAGCCACGAGACAACACACGGTCCAGCTGTCCCCATTGCTCCTCTCGAGCGGATTGAAGGCTCGGGATGATAACCAAAATCAGTTCAATGTCTAGAACCTCTAGAACATTGTTGCGAGGGAACAGGTCGAGCTCGTGGCACAAACCTTGCAGATGGACTTCTGAGGTGGACCGCATAACCTCGAAGATCACCTTCAAAGTCGTCAGCGTCGAAAAGGCGCCGACGTTGATCCACCCCGCCAAACCGCGACAACCCTCCGGCGGGCTTGCCTTGTAAACGAGTGTTTCCACCTCGCTTGCCTCCATGAATATATCCTTGATGGCTTGAGCCTTTCGTGTGTAGGAGGAGTCGACGGCCAACGTCTTGAGCTTGTCAAGTCTAATGGTGGGGTGGCATCGCTGCAACGAAATTGAATGAGGGTTGATGCATAACGAAGAGACGAAACATCTAGAACTGTGAATGAACGGAGTTGGGGGGTCGGATGCGATGGAACTTTGAAGTGATCAAGGGGTCCTTCTGCACTTTTACTATAGTCCATCATCCCCTGTATAGTCAGGATCGAAAGATTGGGGCAAGATCGAAATGTTGCGAAAGGAAGTATGAACCGAGAAATGTTTAGCTCGGTCAGAGTGGGAGAACAGATGCCATCAAGAATTGATTTTCGTAGGGAGGGGTGGAAAGCATTCCAAGACGCACAGGAACCAAGGCCGTTATGACCTTGAACCCGCACAATCTGCAAGCTTTGCAGGAATTTCACCTGTGAAAGAGCCAGGATATTATGGGCATAAGCGTTCGGCTCGCTTGGATCCCAACGGTCAAGCTTGTCAAGGCGCTCATTGAGCTGCAGCTTGAGCTTCCGGACGTAGAGTCCGATGTCTGGATTGTAACGAAGAAGCTGACTAAGGTTCTTCAACGGTAAGGTACCTCGCGGACTGAGATTTATACATCGGAAAAGATGTTTGCGACAGATCGGAAGGAGTGAATGACAAGTTTCGGAGGTGGCTGTTAGGGCAGCGGTATCATTTTCAAGATCGTCGATTATGTGTTCGATGATTTCTATTGGAAAGGCCAAGAGCTTGGAACTTGAAAGATACCCCATGGAACGTACCGAGCTGGTTTTTTGAGTGAAACAGAGGTCCTTGAAATCAACGTGTGAGTGTGGGAGGGATACTAATACCACGTATTGCTTGAAGCTGATCTGTTCTGGTTGATCTTTTTTATACTCCGCCATCACTCACGTTTTACACTCACGTGCCGTTCACCCAGATGCTCGGAATGTGCACCTACCTTGGATGACCGCTAGCACCACAATGACAAGGGTGCAGATGAGTCCATTGCAAACTCGCCTTCCTCGCCTTCCTATCATGTGCCTTGTGCACTGATTTGAATTTTTGTTTCGTCATGGGCCAGATGTACGGTCTCTCGCCGAATAATGACGAGCCTGAAATCTGGAGCGCATGAAGGCAAGGCAGAGTGATAGAGAGTGATAGCTGAAGGACCGCGTAAGGGGAAGATCGATCATTACTTTTCTGCCCTCCTCTTCGCTTTCATATCGCTGTCGGACACTACTTGCCATGACGGCCGTCGTGTAGCACCTCGGGCTATTCACTGAATAGTTTACTTGGGGTAACTCACTGGCAGGGTTCAACGCAACTTGCAAGTCAGTCCATTCTCAGCCCTTCAAGAGGATGAAGAAGGGATTTCGTGGATTTTTGATCAGGCAATGGGGATTGGCTCCAAATGATTGGGCGGCACTGTAAGGAAGTGCGTTCGCTTGCAGTTGTCGTTTTTGAGAATTGTGATTGCTGAGGACGATGACGGGTAGTATGCCTTGTCGGTCTTACTACGATCTCGGTAAAAGCCCACCAGGACGGTATATCTATTACCTTTTTCTTTCAACACCAACTTACACACAGTAGACCAAACCTGGTCTATCAACCCATCCATGATGGTAAGCCCCGTTTCAAAATTCCTCTTCTCTCCCCCATATTCACGCATGTGCATGACCAGCGCCAGGTACTCTTTCCCTCCGCCAACGGCGCAGATGTTAGATGGAACCACATCTGTACAAATCCTTCCCATCTCGCAAACTCGGAGAATCTATTCTGGACAAGCGCCCTCCGAATCGGGAGCATACATTACACTCGGATGGGTGCACTTCAGTGAACTAGTTTCCGGTCCCGAAACTTCTGAGTCTTCTTGCATCCTCCGTCTTTTCTCTCAGTGACTCTGGAATTCTTAGCTGCTCATGTGTAGTTTCAATAACCTGGTCTTATTCAGTATAAAGGATCACGATAGGGATGATTTAGGGGGCAACAATGCGTGACGCTGATGCCTAACCTACCTTAACTCCAACTGTGGGGTTGCCATTGTAGGCGCCGTTCTGTGGCGCGGTTGTGCGCCCACTATAACCATGTTTATAGTTTGTTGTTACGGGAGAACTTGAACTTTCTTCGCCACGAGGGAACAAGTAAGTCTCTCTGCTCTCCTATGATTCTGGTTCTATGTGTTGAGAGTTTTCAGTTCTCCCAATTCTCACTAAATGGGGAGCTTGACTTGAAATTCGCCTCTTCACAAATTATCTGGCCGTATAATCTTTGTTCTGGTAAACCGAACGTAATTTTGCCAGAATCTGGACTCTCGGATGTCACACCCTCAGTACAAGGTAAATCCACAGCAGCAGTTTCACAAATCGAAGGAAACTTTGAAACATAGATCGCCTACGGACAGCAATTTTTTGTGTGCAGCCGTTGATGTGTCTACAAAAACCAGATGGCAGAAAAGAACAACGTACCACGTTGCCTCAAGAATTTTGAAAACTCCTAGCAATGCCGTTTTAGAAGAGCAAGTGGTTGCTATTACATGTGAGTCGCCACTTTGTCACTTATGCTTACACCTCAGTGCGCTACTAGTAATCTTTTTGCCACGAGCAAGGGGGTAGCGGGACGTGGATCCCGAACCAAGGGTTGGGGGGGGGGTGCCTGGCCGAAGGCCGAAAAAAAAAGGTGACACCCATCAATTTGGTGGCAGAAGTGGTCAGTGACCTGCCTGTCGCGACGTTGGATCGTTCTAGTAGATGTCCTAGCTGTTGTAGATACTTACTTGGCCATAGTAGACAGCGAGAAGCAATTTTGAACCCCCCAACATCTGGCAAAGAAATCACGGTAATGAATTTAACAAAAACATAGACCATGGGTACTATTGCTAATTGAGGTTGAAATAAGAGTCAAATTACGGCCAACAGCTTCATTGTGCAGAGTGTAATACTGATGTGCATGTTGGTACCGGTGGGATGAGTAACTTGAACGTGCATCGAGACTCGAAAACATGCAGAGAGAACAAGGCCGCCAACACGTGACCCCCACAAAAGAAAGAGAAGTAAAGCTGCGAACGACGAAAAAGACGATCCGAAGCGGGGCGTCACAGCTGTGACGCCGCCGCCCAGGAAAGCGCCCTGAGGCACACAGCCCATGGGAAGCGCCGACCCGAACAGGGGCAGACGCGATCAGGGAAGAAGAAGAAAATACAAAGGAGGGCGCCGCGACGTGTTGACCAAGTGTTGACACGCGACCTCGCAGACAAAGAGAGAGAGAGGTAGCAGGAGAACAGGAGCAAAGGAATACAAAGGCAGAAAGAGGGGAGAGAAAAACGAGAAAAACGGGAAGGGGAAAACGGAAAAATAGCTGTGTATGTAGTATCCAAGTACCAAATACCCCTGCTCAGATCCCCATTGAATATTGAATGCTGCAGACAACAAACTTACTTGATCGTGGTTAGGATGGCCCATCCCCACACCATCCAAAACAACGGATCGTCCAGCAAGGGTGAACCATAGTCCAGGAAGGGTGAATCATAGTCCAAGGGTGAATCATAGTCCATTTTCTCAAGAACACAGGAGGGAGGAGGGAGGGAATGTTAGGACGTGGGTCTGCGTGTGCAGTTGAATTAAGTAGATGAATTCGGATTACCAAAGGCTCCCTGAGCCCAATCGAAGATCACCGAATGGGCGCCGTGATTGTGACAAGGACCCTGCCACCCTGGATTGGACTGTTCTGTGGGATATTTGGATTGTCTTTTTTGCCTCGAGAAGGTGGCCGCTGGGTGGTCAAATTTGGCGTAGACAAGTGTGAGTTGCCAGCGAAAACCGTACAGAAACATTGGGGAGCCCGAAAAAAGACAATCCGGTCCCATCAAGAGACAGTTCATACCTGATACGCTGATTTGCGAACCCTGCGAAAATCTAAGCTAAAGGATTATCAATTACTGAGTACAGTAAGTATGCAGCAGCATTGATTATCACACTACTGTAGTCTTATGTGTCCATACTATTCTAAAAAGAAATTTAACTTACAGTAATATATTAACGTGTCAATGAGGAATTTTGAACGACGCGACCGTGTTTCGATGGACGCGACTGACATGTTTGGACAGACGCGACTGAGGTGTGGCTTTATTTGGGTTTGTTGATAACTGCCACAGCATCAACGTGCTCAGCGCTCAACGTCAACGTTTTCCTACGTTTCGCCGCTCCTTACTTGCTCGTCGAGAAACCACACGGCTTGCCAGGTGCCTTGGTTTTGCCAGGTTTCTGCAAGGGTGTACCCCTCGACTGATTAAGGCCTCAACAAGCAAACTTCTCAACTCCTCCCTATCCTCTTCATCCCCCTCCACACCCAACTCCCTGGCTTTCTGTCTGCTCCCTCCCACCCTCAATACCCAATGGCCAACATGCCACCTTTCGTTAGCAACATGTAGCCTCCATCTCTAATGGTGTGTACGATACCTTTACATTTAATTTTGTGTCTTACAAATCGTGTTGCAGCCGCATGCGAATACTCGAATCCTCGGGAATACGTGTGACTAATGGGAGCTGAAGTCCAATGCCGCCTTTCCCATGCTGGAGAATGCCACACGCAAATCTATCCGCACATTTTTCGGTGGACTATCCAACCTTCAACGACGCTTACCACCTTCAACGTCCCCCTTCTCTCAAGGATCTTTTCAACTTTGTAACTGACTGCAAGTTCAGCCTCAGATGGTTCCTTTACTCACCAACCAGCTTGTCCGTGTCTTTCTCTATCTGTCTTTGCTCTTTGCTGACCCTCTGGGATAGATTTCTCATGTCGAGTATATCCACTCCCACAACTTCATACATTATACATCGTGGCATCAAGCCAGATAACTTCCAGGTGGGCATTGGGCAGTGCGGTAACCAAGTCAATGTGACCGACTTTGGCCTCGCCAAGAATTTCCGTGGCCCCAGGACCCACCTCCATATTCTGCAGTGTTCAACCTGGCGCGTACTGCAAAGTCTTCGTTTCCCTCCCGGAATCTTTCTCCACAGCATACCTTCGCCATCCTTTCTCCACCAGTCCCCACACCATCTGCCCCCCCATCGTTCCAATCATGAAGACGTCAGCTCCTCTCCACGAACACCAAACACCCCAACAACTCACTTGTCAGCTACCACTCTCCGCAATGTCTTCCCAACTGCTTTCCATGGAGCCATCCGACACTTCATGAGCGAGGTCGAATACCCCGTTCGTCACCTACTCGTTCCCCATCCCCTCCGCCCACCCACCTCTTGCCCTTCATCGGCATGTGAATACTCGAAGCCTCGGGAATACGCATGACTAACTGGGGGCAATAATGGCCACAACAACCCACTTATTAACTATACTGCCATCCTGCCATCCCGCCACTTTCACGCGGCGATACTCGGAACACTTCAACAACCAAATCATCGACTGCATGACATCCCGCCGCCCTTGGAACTCCAACATAAATCCACTGAAGCAGAGGTTCACCGACTTCGCAACATCAATGAGGCAGCGATGCTCAGCACCACGAACCTACGCGCGCACATCTCTGCTAGCGCATCGGCTCTCGTCAGCGTGCCGTCCTTCTGATCTCGCTCTCATGGCCATCTGAGTGTCAAGAAAACCCTCGAGATCACCACTCACTTTCAAAACTCCCTCTTCGATTCCTCCCTGGTGACACACTGCATTGATTTATGACACGGACTATTATGCAATATTGTATTTTTTACACATCCTCACGCCCTACCTTCCTCTACGCGCGTTGTTTTCTGGCTCCTAGTTTCCATGGTTGTCTGCTCTCCCCCCTGTTTTGTATGGTATGAGTATATATGCATATGCATATTACAGTAGTGTGCCAGTTGTACATATTATAATTACCCTTCAGCTGTTGCATGACTTACATGCATCAACGTGATGGGGATAAACACTGCATGGCGCCCGTGGTGCCTACTTAGTACTTAAACCCAGCACATCTTTGTCGTCGCTTGTGCTGCACATCCCCCTTATTTGGTAGACAGTGTATCCCCCCGCAATAAACGTCGCAGTATTGTGGGGAGCTATCAGCTGCAGTCAGCTGACAATCGCCACACTTTTACAATGCATGCTGATCATGTCCTTCCATTAGGTGTATTCACTGGGTGCATTCCTGCCTATCGGGTAAGGTACTGGTATCTACCTGCTTGCCAATACTAATGGCACCTTTTCAGCATCCTGATTTATTACCCCTTTTCTGGGTTCTCCTTTTGAGGATGCATTGACCGGTGTTTCATCACGTCGTTTTTCTAAACGTCAACCTTGCTCAACATTCAAACCATTGAGAATCATGGGTGCTACTCACCTTTGGGAGGTATGTCATCTTTGAAACATGGAGACTTGCTGCTGACCCAAACATAGATTGTGCAGCCAGCTCGTCAAATGCGATCTCTTTCGCAGTTGACAGTCAGTGAGGGGTTCGAGAAGAATCGGAATGGCCGCCGTGCCATTGCGATGGGGGTTGACGCAAGGTCTGTCCGCTGCCCACTCCACCTGACCCTCGAATAGAAACTGACATGGTTTGACAGCATCTGGTTACACCAAACCCAAGCTGTCTTTCATCATGCGTGCCACTCCCAAGCAGGTGAAAACCCGGAGCTACGAATTCTGTTCTACAAGCTCAAACGGTTTCTCAACCAACCTGTTAATGTCGTCTTTGTCTTTGACAGCGATGGACGGCCCTCGATGAAGCGCGGAAAACATGTTCGGACAAAAGAACATTGGCTTACCAAACACTTCCAGGAATTTGCCCAAGCATATGGCTTTACTGTCCACATTGTGAGTAAAGAACACATTCATATTATGAAGACTAACTCTTGGCAACTAGGCCCCCGGCGAAGCAGAGGCTGAGTTGGCTCTGCTCAACAAGTTGGGCATCATCGACATCGTCATCACTGATGATAGTGATGCCCTTGTCTTTGGTGCTACTTGTGTCATGCGCAAGTGAGTTACATCCCTTCCCTATTCCATTACTGTAAATAACAACCCCATTTCAGCCCGAACCTGAAGAAAGATAATGACAATGTTGCCCTCTACACCTCAGAGGGCATTCGTACTACAGCTGGGGTTCATGTAACACAGGGTGGGATGCTCTTGATTGCCATCCTGTGTGGTGGGGATTATGACAAGGTGGGCTTTCTTGCTAAATAACATATTTATTAGCCATGTTTATCATGACATCTGCAGGTGGGGCTAGTAGGTTGTGGCAAAGTGGTAGCCCATGGCCTTGCAAGAACTACACTGGGTGATCAGCTTCTGGAGGCTGCAAGGGATCTTTCTGAGGAACAACTAGAGACCTTCTTAGTCCCGTGGCACCAACAGCTTCAGGAGGAGCTACTTTTTAACAAGCAGGGCTTTTTAAAATGCCGGTACCCTGCAATCGCGAATGCGGTTCGCTTGGACTTCCCTCAGCCATCCGTCATCCTCAAATATACACAGCCTGTCACGTCGTGGGCTGGTGGCCGACTGCTCCCTCCGTTTTCGACATGGGTCCATCATGAGCCTGACGTTGCTGAGTTGGCGTCGCTTGCAGAGCGTTCATTCTCTTGGCCCCCTGATAAGATCATGGAGGAATTTCGGAAGCATGTCTGGCCTGGGCTTTGCCTTCGTCGCCTTTTAGAAGTAAGCGTTGACCTTTCATGTTCTTCCATCATGTTTAATCAGAGTTTCTTCCTCAGGTAAAGAGCCCGCTTCTTGAACTCATCGATCATGTTGTTCACGGCGTCATCATCGATGGAACCCCATGCCTGTCATCTTTCCTCCGCATTCACCGTGTCAGTGAAGGCAATCTCACCTTGCCAATTCCCTTCTTTGTTATCGAGATTTTAGAACAAAATCTGATTAACAAAGCTGTGTCGAAACTTCGGAATCAGACTGATGTACGTGCTAAAAAGACCACAGTCCCAATTCCTGTTGTGATTGTCCGACACGCGCTGCCGTCCCTCCGCTGGGAGAAGCCGCTGCCTATCGAAGATAGAAAGCAAAACCCTGTACGTCCTTTTCTTTGCAACTGTTTCTTCTTTGGTAGTGATATCAGAACTCAGATCCTCAAGTACATAGAGCTGGAGCCAGTTATTAAAGTTGAAGAGGAGGACATTGTTGTGGAATTTGACTCTTCTCAACACTACCTCCCGGTCCTTATTGATTCCCTTGACCTCACAGTTCTCAATTCACCAACCAGCCTTCCTAGCACTTCCAGCCACATGTCCATTGACGAAGTCATCGATCTTACTTACTTAGATGACTGATCTATATTTATCTCTGCACCCATTGTCTTTGTAAGTCATCGTACTTATTAATTCCTCATGTAGCCTATTGCATCCCTATAAACTTGTGGTGTTCCATAAAACTCCCCTATTCCACTGAAAGATATATATACTATGAACACAAGTCCATCTGACCCATTTCCCTGCCATGTCTCTAAAAATAACACTCCCTGCCTTTGCTGGAGTTCAGCGCTTTGTTGAGGTCTTTACCCTCCCCCACGTAATCCATATGGACTCCAGTGGACTCCAGTGGACTCCAGTGGATTCCAGTGGATTCCAGTGGCCCTCTTACCAGGCCAGATTGGCTGGCAGAATGCCCAGTCCACTGGAGTCCAGTCCAGTCCAGTCCAGTCCAGTCCACTGGACTCCCACTGGACTGCCAGCCACTTTCCTGAGTCCAGTCCCAGTCCAGTGGACTATGAGTCCAGTCAGAGTCCAGTGGAGTCCAGTGGATTCCAGTGGATTCCAGTCATTCCAGCATATTATTATTATTATATATGAATACTACTAAAAAAGCGAAAATAGACTAATTGATCAATGAATGGAAATGTTATAATTTACATATGGTGTGGGTCAGTGATAGCTGCAATAAGGATTTATGATTTTGTTCAGTCTGCGGGGGAGGTCACGTGACTTACTTGAGGGCGTGCCATATCGTCACGTCGCCTGTTTGTGGGATGGTCACACTGCCGTGACCATCCCTTTCCCTTCCACCACCACCATTCACATCTCAACACCGCCGACGACGCCCACGACGCCCACGCCCACGCCCATGCTAACGACGCACACGACGCCCACGCTAACGACAACGACACCCCCAGCGCGGAACGATGGACCAAGGACGAGGGACAACGCCCATGACGTGGCAACGTCATGGGCAAGGGGTACGTATGCCCCACCACCCCATTCCTCCGTTCTCACCACGACAGGCACGACGCCAGCAACCACCCATGCACGGCACATGAGGACGACGACACCAACACATGAGGACGGCGACAACGACGACACGTGAGCACGACGACGACACGCGAGCACGACGAAATGCGACGACGACGAAATGCGACGACGACGAAACGCGACGACGACGACGAAACGCGAGCACGACGACACGCAAGCACGATGACGACAACACGCGAAGCCGACCACACGACGTACACGAACGAGCGCCCACGGAAAACGGCCACCGGCCACCACCGCCTGCTGCCACGTCACACGAAAACCAGCCACCGCCCATGACGACGACGACGACGACTACACGCCGGGACGACGACACACGACAACGACAACGACACGCGACGACGACGACGAACGAGCGCCGACGAAAACGCCGCCCCCACCACACCCGAAAAACGATACGCCCACGAAAAACGACGAGCGCCCGCCAGCGCTGAACGGCGACGAGGGCCCAGCAGCATCACCCTTCCCCTGCACTCTCTCCCCCCATCACTACCTCCTCTCTTCACCACTCCCACTCCCCTCCACTCCCTCCCCCCTTCACACTCTCCCCCCTTCAGTCTCTCCCCCCTTCAGTCTCTCCCCCCTCCCCCTTTCCTTNCTCCTCTCTCCCCCCCTCCCTTTCCTTCCCCCTTCCTTNCT